CGCTCACCTCACTCACCACTCACCTCACTCACCACTCACCTCACTCACCACTCACCTCACTCACCACTCACCTCACCCACCGCTCACCATCAACTGCCAGTCTTCCTCGACTCGTTCTTCGTTTCCGGAATCCGCGCGTCTCCCCCCTTCTCGTGTCGCCCAGGAGCCTTCATTAGCATCGCCGATAATGATCTACACATCAACAACGTCGCCGCGAATAAACTCAACATCTCGCGACGAGAAAGTAATTGTAGCCGACTGACGTCCACGGATGCCTCGAGCCGCAGGTGTGAGACGATGCTCGCGTAACGGTGAATCGCGAATCGGCGATGATCGATTCATCAGTGCGATCGGGATCCGTGTATTCAAAGCGTGCTCCTCTGAAAAATCCATTATTCACAACGCTACAACAGCAGTAAAATACAATATTGTGGTGAAGTATGGTGAAGTGGAGAGGGCCTCATCCAGCAGTGGATTAACAAAAGGGTAGCGGAGAAATGGTTAGCGAGCCAGGAGGCGGGGGGGGGGGAGTGGTTGTGGTGGTTGTGGTAGTTGTGGTTCTGGGTGGTTAGCGATGGGAGAGGTGGTGACTGGTGGCTGGGTGGTTGGATGAGAGTGGTTGGCTTGGTTGAGGATGGAGGTGGTTCGCGATGAGAAACGGGAGGTGGTGACTGGTGGATGGGTGGTTGGTGGGGAGGAGAGTGGTTGCGGTGGTTGTGGTTGGGGGTGGTTCTGGATGATTAGCGATGGTAGACGGGATGGTTGAATGGTTGGATGAGAGTGGTTGTTGTGGTGGTTGTGGAGGCATTCGGTTGTTGAATGCAATGCGTAGCAAGTTGCGGGGAATTGCTCCCTGCAGAACAGAATCGCCCATAACCTCTGCTCGTTTCAGTCAACGTACACACGGACACTCACGTGTGCACGTGTGTGTGTCGGAGCGCCCCGCTACGAACCTGGCGACCCGAGTTCTAACCTCCTAGATCCACTCAGCCTCAAATGAGTACCTGGTGCGATGTGCAAATATCGCCATTGGGGAGGCAAGGGCAGCCGGGTGTGATGCTGCCACCCACCACATCGTGTGCCGTGCCGGCCTTCATAGGCGCCCGGTAACAGCACTTGCCCCAAACAGTCTGCTAAGGCTGCACGGGGGGTCTTTGTCTTTTGTGTGTGGATTGGAGCACGGCCGACGCACGAGATGCTCACGGATTTAAGGCTGAGTCGACCTAGTCGGGGATTCCCAGGGGACGAGTGCCGACGGCACGTGCCAATGACGTTAGCCGTGGCCTGGAGCTGCACGGACAACGATCATCCCCCGTGTAACCCGATGAAGACGGATGCTTCAAGAGCTGTCAGAGCGCACGCACGCATACGCGTGTACGTAGCACCCATGAACCCACGCATTCACACAAATGCAAAAATCCCCCAGTGTATCCATAATAGAGTATTTATGGGGGGGAGGGGTGGTTAGATCGCGTAAATAATAATGCGTCGTTAAACCCGCCACCACCCGATACAGCCAATTAGTAAGGATTGTCGCGTAGACAAAATGTGCCAAAACCGCTGCTTGTGCAGCACGCCCGCGTGTTGGAGAGTAACGCCACGGCCGACGTTTATAATGCGAGCGCGACGTTTCGCCAGCAATTGAAACCAGCATCATCAGGCGACAGCCACGGAGTGGTGGAGAACTCCTGCTCCTGTGTCGGTCTGAAATAGACGGGGGCCTGCGATAGATGTGATATCGTCACTTGTGGGCCAATCAGGTGCGAAGGTCAGACGGGGGCTTGGGGGTGAATCTATAAATATATAAAAGAGAAATTTGTGAATGTGTGTCTATTCGAAATGTTTAGCATACTTCCCAGCATGCAACAAACTTGAAATTTGGCATGTGGGTAGCTTCCAGGCTGTACACAATGCAAAACGTATAAAAATAGACTTTTGTATTTGGGGGGGGGGGCGCAATTATGAATATAAATTGCACGGTAAGTAAGCGGTGACGTCACATTTGTGATGTGACCCGCATGCGGCAGCGGCACGCAGTGTGTCTGCTGACGTCACCCCCCCCCCACCCTCCGCGTAGGCTGTGTATTAATCCAAGACAAGAATCCAAGTTTCGGGCGAAGCCGGGTAGTAGAGCTAGTGTGTGCATATACATTACAATGGACACCCCCCCGTGTCGCTCACAAACGCTGGTGGGACGCGTGGTGTTAGCGAGCACCCGCACACGTGGAGGTGGGTGGCCAATATCACGCCCGGTCGCCTTTGTCGCCCCAGTGTTGACGTTTTCAACACCCACCTGAGGCTGAGTGGCCCAAGATCATTTCACATATTCGTGACCCATGATCGTCGCGAGCGGGAATCGCCGGCCGGGTTCGTAGCGCAGCGCGCTTACCACCGCACCACAGCCCCCCCCCCCCAACACACACACACACGTGTGTGTACGCACACCCACAGACATACAGTACTTACACACACACACCCAACACACACCACCCATTCACAACCTTCCTCTGCCGTACAATACAGTCCTTGGCTTCGCTCTGAGACAGAGGAGCTCTCATTCCCTCCGTTGACCCCACCTTGCCCCCTCCCCCTCTCCCCCAACCCCTCATTTACCCCCACCCCTACACCACCCTCCCCGCGCCCTCCCCCACAACCATCCCAGTCCTCTGGTCCCCAGGGTGTAAGGGGGTCATTGTAGTCATCCCGTAGCGAACATCAGAGGGTCTGAGTCGCGCGCATCTGCTTTAGCGAGTCAGACTTCCCGACACGTGGATTTCCACGAGCAAAGTTACACGATTCGTAAAAAAATAATTTCTGGGTGATAGCGATAAACATAAAACTACAATTTTTATTTTATTTTTACCAGGTAAGGCCGACTGCGCTTCGTAGCCCTTTTTTGTCAGAAGCGACCTAGCTGACAAAGGATTGCCCAACAAAATTGCTTACCACGTGGGGATGTATAGTAGCAACCACATACTCTAAACGCGTGTTTCTAACCAATAGCCTGGGTACACTGGTGCAGGTGATACGTCAGGTAGTGGAGGGTATTCACAGCTCACAGCTCTCGACGACACAACACAAATAAATCTATTACGAATCACCAGAGGTTTTCTTTGCCGCGTGCTCGTTCATCGTCAACCATCAGACGTGGTCGTCAATCCACTGCTGGATGGAGGCCTGTGTGTGCGCGCGTGTGTATGTGGAGTGGGAAGCACAGCTGGTGCATCTGCCAGCCATTTAAATAATTGACCCGTGGCACCTGGGTCTGTTCCGTGACCTCCTGCCAGCGAACATTCTCCACTTCACGTGGCCTTAAAGTGCACCTAGCATGGCACAAGCGCCGTGGTGACGTCGCCGCCACTTAGTGGTGAACGGCGGTTGTTGTTATTGTTGGAGAGCGGTAGTGTAGCGCGCTGCGCTACGAACCTGGCGAACCGAGTTCGATTCCAGCTCACGGAGAACCGGTCCTGGGCCTCCCCTGGGTCGACTCGGCCTCAAATTAGTACCTGTGCGGTGTGTAGTAAACATCGCCACTGGGGAGACAAAGGCAGCCGGGCGTTGTGCTGGCCACCCACCCCCTCGTGTGCCGTTCTTGTTTTCGTAGGTGCTCACTAACAGCACTTGCCCCAACAGTCTGCTAGGGCTACACGGGGGATCTTTGTCTTTGTGGAGACGTGGACTGAAGCGGTAATATGGCCCAGGAGGTAGCGTGTTTGGCCGCTCGTTGCAGAGGTTCAGCGAGATTAACCAATTGGGATCACACGCAAGAGCAATATCGTCCCCCCCCTCCCCCCCTACTGTGAAACTACAACAGGCTGCGTCTGTGAAACACAGCAGTAGCGCCTCCCTCGGCGAGTGTGCTGACGATTGAGTGATTGGGCGAGCCGGTGGGTGAGCGAGTGAGTGGGTGGATGACTGACTTCACGAGCGGGGTGGGTGAGAGGGTGGGCGAGTGAGTAAGTGGATGAAGGAGCGATGGGGGTGAGTGAGTGGATGGGTAGTTGAGTTTAGTGAGTGGATGAGTGAGTGAATTATCCGGTGGGTTGGTGAGTTGATGAGTGGCACTGTAGCAGCGCATTCATCCGTGAAGACCACCCTGCGCTATGAAAATTGTATCGCCAATAGCAATTGTATTCGATGGTTATATATAATTAAGCTAATATTATTATTTCTGTCAATATAAACAGCCACTCGTTAAGTGCTACAGCCAGAGTCGCCTTAACCTTAGCACGTGCCCAATCATCGTCATCATGGCCATCAGCCATGATCGATCCACCGTTCGATGCGAGCCTCTCGCAACACACCGTTGGGGTGCGGGGAGGGGGTCTCGTGGGCGGGGGCAATTCGACCATACTTCACCACGCCGGTCGGTGCGACTTTAACGGAGACATCGGATTATCGAGCATCCTGCGTGTGCGCTGTGGCGGTCACGACCGTGCAACGATTCTATTGCCCAGGTTCAAACCCCGATCAGTGCGGCTAAGATGCGTGCGATCACGGACACAATGTCGCGCGCGTGCCGTTTCGAAGTCTGTGGGCCTCGTCGTGTGCTCACGGGGGGGGAGGAGGAGGAGAGAAATGAATCGAAGTCGCGGCTCGTGTCTGGCCCGCGAGGTTCCACATTCTCCACCCGCGCCACCGCAGCCTTTGCTAAACGCTGTTGCAGACCACACGGCGCGGGAGGCAGGGGTGCGTGTGTGTGGGGGGGGGGGTGCAGACGCGTGGGGGTTGGCGAGGCGTGTGTGGTTGGTGGTGGAGAGAGAGCAGAGAGAGAGGCGAGAGAGAAAGGGGGGAGAGAGAGAGAGAGACTGGCGTTGGTGGTGATGGTGGTGGTGATGTTGGTGGGAGGTGTGGGCAGTGTTTGTGGGGGAGGATGGAGGGAGTAGAGGGAGGAGGAGGAGTGGGAGGCGCAGGAGGGGTGAGCACGGGTTGGGAGCGCTGGGGAGAGTGAGAGAGAGAGAGGGGGGGGGTTGCATTGTGTCACTGACTTGCACAGAGAGAGACACACACAGTCTTACTTCACTCGTGCAACTCCGCCGTTTGCTGTGCACGGACACGCAGAGACATAGGATGACACGATGCACCACGAACACTCCGCCTAAGTCATCTTGCACCAGAGGCATTCTCTGTCACAAAGGTTGCGGGATATAGACCATTCACATCATCATCATCGACGTCGTCGTCACCAACATCGCCATCATCATTCATCATCTGCAGCAGCAGCATCAGCAAGCGGCAGGTCCTCCGCTCAGCTATGGAGCTGTCTCGGCTCACGCTGTGGCTCAGGATAGCGTTGGCTTCCCTGCTCTCTCTCGCTTGCGTCGCCACTGAAACGTGGGTGAGTGCACGTGTTTTTGGTTTTGCATTAGCGGCAGCGTTATCGTATTATCTGTTCATTGTATTTGCGCGTGTGCGTGCGTGTCTGTCCGTCTAATCAAAGGCGGGCGAGCGTGGGGCTGGCCAACCCACCGCTGCCGTGTGCCGTGCCGCCCCTTCAGAGGTGCTACTCACTAACAGCGCTCGCCTCAACAAAGTCTGTTGGAGGCGATACGCGCGGGGGGGGGAAACCTCTTGTCTTTGTCAGTCGGATCGAAGTCTCCCTGAGCGAGGCCCGTTCACGCAAGAGGCTCAGAGGCTACCGCAAAAGCAGCGCGGCTGCTGGAGCCTAGCGAGCGCTACGATTTGAGACTGCCGAGAAATGTCAGACTCGGCATGGGAGGGTGGCCAGGCGATGGAAAAGACACGAAAAAAACTCAGCAATGGATCATTGAATCCGTCTGTACGGTGCTTTGTTGCCTGTTAGCCCCTTCCCTCCCTCCGCCCTCGTATGTGCGCTGATGGAGTTTCTGCGCGTTCGCCAGACTTGCATTCGTGGAATTGCCCATGAACGTCCTCATGTCAGCTAGATCCTCCTGTGGGGAGCAGTGGCGCAGTGGTTAGCGCCACTGCGCAATGAACTTGGCGACGCGAGTTCGATTCCCGTTCACGGGTGAGGGATATCTGAGCCGCCCCCCACCCCCCAATGAAACGAACATCAATCCACACTAAGCAGCATGGTGAAGTTTGGTCAAACAACCTCTTGACAAAGGGCTGTATATTGTACATTAGTATTATTATTTTGCATCAGTGGTTGCTGTGCATGATCGCAATAGGAAGCTTAATGGGTAGAATATGAAAACGTGAGAGGCAGAGGCCAGTGAAGTAATAACATCCATTGTTGTGCTGCACTTATATACTCCCACGTGTCCATGCCCACCCACCACCACCACCTCCCCCCACCCACCCCCCCTCACCAACCCGCAATGACCAGTGTGATGAAGTATGGTCAAACAACCCCCCCCCACGACCCAGCAGTGGCTTGACTAAATGGGTCTTGGCATTTGCTTGTTCGTAAAACAGAGTAGTTGAGTGAGCTAACAACCCATGATGATGATGATGCCTATAAGGATTATAATGTTTTTGCAACTGATGATGATTCCTCTGCCGATGCTGATGCTGATCACGATTATGGGTTGACGTAAATAGATTCTGATCGTGCTCGAGATCCCACTGATTGATGACAAATGCAGTTGAGCTTCGTGTGGACGATGATGACGATGATCGTGGTCGCGGTGATGATGCTGATGATGATCGTGGTAGTGATGATGGTGCTGATGATGACGTTGATCGTAGTAGTGGTGATGGTGCTGATGATGACAATGATCGTGGCTGTGGTGATGGTGCTGATGATAACGATGATCGTGGTTGTGGTGATGGTGCTGATGATGACGATGATGGTGGTAGTGGTGATGGTGCTGATGATGATGGTGGTAGTGGTGATGGTGCTGATGATGACGTTGATCGTGGTAGTGGTGATAGGTGCTGATGATGACGTTGATCGTGGTTGTGGTGATGGTGCTGATGATGATCGTGGTTGTGGTGATGGTGCTGATGATGACGATGATCGTGGTTGTGGTGATGGTGCTGATGATGACAATGATCGTGGTTGTGGTGATGGTGCTGATGATGACGATGCATTTACGCAAACACGATCATGCTCAATGGGGTGCTCATTGATGTATCCAGTCCCGACGATATCGATGATGAGACAATAGACGATGGTGTCGTCACAATTATGGCAATAAATGCGATCACGCTCGACACCGCGGGTATTGATTATCAACTCAGTGCCCATGGATTCCACGTGATGATGTCAGATCGTGATTATGGTGATGTCAGACCACGACGATATCACATTACGATGATGTCAGATCACGGCTACAATAATGATTGCATGTAATGATGATGTTACGTGATGATAACGATTATGTCAGATCATGATATCAGATGATGATGACGACGAATTTACCCAAACGCGATCACAATCAATGTCTCGATGATATATAAAGGTTATAGCAGCAGTGAATCGATGACGAGGATGACGACGACGATGATAGCATGAGATGATGCATTTTCGCCAATAACTTATGATTCAGAACGAACATATATATAGTAGCAATGTATCCGGGATGATGATGATGATTATGATGTCATCCCCAACAGGATCTGGTGCATGATGCTAGGGAAAGCACTACCATCACTCGCCCAAGTCGTCTCAGGCACAACAGCAGCATCAGCAGCAGCATCAGCAGCATCAGCAGCATCAGCAGCAGCATCAGCAGTAGGATCAGCAGCGGTATCGAATCGCATGTGCTCGAAAATGAACCTCCTCCTACTGCAATCACTCAGCTATACCCCGATGGTAAGTGCGTGTACGTGTGCATGAGTACACATGTGTGTGTGTACACGCATGTGTGTCCTTCATAGGTCGACTCAGCCTTAAACGAGTACCTCGTGCAGTGTGTAAACATCGCCACTAGGGAGACAAAGGCGGCCGGGCGTGATGCTGGCTACCCACTGCCCTGGTGTGCGGTGCCAGACTTCATAGGTGCCACTCGCTAACGGCACTTGCCCCAAACATTTGTGAAGGCTATACGGGGGACCTTTGTCTTGTATGTACGCGTGTGCGTACACGTGATGGGTATTCTCCGGGCACGCCGATCTCCTGCTACGCGGAGTAGCCAAACTCCCCCGCGTTTAGAATGAACGTGCTTTGACGTGTGTTCGTCTGCACCGACACATTTCCACATAAATCAGCCACTCCGTTGAGATATCATTCGTGATGACCAGGTCGCTTCTGAAAAAAACAAGAGCTATACAGCTCAGTCGGCCTTGCCTCGTCAAATAAACACAGTGGGAAGTGAGTTTAGTACATGGCCAAACATCGCAATGTGGCAGGACCCTCCTGCAAAGGGAAGTCTTTGGGACTCGTTGAGTCGATGCCTTGCATGGGTGCGTGCGCTATTGCACGGTTCCGCCGCTGGGGGGGGAGGTGGATGAATTGTCGACACCCTGAGGTTCGTTGTGTTCCTTTATCGCCGTCGCTCGCAACAAGAGAGGTCCGGTCTTGAACTTGACGCGGGCTCTTACAAGGGAATGCTCGTGTCCAGCCGCTCGTCCTCGCGGACAAAGCCGATTCATAGCGGGCAGTGCCACGTGGTTGAAACACGAGGGTTGTTCGATTTACCCTCCGTACAGGAGTTTCTTGTGAAGGCAAATGCACTGATGAGAGATAAATAGAGAGACAGAGAGAGAGGAGGGGAGGGCACGGGTAAAAATAGGCACATGGGGCGAGTCACAGACAACGACACAGAGACTCTGGTGATGGTTATTGTGATGGCGTTGGTATTGCCCTTGATGGTTGTGATGATGATGGTGGTGTTGATGATGATTGTGGCGATGGCTTTGTCATGATGGTGATGATCGTAATGGTCATGATTACGATTCAAATGCTCATGATGATGGCAATCATGGTGATAATGATGATTGTGCCAATAATTATGATGGTTGATGTGACAAAAATCAAGTCGATGGTGATAACCGTGATGGACATAAGTTTAATGATGATGGTGTCAGTCTTCGTGACCATCATAATGGTCAAGATGATGATGGTCGTGATTGTGGTGGTGAAGATGATGATGATAATCAGTGTTGTCATGACAATAATTATGCAAACAATACGGATTTGTAACCATCATTGAGATGATTATAATGGATCATATTGATGTTCAGAATTAGAAAATGTCTTTCTCCTGGAGGAATCCGATGAGCTACAAAGCTATTTTCACAGCTTTCCAGTAGAGGCGGGTCAGAACATTACAACATCAAACAACACGATAGGGGTGCCACGTATAGAAAACAAAGAACTTTTAAAAATATACGGATAAAACTAAACTATTTTTGTATATTATCAGTTAAAGCCTACCGAGCCTACTGACCTGGCCACACATGCTATCTGGACGAAGTGGCTTATCGTACGGACATTTATAGCAGTACAATCGTCTAAATAATCTAAGCGCATGTTTCATCACCATCATGACGATGAACGGCATGATGATGATGATGACGTTCATCGTAGTGGCCAGCATGATTACTACAATGACAAGGATCATGGTGATGAGGACGAGGATGATGACGATGGCATCATCATCATCATCGCCGTCGTCGCCGCCTTTAATGACAACAGATGTCGGAGTTGGTGTTTGTGTGGGGGGGGGGGGGGGAGACTGATCTGGCACCCGGCACGACGTGGATGTGGCAACGCATGGGCCGGTACCCGCGTAGGACGTGTCCGGTTTCACCAGCAGCGCAAGTGAGCGATGTGGCTGCTTCAAATTAAAATAATGCCAACCACTCCATCCAAACCAAACCAACCAACCAACACGCGCAACGCAATAATACCATCACATTTTTTTTTTTAATTCCAGCGTGAAATTTAACTGTAGCCCATGGGCGAGACAATGCCACTCTTCATTCATTCTGTAGACACCGAGTAACTGGCTCTCGTCACGAGACTACCTCTGATGCCACCCAGTCCCGATGAATACGCACACGCAGATAGCTTGCGTCGATGATGATGCTGAGTGTGGTTCTTGTGACCGTCATCACCTTCCTCAATACGATCATCGTCCAGACGGTCAAAGTCATCATCGACATTATTGTCATGCACACATCAGTGTGAGACGCCAGTTAGGCCCTGGGACAATGCAGGTTCCAACTGCACAAATACCGAAGGCGACATCACAGCGATACACTCCGCTGGAGCTGACGCAGTTGTCTGGACTTGAACACCTGCATGTGCCATTGTCGTGGTTGCTCTACACATGAGCCATGAGAAAGAAGACGTAAAGGTAGAATAACTACCGTCGTCATCATCACCATCATGAGTATGATCACCGCCATCATTATCAACACCATCATCATCATGACAACCTAAATAATACTACACATAATACTCACTTTCAGATAGGCATTTAGAGAGACCACGTGTTACCTACCTCGTCACTCACACCCACCACCACCTCGTCACCCTTATCCCGTCCACCTTGTCACCTCTCTTCTTAATCTTAACCTCGCTTCCCCTCTGCTGCCACCCGATCACGAGTGAAGCTATTATATGTTTTACTGGGTAAGGCCAACTGCGCTACGTAGCGTTTTTTTAAAGCCACCTGGCCACAAATGATAGCTCAACGAAGTGGCTTATCATCACGTGGGCCATTCATAGCAGCCACATACAACACACGCGTGATGCCGATTCTAAATGTGGAGGTGAGAAAAAAAAACGGAGCACCCGGATAGAAAAATCCACGCGACCACGAGGAGGAGAGAGAGAGAGATACGAAAACTCCAAATATACAGCAGGTGCCAGGGTCGGGATCGAATCCACGAACCCTCCAGCATACCAGATCGAGGTAATTAACATCTCGTCACTTACTCCCCACCACTTCGTCAACCCCCCGAACCCCCAACCCTTCTCTCCCCCGGCAGACTTCGAGATGGTCTTACCAGTCGAGGTGGACGCTCGGGGCGCCGTGGTGTCTCCGGCCACTCGCCGCCGTCGGCGTGCCGCCACCTCCTCGCTCGCCTCCTCCTCGTCGCCTCGCTACTACCGACTGCGCGCCCACGGGGGCCGCGAGCTGCGGCTGTCGCTGCGTCCCGCGCGCTCCCTTGCTGGCGCCCGGCCTCACCGTCTCGGTGCTGGGCGCCGCGGGGAGCCCCCCGCGGACCCGGCCGCTGCGCGAGCGCGAGCGGTGCTTCTACCGCGGCTCGGTGACCAGCGACGGGGTCGGGGATCGAACCGGGACGGCGGCGCTCGCCACCTGCGATGGGCTGGTGAGTGGGCGGGTTGGGTGAGTGGCCGCGTGGGTGGGTGGGTGGGTTGAGTGGGTGAGCGTGCATGCGGGTGGTGAGTGGGCGGGCGGGTGAGTGGGCGCGTGGGTGGGTGGGTGAGTGGGTGGGTGAGTGGGTGAGCGTGCATGCGGGTGGTGAGTGGGCGAGTGGGTGGGTGAATGGGTAAGCGCGCGTACCAGTGGTGAGTGGGCGGGTGGGTGAGTGGGCGCGTGGGTGGGTGGGTGGGTTGAGTGGGTGAGCGTGCATGCGGGTGGTGAGTGGGCGGGCGGGTGAGTGGGCGCGTGGGTGGGTGGGTGAGTGGGTGGGTGAGTGGGTGGGTGAGTGGGTGAGCGTGCATGCGGGTGGTGAGTGGGCGAGTGGGTGGGTGAATGGGTAAGCGCGCGTACCAGTGGTGAGTGGGCGGGTGGGTGAGTGGGCGCGTGGGTGGGTGGTGGGTGAGTGGGTGAGCATGCGTGCATTTGGGTGGTGAATGGGCGAGTGGGTGGGTGAATGGGTAAGCGTGCGTACTAGTGGTGCGTGGGTAGTGTGTGAGTGGTGACCGAGCGCATGGTGAGCGGAGAGTGGTGAGCGAGTGGTGAGTGCACGCAGAGTTAATCGAGGTGATCTCGGAGTTTAATTGTGTCTGTAATCGTGAACGCGTGATCTGCGTGTCCTGAACGGCGCGGGCCTCCCGATCGCTATCGGAGAGTTGATCCGATGTAGATGGAACTCTGGGGTAGAGCGGTGTCGCTTCGTATGGGAACCCGGCCACGCTCGAGACGAGCCCCAATACTTGGGGACGCCGTACCATTTAGACTTCACAACCATCAACATTGTATCACGTAAACTCACGGCGAGTCCTATAAACTGGCTCACAGACAGTCCCATAAACTGGGTCAAAAATAGTCCCATACACTGGCTCACAAAGAGTCCCATAAACTGGCTCACAAAGAGAGCCATAAACTCGCTCACAAAGAGTCCCAAAGACTTGCTCACAAAGAGAGCCATAAACTGGCTCACAAATAGTCCCATAGACTTCCTTACAAAAAGTCCCATAGATTTGCTCATAAGGAGTCCCATATACTGGCTCACAGCGCGTCCCCATCGACTTACCGAGAGCCCCATAAACTGGCTGACAGACACGCCCATTGAGTGGCTCACAGAGAGACCCCACGATGCACAGAGAGACCCAGGTAGGCTCACGTCGAGCCCCCATGCACTGCCTCGTCTCTCCATAACACAACCACGCGCACTGGTTTATGAACAGCGTCCTGAAGATGGAATCGCTATTCGAAGCGCTCCGTCAAATCCCACATTGTGCTGCGTTGTGAACGAGCCAACCCAACCCCTCTTGCCTGATACGCCACGGAAGAACCCTGGCCGCTGATGAGCGGTCCCACTTCAGATGAATACATACTTTGCAGTCTCTATGTAACTATGAGTCTCATTGTATCTACGTGAGTTTCCATGTATCTACATGAGTCTCCATGCATCTCTATGAGTCTCCATGCATCTCTATGAGTCGCTATGTAACTCTATGAGTATCCATGCATTTCTATGAGTCTCCATGCATCTCTATGAGTCTCTATGTAACTCTATGAGTCTCATTGTATCTCTGTGATTATCCATGTATCGGAGCGTCCATGCATCTCTATGAGTCTCCAGGTAACTCTATGAGTATCCATGTATCTCTATGAGTTTCCATGTATCTCTATGAGTATTCATGTATCTCTATGAGTCTCAATGTATCTCTATGAGTCCCCATGTATCTCTATGAGTATTCATGTATCTGTATGAGTCTCTATGCATCTCTATGAGTCGCCATACATCTCAATGGGTCTCTATGTGTCTCTATGAGTCTACATGTAACGCTGTGAGTTTCCATGTTTCGCTATGAGTCTGTACGATTCTCTATGCTAGATAAGTTTATTAAGATGTTGAATAGGCTGGGCAGGATAGGGCAAAACCTCGCCCATTTTTCACCCAGCAAACTGGATAGCACCACAGACTAACTAAGTGTTACTAACCTAACAAGTGTTACTAACCTAACATTAACACTAACTATACATACTTTGTTAAATTGTATCCATTTGTTTTTAGCGACTTGCTGATTTTTTCGTTTGACTCGGGAGCATCAAAGACCAAGTGCTAATAACCTAACCTTGAAACAATTACAATAAACATTGAATTGATTGTATTGTTTCTTTATTTTTAGTGATTTGCTTATCTTATCCATACTATGCACTCCTATTGTATTTTTTCGTATTGTTTGTTGTTCCAATTTTCCGACTTCCTCCTTACTTTACATCTGTGAAAAAAGAGCTTCATAGCTCTGCGGATTCCTTCCTCCTCCAGTCTAAATAAAGATCATGATTCAATTAATCTTTCGAAGAGAAACCGCACGGCCTCTGTCTGCTCAGTGGCTCAGATCACCGAGATGGCCATGTGGCGAACACCGCTGCCACAAATACTCCCTTCGTCGTTTCAGCATCTCCCCTTTCTCCCTCGAAAACTATAAACTAAACTTTAGAAAAATATATTTGACCACGCAAAGCCCACTGAGCTACATGGCTCTTTTTCAGAAGCGATCTGACACACAAACTATAGCTGAACGAAGTGGCTTATCATCATGCGGAAATGTATAGCCCCAGCGAAATACTCTAAACGCGATTCTAAAATGTGGAGGGGAAAAACCGGAGGACCTAGAGAAAAATCCACGCGACCACGGGGAGAGAGACGCGCAGACCCTGTCAGGGTCGGAATCGAAGCCACGACCTCCTGTATACCAGGCGAGGTAGATAACATCTCACCACCGATTCTTAAATATGGTATTGTTAGTTTTAATATTAGTTTAGTAACACTTTGTCTGTTCTGTTCTCCAATTGCCTGGGTGAAAAGTGAGTTAGTTTTTTGCCTAAATCCTGACTACCTGGCTCAACAACTTAATAAACTAAACTACCTAATATTGTGAGTTTTTTTTTAAAATCACATTTGGCCACAAATTCCATTCGCGATGGGACTTTGGGGGGCTCTTCGTATGGGAGGAAGCAACTGGAGAACCCGGAGTAAACCCAGCCCTGGGGTGGGGGGTAACACTCAGCTGTGCCATCTCCTAGCCACATCTCACGAAAAAAAACTAAAACAAAATAACAACAACGAATCGCGAAGCTTGACCTACATTATACGAGCGGGGCTCAGAGCCACAGCTGCTATCATTTCCATTTAACATTTTTTATGGCTTAATTAATGCATCCATAGCTTATTTATATATATTTTGGAGACAGGCTCGTAGCCCCCCCCCCCCCCCCCCATGTGTCAGCCACAGCAGATGGAGCGCAGATTCAAGACGGCAGAGACAGCAGCTATTGCAGATGGAAGCGTGTTTACACACTCCCAAGATTCCTGGGTTGATCGCTGGTTTTTAAAGTTTTCGCTCTTAACCAACAGATCAATCTCATCGTCAGCGACATCATCAATACCATCACCATCGATACCAACACAGCCGCCATTCGCCACTGAGTGACGGTGACGTCACCACAGCGCCTGTGCCAGGCCAGGTGCACTTTGAGGCCACGTGAAGTGTCGAAGGCTCGCTGACGGGAGGAGGTCACGGGTCAAACCCGGGTGCCAGAGGTTGACTGACCGAGATGATTGGCAGATGCACCGGCTGGGCCCCCGACTGTGCCAACTTGCTGTGCTTAAGCCGCCCGGCACTCCACTCGTTGTTGTGAGCGTCGCTCCTCCGCCCTCCGTTGTTGTTGGAGGGCGACTGCCTCCAACTGCCCAGCAGCAGCGTCCTTCACGAGCCTCCAGCGCCACCACCATGAGCCATGGTCATTCCACTGCTGGATGATTTTCTCCCTATCGTCGCTATCATGTAAATTGCAATCACACATCCCTCCGGATGTTATCCCTGCCACCTGTGTTCCATATAGTTTCCTGCATAATAAATAACATTACACAATTAAGGATGCGCCCGTAGCTCCGTACGCAGGCCGACTGCTAAGCACAGTTAGCGAGTGCCTATTAAGGCCGGCACAGCATTGCGGAGGACCGGCGGTGTACAGCCAGCAACAAACCCGGCCGCCTTTGTCTCTCCATCGCTGATGCTGTCACGTTGCACACCGTTTACTCATTTAGGGCTGAGTCAACCTTGGGGAGGTCCATGACAGGTTCATATACCACTTGCCACTGACAATATCCATGGCTGGGAATTGTATATGAATAGCTTTTTGTAACACGAACCCGAGCCGCTAAGATCATTGCAGCAATGGCGACGGGAGGCGTCTGTCTGGAAGCAACGGCCTGGGTTCGATTCCATGATCTGGCGCCGTTCTGTGTAGAGTCTGTTTGTTTAGCTCCCCCACCCCCCTGTTCTCCAGAGTGAGTGTGTGAGTGAGTGTGTTAATGAGTGTGTGTGAGTGTGTGAGTGAGTGTGTGTGAGTGAGTGAGGGTGTGAGTGAGTGTGTGAGTGTGTGAGTGAGTGTGTGTGGGTGTGTGAGTGAGTATGTGTGAGTGTGTGAGTGAGTGTGTTAGTGAGTGTGTGAGTGACTGTGTGTGAGTGTGTGAGTTAGTGTGTAAGTGAGTGTGTGAGTGTGTGAGTGAGCGTCGGTGTGAGTGAGTGGTGTTTGTATTTTCTCACCCTGTTCTGCAGAGTATGTGTGAGTTTCATTGAGTCTGAGTGTGTGTGTGTGAGTGTGTCAGTGTGTGTGTGAGTGTGTGTGAGTGTGTCATTGAAGTTTGTGTGTTGTTCCCCTGCTTTCCAGAGTGAATGTCAGTGAGTGAGTTCTGTTTATATGTCCTGCCCCTTTTCTACAGTGTGAGTGAGTGATTGTGATTGCGTCTGAGTGTGTGTTTGCATGTTCTCCCCCGGCTCTCCAAAGTGAGTATGAGTAAGTGAGTGTGTGAGTGAGTGGCGTTTGTATATTCTCTCCCCCTGTTCTGCAGAGTGTGAGTGAGTGGAGTCTGTGTGTTCTCTCCCCCTAGTTCTCCATGGGGGTTTCTCTTCCCATACCTAAAACCATACCAAGTGCATCCCAATGCTGCAAAAAAATAACCCCTGCAAATGACTCATTTGGGATTACAGAGTAGCAACACCGCGCCTTTCTGTAAATACTATGGCAAGACCCTCCTGAAAGAGAGTCCTGAGACTCAGTGAGACATTTTTCGCACCTCCGATTAGAACGGTTAGCTACGTACGGTGCGAAAGAAGTTCAACACATGTTACTGGCTAACAAAGTATAACGATAGAATGGAAACCCTTGCATGACTCTTCCCCGTACAAACACATTTAGCCATACAAAGACAAAGATACCCCATATAGCCTGACCATACCTGTTGGGCAAAGTGCTGTTAGCGAGCACCTTTGACGACCGTCACGACACACGAGGGGGTGGGTGGCCAGCACCACGCCCGACCGCCTTTGTCTCCCTAGTGGCTATGTTTACACACCGCACCAAGTACTCATTTGAGGGCTGAGTCGACCTAGGGGGAGGCCCAGGACCGGCTCAGACAATCGCCGCTGGTGTTGGCCGTGAGCGGGAATCCAACTCAGGCCGGCAGGTTTCCTAGCGCAGCGCGCTAACCGCTGCACCACCGCTCCCCACACGAGTACACACAGACGCAGAGAGCCACACAATTGCACGCGTAAATCTACACACACACGCGCGCACGCAGACCTACACACACACGCACACGGTCCATACTCACGCGCTCTCACACGCACACGTGTGTCAGTGTTGGTTGACCCGCGGTGACCCCGCTCTCGGTGGGGGAGGTGGTTGGGGGGGTGGTGGTGGTATGGGGGGGGGGGGTATGGGGGGTGTAGCCGGTCCCACACCATCACCAGCGCAGACTCATTCGTCTCTCGGCGTGGTCACCACGGCCCCTTCGCGGCTCGCGCGCAGCGCACCGCTCGCTCGCCCCCCCCATGCCACGGACCCCCCACCCCCATCCTTTCTCTCTCTCTCTCCCCTCTCCAATTTCCTCTCCCCCGTCTACTCTCGCCCCTCCTCTCCGCATGCCCTTTCTTTCTCTCTGGTCGCCCCCCCCTCCTCATTTACTCTCACTCCCCCTCTCCTCCATCTCTTCTCGTCTCTCCGCACCCGATCATTTCACTCTCCCATCTCCCCACTCTCCGTTCTCCCGTCTACTCTCACCCCTCTCCAATGTCTCTCGCTCTTCCATTTCCTCTCTCTCTCTCTCAACTGTCCCCTGCCATCTCTCTCCACTCTCTCCCATTTCTTCTCCGCCATCTCTCATTTGCGCCGCCCCCCACCCCTCTCCCTAATCTCTCCTCTCTCATCTCCTCTCTCCACTCTCTCCTAACCGAACAACTCCCTCAACGAGAGATCAGCAGCGGAGAGTGAAGGGCAGAGTGGGAGGGGGTGAAAGTTGTAGAGGGGGCAGGGGAGAGAGCTAAGAGAGAGAGAGAGGGGAGAGAAGAGGAGGAGGAGGGAGTGGGGGAGGTGACGGCGGAGGTGAAGGAGGATGGGGGAGCTGGTAGGGGGGGGGGAGCCTTGACAAATTATCTTCAAACACACGCGCGCGCGTGTCGCTTTGTGGGAGGTCCCTCCCTCTGCTCTGCTTACCTCACGGCCTGGAATTCCCTCCAACCAGCTCTCCGCACTGCTGAATAACGATGATCATTGTCATCGTGAGCCGTGGTCTATCCACCGCTGGATGAAGAGCTCCCCACGCCATCGCTATCCGCAACGGTCCTGCGATGCCACACATCCATCTCGCTGACGCACACGCGAGCCGTGATGCCAGTCGCTCCATCTCCGTGGCGGTGGTCCACTCTTCCCCTAACTCTCTCTCTATCTCTCTGCGTGTGTGTGGCGAGTTTTCGTGTGTGTGTGTGGCGAGTTTCCGTGTGTGTGTGTGGCGCGTTTCCGCTACCTTTTGGGGCTGCCCCCCCCCCCCCCCCCCCCCCCGTCACGAGACTCGTGACATCGTTGTGACGATGTGTTTAGGTTCGGGGAGAGTGGGTGGGGGGTCGCTCGTTGTGGATTCAAGGGTTCGATCTCTCACCCGGCAGACGTCGAGTCATGGATATTCCTTTTTCCACCCCCCCCCCACCCATCCCTCGAAAAAAAAAAACGAAACGCACGCGATTTTGGGCTCAAGTCCAATACCAATCTCGGCACTGGTCTCTGCTGTCAAAGAGTGGCACACCCACGAGCACACACGTGCAAAGACAAAAATCGCCCGTATAGCCTGAACATACTGTTGGGGCAAGTGCTGTTAGCGAACACCTATGAAGGCCGGCACGGCACACGAGGGGATGGGTGGCCAGCACCACGCCCGGCCACCTTTGTCTCCCCAGTGGCGATGTTTAAGACACACCGCACCAGGTACTAAATTGAGGCTGACCACGACCTAGCGGAGGCCCAGGACCGGTTCAAATAATCGTCACTGGTGTTTGCCGTGAGCGGCAATCGAACTCGGTTCGTCGGGTTCATAGCGCAGCGCGCTAACCGCTACACTACCGCTCCCCACACACACGTGCACACACACATGCACACACACGAGCATACAAACACGTGTACGCATTTGCCAGCGCCTCGTGTGCCACTGCAATCGAATGTTTATCGGCGAATCTGTGCCTGTGTAATCGTTGAAAATCAACGCATTATATGTTTAAAACTATTGCGCAAGTTTTATTCTAGCAGGTAAGGCCCACTGAGCTGCTATATAGTTATTTTTCTAAAGCGACCTGGCAATCACAAATGATAGCTCAACGAAGTGGCTTAGCATCACGTGGACATGTACAGCAGCTAAATGTGTGACGTTGATTCTAAATGTGGAGGAAAACAACCGTAGGACCCGGAGAAAAATCCACTCGACCACATGGAGAGAAAGACACGCAAACTACAAATTGTACGGCATCGTCAGGGTCTGGATCGAACCCATGACCTCTTGTACACCAGAGGCGAGGTATTTAGCATCTCCCTGCAGCTGTATTAGCAGCAACAATATGATGTTCTGAAACGAAAACAATACATGTGGCGATGTTTCGGGCGATGAAGCTTCTTCATAACACACGAAGCAGGGCCGTAAACTGTCTATGTGTGTGTTTTCCTTGTTGGTATTAACGAGTGTAACTGAGTGCTTAAGTATCATTGGTCACATTATCCCCGCTGTGTGTGTGTGTTGGTCTGTATTTGTCGTGTGTCCGTGTGTGTGTCTGTCTGCGCGTGTCTGTGTCTGTATGTGTCTTTCTTTGTTTGTCTGTGCACGTGTATGTGTGTCTGTGCGCGCGTGCCCGTGTGTGTGTGCGTCTGTCCGTGCGTGTCTGTGTGTCCGTGTGTCTGTGCGCGTGTGTGTGTATCTGTCTGTCCGTATGCCTTCCTGTCTGTCTGTCCGTGTATGTCTGTGTGTCTGTGTGTGTCTGTCCTGTCCGTATGCCTGCCTGTCTGTCCGTGTGTGTCGTCTGCCGTGTGTGTGGTGTCGATGGTCCGCTGTGCTGTTGTGTGCAGTCAGGTCTGATCCGCACTCCCCACGGAGAATTCTTCATCTCGCCGCTCGTGCCCGAGACTGCGCGGAGGAGCCGCCACCGCCACACTCGCTCCGCCACCTCTCCCTCCGGTCACGCGCCCCACGCCCTCTATCGCCGGCCGGACAGACACGCGGAGGACGCGCGGAGACGCGCGGAGGAGACGCGGAGACGCGAGGAGGAGACGCGGAGACGCGCGGAGGAGACGCGGAGACGCGCAGAAGAGACACGGAGACGCGGGGAGGACGCGCGGGCACGCGCGGAGGAGACGCGGGGACGCGCAAAAGAGACGCGGGAACGTGGGGAGGAGACGCGGAGACGCGGGGAGGAGACGCGGGCACGCGCAGAAGAGACGCAGGGACGCACAGAAGAGACGCGAAGACGTGGGGAGGACGCGCGGGGACGCGCGGAGGAGACGCGGGGACGCGCAGAAGAGACGCCGGGACGCGCGGAGGAGACGCGGGGACGTGGAGAAGAGATGCGGAGACGCGGGGAGGAGACACGGGGACGTGGAGAAGAGATGCGGAGACGCGGGGAGGAGACACGGGGACACGCAGAAGAGACGCAGGGACGCGGGGAGGAGACGCGGGAACGTGGGGAGGAGACGCGCAAGGAGCATTACTGCGGACGGCGCAAGAAATGTATGTAAGGATCGGACTTTTTCATAAATTTGCGACGCAGAGATGCAGCCTCTCTCAGTCTCTGCCTCAGTAATAGGCGATCACAGAGACACAGAGAGTATTCCAGATACCCATAATCTATTATAGAGATCCAGACTATCACAGCGACCTATATATTAGTGGAGATTCCCAGTCTCTCTCACTGTCTGCCTCTGAATCGCCATTTCCGAGTAATATCAGGAGGAAAGCTGCTGGTAAAATCGAGCCTTTAAAATGAAAACGAATGACATATTTCAGATGGATTGATGATCAATGCCCTTTATAGTTTAGCTTTTTATTTTGAAGGGGCATTTACAGTTTGTACAATTGCAAATCGTATTGTTATTATGGTGTGATTATTATGGCAAATCATTATTAGATGCAAAACGCTTTTAACGTGACTGATACAATCCACTGTGCATGCGTACTTTTGTATACAGATAGTACATCACATGTGATAAACTTACACATATGCACAAGTACGCGCACACGCGTATACACTGCACACACATAGACAAAGATCCTCCCCCACCCCCATGGCCTTTATTAGACTGCTGGGGCACGTGCTGTTAGCGAGCACCTATTGAATGTACTCCACGGCACACGAGGGGGGGGGGGTGGGTGGCCAGCTCCACGCCCCGACAAGCCCACCCACACACACCCACACACCAACACACCCACACATCAACACACCCACCCAAACACACACCAACACACCCACACACCCATCCACCCACACACTCACCCACACACACACCCACCCACCCACCCACACACCAACACACCTACTCACACACACACCAACACACCCACACACCCACCCACACACCCACCCACCCACACACCCACCAAGACACCCACACACCCACACACCCACCAACACCCCCACCCACTCACACCCCCACCCACACACCCACACACCAACACACCCACACACCCACACACCCACCTACACACCCACTCACACACCGACACGCACGTGCAACGCTTACAGATATTTTTTTCTTGAAGACCAATGATTTTTAGAAAACTGCTTCGGGGGGGCGGGGGTGGTGATTTAGCCCCCGCACCTCCGATTAGCGCGCGGTTGGCTCCTATACGGTGCGAAAGAAGTTCGACGTACAGGACACCCTCATGAGAACATCCACCAAACTCCATCATCCACACCATCGATCACTTGCAGCGACAGAAACATCGCCTCCGGCGACTCCCACGCGGCCGGCGATGCGTAAAGCCAAACCCCCACTCTTTACCCCCCCCCCACTCTCCTCCAACTGGACCCCCCCTCCCTCCCACCCCCCCCCCGCCCCCCCAAAAACCCTCCTCCTTGGAACAGACGCGCCGAAACCACCTGGCAAGGATGCGTTCATCCACCCGGACGAATTCCCCTTCCTGCCCGCGGGAAAGTCTCCCCACGAATCCCCTGGGCTTGTGTCTCGGGACAGGGGGAGGCGGTCACCCGTGAGCGCACGGCCCAGCCGACGTGGAGAGGCCACGGTTGAGACCCTGGTGGTGGTGGACCCACGTATGGTGGCCAACCACGGGCGCGCGAGCGTGTCCACCTACGTGCTGACCATCCTCAACATCGTGAGTGGGAATACGGAATCTTTCTGTCGGCTGGAGGAGGAGGAGGTGGAGGAATCTGATGAGCTATGAAGCTCGTTCATCACAACATGTCCAGTGGGGCTGGGGGGGGGGAGGGTCAGCAAGTTTCAACAACAAACATATACAAACAACGATAGCAGTGCAAACTAGAGATAAGGTAACAGTCACTGCAATAAATACATGAATATCACGAGTACAAACATTTCAGCCGATTTGTTAACACCAAGTACAATCTTGGCCAAGGCAGCAAAACAACAAGTGGTGACGATTCTCAGCCCGGAGAGGAGTTGGTGTAGCTATTGGTGGTGGTGGTGGAGGCTATACTCTACTACTGCTGCTGCTGCTAGACGCGGCTGTCTGTGATGCAGCACTGCTGTGGAGGCAGCAGCGAGGGCGTTGGTGGATCACGGCACACAGGATGGCGAAATGTTGCGATTGACATCATCGTCCATCCCTTCTGTACAGGGTAGAGCTTTGTCGCTCCTCGCATGCCTGGGTGCTTTTTTGTCTCCAGGTGCTCCGGGTATCTCTCCCCGGTGGCTAGGAGATGTTAACTACCTCGACTGGTATACAGGAGGTCGTTGGTTCAATCCGAGACCCTGACGTCCGCTGCTATTGTATATTTAGAGTTTGCGTGTCTCTTACTCTCTCTCCCCGTGGTCACGTGGATTTTTCTCCGGATCCTCCGGTTTTCCCCCCTCCACATTTAGAAACAACATCACGCATTTAGAGTATTTGACTGGGGCTATACATTTCCACGTGATGATACTCCAACTCGTTGATCAATCTTTCGTGGTCAGATCCCTTCTGTAAAAGGCCTATATAGCTCTGTGGGCAATTTTTATATAACAAACAGTGCACTGATTGGCTGAATAATTTTTTTAAACATCTTAATATTTAGAGAATTGTAGATCAGTTGTCGGTAGCGCTGGTAGCAGCTTTCCAGCACGCGTCTGTGAGATTCCTACTCCACGATTGTGAAAAGCAATTTACATGAATGACCCCCCCCAGACCCCCCCACCCACCGCTTTCCCCAGCTCCCACTTGACCTCCCCCCCCCACTCTTCTCTGTCGCTCCATGTCCTTTGCAGGTGTCCAGCCTCTTCCGGGACGGCACTATAGGAAGCAACATCAACTTGGTGGTGGTGGGACTCGTTCTGCTCGAGGAGGATCAGGTGAGTAACTCGCGGGTCGCTGCTGGCATTCTAGATTTGAAGCTTTCGTGACTGCAAGGATTCATACTCTTTGGGTTTTTTGGTAAAGTCACGTAGGTAGAAAATAAAATAAAATTAATGAAAACAACTAAGCGGGTGTGCTTTCGCTACGTTGTCCCCACCTGAAGAAGGACACTTGTGTTGCGCCCAAAACGTCGTGATTTAATTTTCGATTTAAAGCTTTTGTGACTGCAGGGATTCATCTTCTTGGTTCTTTCGGTAAAGTCACGTAGAAGGGAAATAATAAAATAATAAAAATAAAACATCATAACATACAATTCTCACGACGTTTCGGCCACAACGCAAGCAACCGTCATCAGGTGAAGAACAGGGCTGTCGGAAAGACAAAGGCGCTCTCCTCCTCTAACCCAGCTTAAATATACGCTGCCAAGCGTGGTGGTGTTCATTCGGACGCTGTCTTTCCGACAGCCCCTTTCTTCACCTGAGGACGGCTGCTTGCGTTGTGGCCGAAATGTCCTGAGAATTATTTTATTATGTTTTATTTTTATTATTTTATTATTTCCCTTCTACGTGACTTTACCGAAAGAACCAAGAAGTCGTGATTTAATGTAGTTGTTTTCATTTATTTTATTTCATTTTTTACCTACGTGACTTTATCGCAGCTGGGAGTCAATCAATCTATCGAGTCTTCATTTCTACGGCACTAGCGCGTGCAAACGATGCCATTCAAAGTGCCGTGCAAGGGTGAAAGAAAACATTTCTAAAAGCACAGTAAAAGCAATTTCCAGACGAAATACAATCGAGTTATAATCAATTACCGAGAACAGCACCGCTCACAAGCCTAGGTTCGACTCTGTGATCCCTGCCCACTTGGGGGGGGGGGGGGGCGTAACGAATTGCCACGTTTTGTTAGCGTGTCAAAACCTCACGAGTTGGCTGTGTCGGGTGGCGGCGAGTTTACCGACACGACATTTACATTAACGCGATCTAACCCAGCGAAACGAAAACAACCCGTTATTACGGGTAATATTGCTCGCCTAAGCCTACGTGTTAAACAACAAGAACAACAACAGAAAACAACAACAACAAACAGCATCAGCAGCAACAAACAGTCCGCGTTTTTCCGAGTCTCTCGCGAGAACGAACCGCGTTTGTCCCGAGTGGCCGTGGGTTGAGGTGGACGCTGCGTGCTCTGTCGACACGGCCAGCCAGGTCTGGTCATCAACCACCACGCCGACCAGACCCTGTCCAGCTTCTGCCAGTGGCAGTCGGGCGTGACGGCGGCCGGGCGCCACGGGGGCCGCCACGACCACGCCGTGCTGCTCACCGGCACCGACATCTGCTCGTGGAAGAACGAGCCGTGTGACACCTTGGGTAGGGTGCCCTCCTAACTCCTCACCCCAACCACCCTGGCCCCCACCCCCAAACCCCGCTCCCCCCATCTACCCCTACGCACACGGAGGGACATAGGCTGGCAAAGAGACCCATAGACTCGCATAGAGCCCCACACACACACTCACACACAGAGGGAACCATAGCGTCACATTGAGAACAGGAGACCCGTAGGCTGACAGAGACCCATAGACTCGCATAGAGCCCCAAACACACACTCACACACAGAGGGAACCATAGCGTCACATTGAGAACAGGAGACCCGTAGGCTGACAAAGAGACCCATAGACTCGCATATACACACACACAGCCATAGAATCACATAGAGAATAGGATACCCATAGACTGGCAAATATACCCATAGACTCGCATAGAGACACACACAGCCATAGAAAAACATAGAGAATAGGAGACCCATAGACTTGCAAATAGACCCATAGACTCGCATAGAGACACACACAGCCATAGAATCACATAAAGAATAGGATACCCATAGACTGGCAAATATACCCATAGACTCGCATATAGACACACACAGCCATAGAATCACATAGAGAATATGAGACCCATAGACCGGCAAATAGACCCATAGACTCGCATAGAGACACACACAGCCATAGAATCACATAGAGAATAGGATACCCATAGACTGGCAAATATACCCATAGACTCGCATATAGACACACACAGCCATAGAATCACATAAAGAATATGAGACCCATAGACCGGCAAATAGACCCATAGACTCGCATAGAGACACACACAGCCATAGAAAAACATAGAGAATAGGATACCCATAGCCCGGCAAAAAGACCCATAGACTCGCATAAAGTTCCACAGACACACACAGAGCCATATAATCACATAGAGAATAGGAAACCCATAGATCGGCAGTGAGAGCCCATAGACTCGCATAGAATACGGACTCCATAGACTCATACAGTCATAGACTAACATGGAGACCCATAAACTCTCGTAGCGACCCATTAGAATCCCATAGAATCCCATAGACTCGAAGAGAGTGCCACGGAATCCCATAGAGACCCATCGACTCAAAATACGTCCATATAATCCCATAGGGACCCAGAGACCTATAGAATGGTATATAGACTAATGGACTGCTATAAAACCCCATTGACTTAAGAGACCCAAAGAATCGCGAACAGACTCGCGTACACAATGATGGCTCTCAAACTAGCCCGCGAGCAGCACTTGCCCCACGAGTGTGTTGAGGCTATACGGGGCATCTCTGTGTTTGGTGCGTGACGCAGGCTACGCTCCCATCAGTGGGATGTGCAGCAAGTTCCGCAGCTGCACGGTGAACGAGGACTCGGGGCTCGGCCTCGCGTTCACCATCGCTCACGAGTCCGGGCACAAGTGAGTGCAGCGCCACTCCAAGTGGAGTGATCGCCCCCTCCCACTCCAAATGACGTCACGCACCTTGGGGGGGGGGGGGCCGAGGAAGTCAGACATTTGTGACGATGTGTGACGAGGGGGCGGGGGGGTTGAGAAATGTGACGTCACATCAAAATGCGCAACTTTTAATACATATCGGCAACACGTTCTACTTAATTAAATATACTTTTTGATAAATGTTTTTTTTCTACAACATCAGAGTGCAGCGCCACATTAAATACGCACTACAATGCCAATAGTTTAAAGCAATTTGAAGCATGTTTTTTTTTGGGGGGGGGGCGGGCAGAGCTTTGTGACGTCATATTTGAGGGGGGGGGTCAGACATTTTGTGACGCCGTATGACGAGGGGGAGGGTGGGTCAAAAATCGTCCAAAATCGCGTGACGTCATTTATGGACGGCCCCCAAGGCATTTGCTTGTTTTTCTGCACGCACACCTGGCTCCCTCATCATCATCACGATCTATGGGCAGCAAGCCCGTAGTAAGTGTCCACTGCAGCTTTTCCACTTTCCTCTCTGTCTTGTCTTGTGCCAATATGGCTCAAGTGGTGGCCACGTCTCTCTGGCACCAATCTCGAGTTTGTCGTCGTCATTAGCTATTCCTCTCTTTCCAGCTACTTAAATATATATTCCGAACAACAACACTTTTAAATGTCCTGTTGTTGTCCATCCCACATATGCGATATGTGTCCAAATAGTGTCAGTCTCTTCTTGGTTCTTTCGGTAAAGTCACGTAGAATGGAAATAATAAAGTAATAAAAATAAAACATAATATAAAAAAATATATTATTTTATTATGTTGTATTTTTATTATTTTATTATTTCCATTCTACTTGACTTTACCGAAAGAACCAAGAAGATGAATTCCTGCAGACACGAAAGCTTTAAATCGAAAGTGTCAGTCTCCTTCTCGTCACTGCCTACATCATCAGATTATTGTACGCACAGTTAAATCCGCCCGCCTTGACGAATGAGAGGCTCCCTCAACACCCTGGCTTAGCCAGCTCTGCCGCTACTCTTAGCAAGAGATCCTTGGGATGAGCCCGGCTTAGCATCGTTATTGTGACCGCATTCCCTGGGTCCGGATCGTTGTAAGCCAGCAGAGAATGAGGTCAGATAGTGGGGGAAATACAGGGGAATTCGTCAAGAGTGCATTCCTACGCAATTGTGCAGAGGCATTGGTGATAATCTCCCGTTTGTAGCGCTGCTAGTGCCGGTAGTGGTAATTCCCCATTCCTATGGCAGGGGAGGGGGGTGAGTCTCTCCATAAGACAACCAACTGTTGACTTTCTCGTAAAATGGTAGCTATTTTATCGAGCTCGGAGGGACGCAGATAAGGATGATTGGCTGAGTCAATCCGTCCTATCAGGATTTGAACTCGCAACGTACCGATTGCTGAGCTACCTGCCTGGTGAATAATAATCGCCATCACTAAATTAAGAAATCAATAAATTAGCTGATTAACACATGTCTTTATTAATGTATCATTATTGTTACGACTACATTTCCTCGCTCTGCTTGCTCTGGTGATGCAGCAAAGGAATGAGGTCAGAGAATGTGGGGAATTAGAGGAAACCTCGTTCGCTCAGGCGACCCTGGTATACTCCTGCAACTCCAACCACTCTGCCGACACCACTGACTTCCGTAACATCATCGCCATCACCATCATGATCATCATCATCGTCAACAGCCACGATCATTTCAAGGGTTGGTGGATCACCGCACAGGTGTCGCGAAACTCCCCTCCGGGGGTACGCTCGATGAGGTGCCGTACCCTGGCTCACCAAGAGAATGTGATACGACTAAGTGTGGACTAATCTCCATCTGTTCCATCTCGCCTTCCGCGGTGCGGTCGAGGAGGAGCCGTACCGTGGCTCATCGATGTCAACGTCCGGAGGCTCCGTGTGCGACTCCACATTGGTAATGAGTCAAGTGAAAGCTAGATTAATGTCCCCCTTCTCCTGCCTCGTCTCCCCTCTTCTCCCCGCGTGCTTCTCCATCCTCCTCCGTGGTGGAGTTTCGGGATGGTGCACGACGGGGAGGGAAACCTGTGCAAGAAGTCGGAGGGCAACATCATGGCGCCCACGCTGGCGGGCAACAACGGAGTCTTCTCCTGGTCGCCGTGCAGTCGCAACTCCCTGCAGCGATTCCTGAGGTGTGAGCGACGGTGCAGGGCGCGCAGTGAACACGGACACGCGGAGACACGCGGGGACACGCAGAGACACGCGGAGACACGTGGAGACATGCAGAGACACGTGGAGACATGCAGAGACACGCGGCGACACGCGGAGACACGTGGAGACATGCAGAGACATGCAGAGACACGCGGGGACACGCAGAGACACGCGGAGACACGCGGCCATGCGGGCGGCGAGTGGCGCGCGGGCACACGGACACGTGGACACATCCTCATCCCCATCATCCACTACGACTACCACCAACTACCACCATCCCCTCCCTCCTCGCCTCCATCCCTCGCCCTCCCTCCCACCCACCGCCACCATCACCACCTCCTTTTATTTTCATGCTCTTGGTTCTCATCCCGCCGCCTTCCTATATCCAACCACGACCATCATCACCACCACCCCTGCTAACGCGTGGCCTCGCTCTCCTCCCTCTCGTCCACCTTCTGAAGCGCTCGCTCGTCACCGTGGCGTGCGCGATGACACCACCACCACGTGACTTTTCTTTTGTATTGTGCGCGGTGCTTTCAGCGCCACAGCGCGTCGATTTGTAGCGTTTATTTTATTTTGTTTGCTGGTCACTTTGTGTATTTCATATTGAAATCGCCTCCAGTGCTTTTGCTGCTGGCGGCAATAAAAGTAAAATTTCGATTTAAAGTTTTCGCGACTGCAGGGATTCATCTTTTTGGTTCTTTCGGTAAAGTCACGTAGAAGGGAAGTAATACAATAATAAAAATAAAACATAGTAAAATAATTATCACGACGTTTCGGCCACAACGCAAGCAGCCGTCCTCGACAGACCTGGTCTTCACCTGAGAACGGCTGCTTGCGTTGTGGCCGAAACGTCGTGAGAATTATTTTATTATGTTTTATTTTTATTATTTTATTACTTCCCTTCTACGTGACTTTACCGAAAGAACAAAGAAGAGGGGGCAATAAAAGTTGTTTTTAAAAGTAAAAAAAATCTCGTCCCAAAACTCTTCTTAGTTCTCATCCCACCCTCTCGACCCCCCTCCCCTTCCCCTCGTCCCTCCCCCCAGCTCGGCACAGTCGCTGTGCCTGATGGACGCGGCGCGGAGCGTGGGCGAGCTCGCGCTGCCCGAGCGTCTGCCCGGCGAGCGCTACGACGCCGACACGCAGTGCAAGTGGCAGTTCGGCGACAGGGCCAAGCTCTGCACCTTCGACTTCAAAAAGGTCGGCGCGCGCCTCTTCCCACGCGGGGGGTGTGGGGGCGGGGGGCAGGGAAGGGGGGGGGTCACGCGCGAGGTGAGGCACGCGTGGCTCGGTCTGTGACGTCATCGCCATGGCCGAAAAGTCTTTTCCCATTTAGCGGTGTTTATTTGTTTTTTACGTTTTATTTAAATGTGTCTTCCCCTCCACCCATCCCCCCCGACTACGTTTCGGGCATTAACCCCTTGACCAGTACGCGGGATTCCGGTTTTCTCTCGAGGTGAATAACCTCCCGAACCACACCGCAACTCTTTAGGAGCCAGTTCCCGTGACCCTCGCGATCCACGTGATCCGGACGGACGCACGCTGTGAACGCCCCCCCACCACCACCCTTAGCTAGAAAGCGCGGACGCCGATCGCACAAACAACCCCGCACTCTGTGTACGCAGACTTAATCCATCCTGGCGCTCGATTCCACATGGGAAAACCTTAATGTACTAAGCACACATGTTCTAGTATACTCTAGACTGGGCTTGCAGCGCAAAGCCTACCCCCCGCTCAACCCCCACCCCCTGCCCCCACCCCCCTGGCTCCCCAATCAAATCCATTAGCGATGTTTTTTATCAACTTGCTTCAGGCTCTCAGTGAGATGCTCTTAGTGTTGGGTTAGACCCGGCCAGAGAATGACGCTGATCCCTAGGGTAGCACTGTAGCGGAGGCTGCTCTTTCTCTCGTTAGCTCTCTCGCTCTCGCTTTTCCTTTGCTCGACCTCTTTCTCGGTCTCACTCTCTCTGTTTCTCTCTCCTGCTCTCTCTTCCTTGCTCACACCCCTCTCTGTCTCTCGCTCTCTCTCACTCTCCGTTATCTCTCGCGCGCGCTCTCTCTCTCTCTGGTCGGAGTTAAGTCATCTGCGATTCTTCTGGGAGTTGATTCTTTTTGGGAAAATATTTAGATTCAATTAAAGGCGCGCACAGCAGCGATGAGAGGAGAACTTACCAATGTGCCTAAGGAAGTTTCCCTCTCTGTGTGTGTGTTTAACGACTTGTGTACATAAATCAGTTATGGCATATGGCTGAGAAGCCATGATATCGGCAACACAGAATGCTGCTAAGTGGGCCTCAAGATCGACACAAGCCACACCGTCTCACGGACGGCAAGTTTCACTGAATAATAATACTACACCAACATTATAAAGCACCCCTTGAACGAGCGTTCTCAGTGGTGCTATGCGTGGCAAGGCGGACATAGTTTAGCATCGACCAAGGCACGAAGAAGTGAGAAAGGGGTTTGAAAATAACTACAGAAAAAGAGAGAGAAAAATAAATTTTAAACAGAGAGGTTGTTCGTCGAGATTTGAAGATTTGTAAAGTGTCTGGGAATTCCTCTGACCTCGAATGGGGCAAAGAGTTACCGAGTTTTGGTGGCCGCAATTGCAAAGGAAACGATCACCCCCAAGGGTGAAGCTTCGACCGTGGTGACAGTGAGCAGTGCACAATCTGAAGATCTCGATGATCTTGATTAAATATTCGTGGCTGAAGGAGATCATGAATCTACGGAGCAACAAGTCTATTCAAGGCCTTGAATAGCAGCAACAGAATCTTAAAATCAATGCGGGTACGGACAGGGAGCCAGTGAAGGGGCAGGTGCACATGTGTTGTGATGTGATCCTTAAAAGTTTGTGTTCCAGTTAGCACCCTGGCGAACGCATTTTGAACGTACTCCAGCATTTTGGCGTCATCTGGTCCAACACCAGTGGAGACTAGGCTCTAAGAAAAGCCGTCTCGGGTGTGGACCAATCAATTTCAAGGACAGTGCCTATCATTATTAGAGTTGTGTTTTATTTGTTTGCATTTTGACTGCTTGTGTTGTGGTTATTGCAAACATGATCCCTCGTATAAAGGTGTCAGTTTTGGTGTCAGATAAAAGGGTAGAAACCTATTACAAGTACTCCAGCCTGTGTACGATCTTGCTCGTGGTTCCAAGAGGCAGGGCAATTGCAGTAGTTAATGCGGGAGAAAACACATGCGTGGTTCAGTCTTTCTTTCAATATCTGAACACAACTGTTTTATTGCCTGCAGAAAGGGTCAAACCTATCCTTATATTTTATAGTGGCAAGCGAGGTCCCATGCTGTAGCTGATCACCCGAGCTCTCAATGTCCTGATAGTGTATTGTCTTTGGGCTGTATGCCTTTTGGCGTCCTCTGGTCTAACACTGTTTGAGATTAGGCTCTAAAGAAAGCTGTCTCTGGTGTGGAACAAATCAGTTTCAAAGATAATGCAACATGTACTACCAGAGCATGATTTTTTTGCATGCTCACCACAAGTATACGTGGTTAATGTAAGACATGATTCCTTGCGAAATGTTTCAGTTTGTTGTTTTAACATCTGAACACAGCTGTTTTATTGGCAGAAAGGGTGAAACCCATTCTTACCGTCTTTCAGTGTTTGCGGTATTAAGGATGTGACGCAGCCGGGATATGATCCTCAGGTGGATAAACGAGGTTACCAGGGCTCTGTTGACATGGAACTGAAAGGATAACGTTCGATTTAGAAGGACATCAAGGCTGTTGACCTCGTGTGTTTGATAGACGTTCCAACCATCAATAACCAAGTCAAGACAGATTGATTTGGATATCTAGTTGGGTGTACCGATGAAAATAAACTGTGCTTTATTATGATTCATTTTAAGGACGTTTTGAGACGTCCATGATTTGAAATGAGACAATGATAGCCGGAGCCCTTGGTGCCGTGGGGCAACTGAAGATATGAGAATCTGCATTTATTCTGGAGGAATCCGATGAGCTATGAAGCTCTATATATATTTTTTTTACAGATGTCCAATAGGGGCGACTGAGCGAGTTACAACAAACAATACACGCAAAAAAAACCGACAGGAGTGCAAAGTAGAGATAAGGAAAGCAAGCCACTGAAACTAATAAAATATAACTATTTAATTCTAGATTTGATCAATAATATAAATAATAATATAAATAAAATAATAAATCAATAATAAATCACACAGTGATTATACCGGGTCATCAGCGTATAAAACGAATATAACGCGAATGATCCACACACATTCACACGCAAAACAAAGATCCCCGTATAGCCTAAATAGACTGTTGGGGCAAGTGCTGTTAGCGAGTAGCACCTATAAAGGCCGGCACGGTACACGAGGCGGTGGGTGGCCAGCAGCACGCCAGGCCGCCTTTGTCTTCCCAGTGACGATGATTTTGCACACCGCACCAGGTACTGATTTGAGGCTGTGTCGGCCTTAGGTAGGCCCAGGATCAGTTCAGATAATCGTCACTGGTGTTGGCCGTGACACAATTAAACAATCGTTCACAGACGAACACAACAAGAACCACCTTTAACCACGAAGTGGCGGTGACGTCACCATGAGGCCTGTGCCAGACCAGGTGCGCTTTGTGGCCACGTGAAGTGTCGAAGTCTCGCTGCTGGCAGGAGGTCACCAAACAAACCCCGGTGCCATGGGTTGACTGACTGAGATAACTGGCAGATGCACCAACTGCACTCCCCATTATGCCACCTTTGTTGCGTTTTAGCCGACCGGAGCTCCGCTCGTTGTTGTGAGCATCGCTCCTTTGCCCTCCGTTGTTGCTGGAGGGCGACTGCCTCCAACTCCCCAGCAGCAGCAGCGTCCTTCACGAACCTCCTCCACAGAGGCCGATCTTGACAACGAAAACACGCACACACTCGCTCGCTTACACACGAACGCGCACACACCACACGTGGTCTCGTCACCGCTAAAGTTGCTGATAAACGAGGAACAAAAACAAAACCGCGCAATGAAAATCTACGCGAGAACGCTCACTGGGGGGTTATCGCCAAGTGGGAGATGGAGCGATGAAATCATGGCACACGCGCGCCCGCTCGCACGCACGCGCGCCCCAGACGATATGCAGCTGCGCTGCAGCGAAAACGGTCAAAGGTGAAGGATTTCCGCATCGGCTATCATCGACAGTCGACAGCCACGCACCGGGTCCTATGACTTAGCAGCGTGCGGCTTTCTTGGATAAACAACAATAATAATAATACTAATCAAATGTACTTTAATATTGTATCATCCGTGCGCATTGCATCCCACAACGCCTGTACATTCACTAAAAATGGGGATCAATTCTGCCTCCCTAGCGATGTTTACTACACGCCGTAATTATTATTATTATTCATTATTATTAATTAATAATACTAATATTTGGACTGGAATAGTGCCGATGACGTCGCGGATTGGCTGTGTCTCGGGTGACGCGAAAACAGCGATCAGATGGCGCCACCGCGAGAGAATTCCACCGTTTCCCTGACCCAGGCGGTCGGCAATCTGCAACTGTGGAGCCGCATGCGCTGGCTCTTTAAGGACGGCTGCTTCGTGACGCTCTTAAGCCGACTCTATTCCTAACTCTACCCCGATGGCATTCCTATTCCTCACCCTACTCTATTCCTATGCGTAACCCTATTCAATTTCGATTTAAAGCTTTCGTGACTGCAGGGATTCATCTTCTTGGTTCTTTCGGTAAGTCACGTAGAAGGGAAATAATAAAATAATAAAAATAAAACATTATAGTATTACTTCCCTTCTACGTGACTTTACCGAAAGAACCAAGAGCCATGAAGATGTAACCCTATTCAATTCATGGCCCTAACCCGACTCTATTCGTCATGCGCAACCCCTATTCAACGGCTTGTTCCTAACCCTTCCGTCGATCCTGCACTCTCCCCACAGGACATCTGCAAGGCCCTCTGGTGTCACAAGAGTGGCCGGCGCTGTGAGACCAAGTTCATGCCAGCGGCCGAAGGCACCTCGTGTGGGATCAACAAGGTACGGGGGAGGGCAGGGGACCGCTCGCGCACACAAGCTCACCCCGTGTGGATGTTGACCTTCTTTCGCACCGTGCGTAGCCAACCGCGCTAATCTGATGTGCGAATGAAAAGCAACAAGCTAAACATGAAAGGCAGTTCTAAAGAAATGAGTTCGTTCGTATGGATTATTTTAAGGTGGATAGCTCCCAGTGGGCTTCCTGATTTCGGAAGGGAGAGCGTTCCAGACGGCCACAGAAGCGCATCTTGAAGCGTGCGCTACAGTGACCATCTTTGTTTGATTGCCAGCCTCGAGCTGCTGCTGCTGCTGCTGCTGCGAGGGAGCCCATTGTCTTCCCCCACATAGCTGGTTCATCCTGAGCATCATCCGTCGCGATCTTTCCACTGCTGGATGAAGGCCCTAGCCAAGCCGTCGCCATCTCGTGCGCAGGAGCCGAGTCAATCGCTCCATCTCCGCGGCGGACGCCCTCTCTCTCTTTCTCTCTGTCTCTCTGTGTGTCTCTCTCTGTGTATCTCTGTGTCTCTTTCTCTTTCTCTCTGTCTCTCTTTCTCTCTCGGGTGCGTTCTCTCCTTTGGCTGCCACTCCGTCGTTAGCCTCGCCCGCCGGCCATCCGTCGTCCCGGTGCCGCGAGCCGCGTGCTGCCCGAGTCTGCTGCTGCCTCCTCTTAGAGGCGGCCGCTGCGTTGGCTCTAAACGTGAGCAAGTTTATACGATCCACGCGCAACTCTTCCCTTCTCTCTGTTGCTCCTCTGGGCGCGCGGCCTCTCCGTCTCTGCCTTGCGCACTTTTCAGCTCACGCTTCGCTTGTCGTCGGGGTCACGGCTCGCTCGGGGTCACGGCTCGCTCGGGGTCACGGCTCGCTCGGGGTCGTGGCTCGCTCGGGGTCACGGCTCACTCGGGGTCACGGCTCGCTCGGGGTCACGGCTCGCTCGGGGTCATGGCCTGCTCGGGGTCATGGCTCGCTCGGGGTCACGGCTAGCTCCGGGTCACGGCTCGCTCGGGGTCACGGCTCGCTCGGGGTCACGGCTCACTCGGGGTCACGGCTCGCTCGGGGTCACGGCTCGCTCGGGGTCACGGCTCGTTCAGGGTCACGGCATGCTCGGGGTCGTGGCTCGCTCGGGGTCACGGCTGGCTCGGGGTCACGGCTCGCTCGGGGTCACGGCTCACTCGGGGTCGTGTCTAGCTGCGTGCATATATGGAAACGATGGCACTCATACCTACCGCTTTGGGGGAGGGGAGAATCCTGGGGTTCTGTGCACGGGATTCTGCAGCGCCTCTCTGATTGAAGCTGCAGACCATTGCCTGGCCGGATTTTCCAAAAGAGCCATCCAATCCCTGCGTGGTTTACTTTGGCAGCGAAGCACGCGAGCTTACTGTGCAGTTTTGAAACGGACGCACGCACCCACCCACACGACACACGCGGCTACACTCGACCAAAAGCAAAAAAAAACAACCAACCCAAAACCAAACCTTATAATGGATACCACATTGAAAATGAATTGTACGACTTGCTGCAAAAATAACAATAATAATAATCAATATATACGGATTTTATGTCGAACCGAGAGTTGAGATTCAAACGAATGGCTAGGAGGAGAGTCAACTGGCTCCTGACTTATTGATGTTATAATATATATAATGATATTAAGAACTTGTTTATTTATAATGGAGAGCCACGGGGAGGCAAAAAGAGGGTTGTGAATCTGTGGCAATAATATTTAAGCTGAAACGTGGCGTCGCACGCTACCCCCCCTGGCTCTCGTAGAGAGAGAACAGGGTGCCAACATTTGCCCGAGCTCTGCGGTCCTCTATATCGTAAGATATTTGCAGAAAATAACGACCAGTCTTTATTTATACACGTGTGGGAGGAGGAAACAGGAGTGCACGCAAGTTAAAAAAATAGCCCACGCCTTGCGCGAGGGGGAAACACTCTATCCCCCGTGCACACGATTAGTCTACGCTCCCTTGTACCGCCTTCTCCTGGCGAGCCAGGGGCATGGCGCTTCCTCGACGTCAACCCACGGGAAAGAAGATTCAGACGACATCTGTGTGCGGTGACCCACCAACCCGCTGCTCCCTCCTCCACAACGGTTCTGGATTAGAGGCAGCAGCAGCATCAGCAGCGTAGCCACCACCGCCACCACCACCACCACCGGCGATGCGTCTGGTGACATCACCGTCACCCGATGCAGTTTAAAGTCGCAGCCATACAGGACGTCGCATGCGCACGATTAATGCGGCCAATTCCAGGAGGGGCTGCCTTGCGTATGTGTTAAGTGACATTGGCTGGGTTACGAAGGATCGCGCATCTGCGTGTGCGATGTGTAATGCGGTATAACAATAATACAAAACACTACTAATGACCGGGGGGCGGGGGGGTTGGAGGAGGGGGGGTCTCAATTAGTCCTGCATTAAGATGTTTGGCCAGTGCCGTTACTCAGACTGCGGCTTCGTGTGGGAGGCGAAGAGCAAAGCACTCGGAGTGGGGAGGGCTCATGCCTATCTCCGCACAGATAGATTCAAGAATCTACTACTCAGGCACCAACGTTACCGACGACGTTCAGCAACATGCACGGGCGTCTCATCTCCCTAACCCTACCAAAGACCCCCCGTATAGCCTTAACAGACTGTTGGGGCAAGTGCTGTAAGCGACGAGCAGCACGGATCAAGGCACAGAAGGGGGTGGGTGGCCAGCACCACGCCCGGCCGCCTTTGTCCCAAGCGGCGATGTACACACACCGCACAGCAGGTACTCATTTGAGGCTGAGTCGACGCAGGGGAGGACCGCGAGCCGTTCAGATGCTGCCCGTCACCGGTAGTTGGCCGCGAGCGGTAATGGAACTCGGCTCGCCGGGTTCGCAGTGCAGCACGCTAACCACTTGCACCACCGCTCCCCAGTGGCGTTGTGACGGCATCGTCGGCACAGGTGATGCGGCAGTCGGTCAGGTGGGGGCCCCCCCAACATTTGATTTGTCTCGCACGATCGCACCCCGAGGATATTTAAATATCGCGGCTCCTCTTGCCCTAAGGGGCCGTCCATAAATGACGTCACGCGATTTGGGACGATTTTTGACCCCCCGCCCCCTCGTCACACGACGTCACAAAAAGTCAGACCCCCCCCCCCCTCAAATATGACGCCACAAAGCTCTGCCCCTCCCCCTCCAAAACCATATTTACATTGTGAAAATAACACATGCTTCAAATCGCTTTAAATTATTGTCATTGTAGTGCGCATTTAATGTGGCGCTGCACTCTGATGTTGTAGGAGTGTTGTTATAACAATAAGTGTTGCTATAACAATTATATATTTATTTGAAGTTGCGCATTTTGATGTGACGTCACATTTCTCAAACCCCCCACCCCCTCGTCACACATCGTCACAATTGTCTGACCCCACCCCCCCCCAGGTGCGTGACGTCAATTATGGACGGCCCTTAATCACATCGCCGCGCTCACGGTTTCGAACGTTTAGGTGCTGTAGGGGGGAGGGGGGGGGGCGCTCCGTTTTAAATAAGGTGCCAGCTACCAAACAACTGCCCAAGCTCCACGTTCCTCTAGATACCAAGATGTTTACAGCCAATGAATAATCCCCGTCATCTGCGAACGAAAGAGGCTTCGCAGCTCGTCGGATTCCATCCTCCAACACGAGTGACAATTCCCCACAATTCTCAACCCCCTGCCCCCCCAGTGGTGCCGACGCGGCCAATGCCTGCGGCACGGCGACGAGGGCAGCCGCCCCATCGACGGCCACTGGTCGCCGTGGTCGCCCTGGTCGGCATGCTCGCGCACGTGTGGCGGCGGCGTGAGCTCGCGGGAGCGCGAGTGCGGCGCCCCGCGGCCCCAGCTGGGCGGCCGCTACTGCCCGGGCACGGGCCGCACCTTCCGACTGTGCGAGGCGCGCGCGTGCGCCCCCGACGCCGTCGACTTCCGATCGCTGCAGTGCGCCGAGTACAACTCGCGGCCCTTCCGCGGCCTCCTCTACGACTGGAAGCCGTACACGCGCGTCGAAGGCAAGCGCGGGGGGTGGGGGGAAACGCCGAGAGAGAGCACGGGGGGAGGGAGGTGGTGGTGGTGGTGGTTGTTGAAGGAAGAGGGGAGATGCGCCGTGGAGGTTGTGGTGGGAAGAGGATGGAGGAGGTGATGGTAGTGATGGGAGGGGGAGGATTATGGGGAAGGAGGTGGTGGGAGGATGGAGGAGGAGGTAGTGGTGGTGGTTGTGGGAGGAGGAGGATGATGGGAGAGGTGGTGGTGGTGATGGGAGGGGGAGGATCATGGGGGAGGAGGTGGTGGGAGGATGGAGGAGGAGGTGGTGGTGGTGGGAGGGGGAGGATGATGGAGGAAGAGGTGGTGGTGGGGGGGGGAGGATCATGGGGGAGTACGTGGTGTCGGGAGGAGGATGGGGGATGGATGGAGGAAGAGCACGGAAAAGGAGGAAGAGGAATAATACAACGGAGAAGACGGGTGGTGGGAGGAGAGGGAGGAGAGGGGGGAGGAGGAGAGAGGGGATCAAGGAGGAGGAGTGACGAAGAGGAGATTGAGTGGTAGTCATAGTAGCAGTTAGTCCAGGTGGTGGCAAGAGGAAGAGATAGACGGAGACGGGAAGGAGTCGGGGTAGGAGGTGTGATAGTAGTGGAAGCAAGGGAGGTATGAGTAGTAGCGTCAGCATCAACATCATCATCTGTCGCAACAGTAGCATCATCATCTGCAGCATCAGGAGCATCATCATCATCCGTAGCAACAGTAGCATCATCATCTGCAGCATAAGGAGCATCATCATCATCCGTAGAAACAGTAGCATCATCATCTGCAGCATCTGCAGCATCATCATCATCCGTAGTAACAGCAGCATCATCATCTGCAGCGTCAGGAGCATCATCATCATCATCCGTAGTAACAGCAGCATCATCATCTGCAGCATCAGGAACATCATCGTCATCATCATCATCCGTAGTAACAGCAGCATCATCATCTGCAGCATCAAGAGCACCATCATCATCATCTGCAGCATCAGGAGCACCACCATTATCATCATCCGTAGTTACGGTCCCCCCCCCCCACACCTGCCCCCCCCCCCCGTGCTGCCCCGTGCACCTGACCTTCCGTGACCCTGCCCCCCCCGCCACGACCTCTGCGCCACAGAGCAGGACATCTGCCGCCTCTACTGCCTGGCCGACAAGTTCAACTTCTTCTTCGCGATGGCGGGCAAGGTGAAGGATGGCACGCGGTGCCACCAGGACCGCCGTGACGTGTGCATCGAGGGCGTGTGCGAGGTACGGTGGCCAGAAGATGTTAACTCCCTCGCCTAGTATACAGGAGGGACCATGGGTTCGATTCCCGACCCTGACGATGCCTGTTTGTTTGGAGTTTGCGGTGTGTGCGTGTCTCTCTCTCTCCCCGTGGTTGCGTGGATTTTGTCTCCGGATCCTCTGGTTGTTCCCCCCCTAATTTAGAATTAACATCAAGCGTTTAGAGAATTTGGAATTTTGGATAATGATGATAAGCCACTTCGTTGAGCTATCATTTGTGGTCAGGTCGCTTCTGAAAACGGGCTGTACCACTCTGGTCAAAAAGAAAAAAGTTTAGTTTTTAATCGTTTTCAGTATTTAAAGTTTATTTTTAAGCCGTCGGGACGGCGCTAAGCAGCATTACAAAATAATCTGCAATGTACACAAAAAACAAAGATCACCTGTATAGCCTTAACAGACTGTTGTGGCAAGTGCTGTTAGCGAGCACCTGTGAAGGCCGCACCAACACACTGCCACACACACACACCCACACACACCCCTCCCACACACCAACACACCCCCACACACCCACCCACACACACCCACCCCCACACACCCCCACACACCACACACCCCCACACACCCCCACACACCAACAGACACACACACCCCCACACACCCACACACACACACCGCCACACACCCACACACCAACACATACCCACACACCCCCACACACACCCACACACACCCACACCCCCCCACACACACACACCCACACACACACACCCACACATCCACCCCCACACACACCCCCACACACCCCCACACACACCCACACACACCCACACCCCCCACACACACACACCCACACACCCCCACACACACCCACACCCCCCACACACACACACCCACACACCCCCACACACACACACACCCCCCACACACACACACACACCCCACACACACACACCCACACACCCCCACACACACACACACACCCCACACACACACACCCACACCCCCCACACACACACACCCACACCCCCCACACACACACACCCACACACACACCCACACACACCCACACACACCCCCCACACACACACCCACACCCCACACACACACACACACACCCACACACACCCACACCACTCAAGTCCAAAAGAAACTCCCTGACTCGGGCCGTGCAACGGACGGCAACGACGGCGCTTGCCCCCCCGCCCCCCCCCCGCCCCCCGCCCCCCGCCCCGCCCCTTGCCATCTGGCCCACGTTAACGGGACTCTGCGTCTGCGGCGTCGTCGCTGCTGCTGCCGCTGCTGCTACTGCCGCTGCCGCTGCTGCCGCCGCTGCCGCTGCTGCTGCGTGAAGTTCTGTTTGCGATTACGGCCATGCAGGCGTCGCGGCTTTGAGGCGCTCCGATTTGTAATTCAGCAGCGCGGGGGTCGGGGGGGGGGAGAGGGTGAAAGCTCAGGGCCCCGTGCGGCTCAAGGGCCCCCCCTCCCCCCCGAGTTTTAATGGAAGCAAGATGGGGGGGGGTGGGGGGGAGACGAACGCGATTTGTCAGCTCGCTTTCAAATCCCACTGAAGTTAAATTCCAGCAGACACGAACACTCGAATTAGTCTCCCTCATCCGTCTCTCTGTCTGCGTCTCTCTCTCTCCTCACTCCATCTCTGTCTTGTGCCTGCATCTCTCTCATCTCAGGAAATGGATTGGACACTTTTGTGGCTTTCCTGGGTAAATAAGTCATCATTATCTCATGCTGTGACCCCTTCTCATGCTGTGACCCCTGTGACCCCCACCGCCCCCCCCCCCCCCCCCAAGGCTGTGGGCTGTGACAACGTGCTGGGCTCGGGCGCTCTGGAGGACTCGTGCGGCGTCTGCCGCGGGAACAACGCGAGCTGCCAGTTCGTGCGCGGCGTGTTCACGAGCCAGCAGCCCGGCCACGGTGAGCGACGCACACACGGACAACATCAACAGCAACAACAACCGACATTCGCCACTAAGTGGCGGTGACCTCACCACGGCGCTCGTGCCAGGCTATGTGCACGTTGAGGCCACGTGAAGCGTCGAACGCCCGCTGGCAGGAGGTCACGGGGCAGACCCAGGTGCCACGGGTCGAGTGACTGAGATGACTGGCAGATGCACCAGCTGGGTCCCCTACGCACACACACAAAGACAAAGATCCCCCGTGTAGCCTTAACAGACTGTAGGGGCAACTGCTGTTAGCGAGCACCTATAAAGGCCGGAACGGCACACGAGGGGGTGGGTGACCAACACCACGCCCGGCCGCCATTGTCTCCCCAGTGGCGATGTTTACACACTGCACCAGGTACTCATTTGAGGCTGAGTCGACCTAGGGGAGGCCCATTACCGGTTCAAATAATCGTCACTGGTGTTGGCCAAGAACGGGAATCTAACTCGGGTTCTCTCGGTTCATAGCGCAGTACACTAACCTTTAATTCTAGATTTGAAGTTTTCGTGACTGCAAGGATTCATACTCTTTGGTTTTTTCGGTAAAGTCACGTGGGTAAAAAATGTAAATAAATTAAATCTCGACGTTTCGGGCGCAACACAAGCTTCCATCTTCAGGTGGGGACAACTTAGCGAAAGTACAACCGCTTAAGTGGCACCAGCACACTTAAGGACGCTTGTGTTGCGCCCTAAACATCGTGATTTAATTTATTTTAATGTTTTAGCTACGTGACTTTACCGAAAAAAACAAAGAGTATAGTAAACTAACCACTATACGCACGCGCACACACACGTGCACACGCATGCGCCAAGATGCACACAAAAAACAAAGATCTCCCGTATAGCCTTTAACATACTTTTGGGGCAAGTACTCCTAAAGGCTGGTCGGACCGCCTTTGTCTCCCGAGTGCTGATGTCTCCACGCCGCAACAAGCGCTCATTTGAAGCTGAATCAACCCAGCGGAAGCTGAGGACCGGCTCACATATTCGTCACCGAGTGAGCAGAATCGAATTGGGGTCGCCCCCGGTTCACAGAGCAGTGCGCTCACCACTACACCACCGCTTCACACACACACACACTCACACATGCGCGCGCTCAGCACGAGCTCGTAGGAACGGACGCGTGCAAGAATGCGTTCATGCGTGCATGAGAGCATGGACGCATGAACGCACGACTGGATGGACGCGTGTGTGCATGCGTTCATCCGTGCGTGCGTGAACGAACGCGCGGATGGATGTTCTCACTCATGCACGCGTGAACACAAGCAACGGCAAATATCTCCCGTATAGCCTGACATATGTTGTGGGGCAAGCGTTGTTAGCGAGTAGCGCCTATGAAGGCCGGCACGGCACACGAAGGGGGTGGGTGGCCAGGCCAGCACCACGCCCGGCCGCCTTTGTCTCCCCAGTGGCGATGTTTGAACACCGCACCAGGTACTCATTTTGAGGCTGAGTCGACCTAGGGGAGCCCCGGAACCGTTTTAGATAATTGTCACCGGAACGGAATCGAACCCGGGTCGCTGGGTTTATAGCGCAGCACGCTAACCGCTACACCACCGCTCCCCAGCAGATAATCATTTGAGGCAGACACTCACGCACATGTTGAGACGTAGCTACTTCCTAAACTCGGTGAGCATGGCGATGATGATTCTTCGTGAATATTTGTGTTTGTGCTTCTTGTGCTGGTGCCATTCCTCAATTTGTTGATTCAATTTTAGATTTTGCTTGGTAGTAGTAGGTTTGAAGCTTTCGTGACTGCAGGAATCCGTACTCTTTGGTTCTTTCGGTAAAGTCACGTGGGTAGAAAAAAAAATATAAAAAAATATCACGCTGGTCGAGCAGTTAAACTGCTGGATTATTTTTTCCGCCTGAGGACGACCACTTGTGTTGCGATGGAAACGTCGTCATATATATATTTTTGTTTTCTTTATTTTAATATTTTTCTACCTACGTGAATTTACCGAAAGAACCAAAGAGTATAGTAGCAGTAGGGTTTGTTTATTTGCTTCGTCGCGGCGGTATATTGGATTGGGACCTAATATTTAGAGTTCATGTACAGCGTTATGGGGTGCTATTTGCACGCATGATGCTCTATTCACCGTCAAGTATAATTAGCATTCAATTCGGCCGGGTGGCTTGCTGGTCGAGTGAGCGGCTCACTTCCTGGGTTACAACGAGCGCCAAGGATCGGGGCTCGAACTCACGACCCCTCGTGCGGTACCAGACGAGGCAGTCGACATCTCGACGACGCGAAACGCGGTGAACTCGGCGTTAACCTGACAGCCCTTACCCCACGCTCACTCCTCCCTCCGCCTGCTGGCGACCCCGCAGGCTACCGCGTGGTGGTAATGATCCCGGCCGGTGCTCGGAGCATCCACGTGTCGGAGGTGAACATCTCGGGCTGCTACCTCGCGGCTCGGGACGCGCGCGGCCGCTACCACCTGACAGGCGGCCACACCGTGGACTGGCCGGGGCGATACGAGTTCGCCGGAGCGGCCTTCAGCTACAAGCGGCCCTACAACAACGGCGAGAGCCTCAGCAGCGCGGGCCCCACCAACGAGACGCTCGTCATAGAGGTGCGGGGGGTGGGGGTAGTGAGCGAGTGAGTGCGCGAGTGAGTGAGAGAGTGAACAGGTAAGAGAGTGAGCGAGCGAGGGAACGAACGGAGCGAGTGAGCGTGTTAGCAGGTTAGTGAGCGAGTGAGCAGGTTAGTGAGTGAATGAGTGAGTAGGTTAGTGAGTGAATGAGTGAGCAGGTTAGTGAGCGAGTGAGCAGGTTAGTGAGTGAATGAGTGAGTAGGTTAGCGAGTGAATGAGTGAGCAGGTTAGGGAGCGAGTGAGCAGCGTAGTAAGTGAATGAGTGAGCAGGTTAGTGAGTGAGAGAAGTGAACAGGTTAGGGGGCAAGTGAGCAGGTTAGTGGGTGAATGTGCGCGCAAGCTAGTGAGTGAGTGAATGAGTGAGCAGCATAGGGAGCGAGTGAGCAGGGTAGTAAGTGAATGAGTGAGTAGGTTAGTGAGTGAATGAGTGAGCAGGTTAGGGAGCGAGTGAGCAGGTTAGGGAGTGAATGAGTGAGCAGGTTAGGGAGCGAGTGAGAATGTTAGGGAGTGAATGAGTGAGCAGGTTAGGGAACGAGTGAGCAGGGTAGTGGGTGAATGTGCGCGCAAGCTAGTGAGGTGAGTGAATGAGTGAGCAGGTTACTGAATGAGCGAAGGAGTAAGGACTGAGCAGGTGAGTGAGCGAGTGAATGAGTGAGCAGGGGGGTGAGTGAGAGAGTGAGTGAAACAGGTAAGAGAGCGAGCAAAATAAGAAACGATCACGTTAGTGAGTGCACGTGTGAGCAGGTTAGTGAGTGAGTGAGCATGTTACTGAGTTAGCGGGGGAGCGAGCACTGAGCATGGTAGTGAGTAAGTGAGTGAACAGGCGAGTGAACGAGCGAGTGAGTCATCTTGAGAGAGAGAGGGCGAGTCACGGACACACGCCATCGACGCCTGCTAGCAACTAGCGACGTTCGCCACTCATGCTCACCATGGAGCGAGTCACCCCCCCCCCACTCGCCATCAATCGTCTGGCGTGACTGTGTGAGATTGTCTCTCTGCTCCGGCGGTGTCATCGCAGCTGCTGATGTTTGGCAAGAACCCCGGCATCTCGTGGGAGTACACGGTGCCACGTGGTGGCGGGTCGGACCGTACGAAGGTGGCGGCCGCGCCGCGACACTCCTACAGCTGGGTGGTCGTGCGATCCACGTGCAACGCCACGTGTGGCCGGGGTGAGGCGCGCAGACGCACGCACGGACACACACACACGGGGAGACACACGGGGGCAGACATGCACACACACACGGGAGACACACACACGGGGAGACACACACATACGGGGAGATACACACGGGCAGAGACACACACACGGGCAGAGACACACACACGGGGTGACACACACATGGAGAGAGACACGGGCAGAGACACACACACGCGGAGACACACACATCGAGAGAGACACACACGGAGAAACACACACACACGGGGAGACACACGGGGAGACACACACACGGGCAGAGACACACACATACACAGGGATACACACACACGTGGAGACACACACATGTAGAGAGACACACACGGGGAGACACACACATGTAGAGAGACACACACGGGGAGACACACACAAGGGGAGACACACACACATACATGGGGAGACACACACATAAACAGGGAGACACACATCCACACGGGGAGACACATACACGGAGACACACACACGCAAATACACACGGATACACAGACTCAGACACACAGACATACAGACATACACAGACACACAGACATACATACACAGACACACAGACATACATACACAGACACACAGACACACACGCATACATACACCCAGACATACACACATAAACATACATTAATACACACGTGCCCACACACACGCATGCATGCACTTACTGATATGAACACACACGCGGAACCACTTACGTACACAAAGATGCACTCACATGAACACACACACGCACGCACACACACACACGCATGAACACGCACGCATACGCACACACACACGTGCCAAACCCCTGCCTTGCCCACCAGTAGCGAGCGCCTCGTCAGCAGAATCCTCTTGACAGATTTGTTTTATTTGGTGACGATCTCGACGCAAGTCGAAGCCAAACCTTCTAGGAGCAAGAGGGGGGAGTGGGGTGGGGAGGCGTGGTGGATTCAAGTGCCCCCAGTGTTTACCTCTCTGCCCCAGACGCGCCCCGGCTCCCACTGCCCACTGGCCGGGGGGGGGGGGGGGAGGGTCTGCGCGTGTCTGGCCTGGGACGGAGAGGGCTTTTTGCACACACACACACAGAGTTTGGAGAGATGGTTTGGAGAGAGAGAGGACTTTGGCGCGTGTGCTCTTGCGTGCCTTGCGCGTGTGGTATAATTATAGTGGGGGCGCCACGCTGGCTAGGAGATGTTAACTACCTCGCGTGGTATACAGGAGGTCGTGGGTTCGATCCCGACCCTGCTGTATATTTGGAGTTTGTATGTTCTCCCCGTTCTCGCGATTGATTTTTCTCTGGGGTCCTCCGGTATTTTTTTGTTACCCTCCACATTTAGAATGAACGCGCGTTCAGAATATTTGGCCGCTGTAAACCTCAACACGATGATAAGCCACTTCGTTCAGCTATCACTTGTGACCAGGTCGCTTATGAAGAAAGAGCTGTACAACTCAGTGGGCCTTCACCTGGTGAAAAAACAAACAATTGTTTGTAGATTTTGATTTAAAGCTTTCGTGACCGCAGGAATTCATCTTCTTGGTTCTTTCGGTAAAGTCACGTAGAAGGGAAATAATAAAATAATAAAAATACAACATATGTATATAAATATATATAAATATTAAATTGTTTTATATTTATAATATTTTATTATTTCCCGTCTACGTGACTTTACCGAAAGAACCATGAATACGTTTGTTTGTAGTTTTAGTTTGTATTGGGGAGCGGCGGCGCAGCGGTTAGCGCTGCGCTACAAACTCCGGAGACCCGAGTTCGATTCCCGCTCACAGGCCACCAATCACAGCAAACGATTATATAAACCGGTCATGGAAGGGTGTAAGAGGTTGGGGGGGGAGTATTCGGGAGAGGTACTCGGGAGAGGTTGCCAAAACGATCGTGAACTCATTTTACCCGGCTCCAAGTAAGGCACAAATAATAGCCGATTGTTTTGGAGTTTTTCAAAAGCCAATTCTTCTTTTTTGCCGAAGGTGGGGTGGGGGGGGGTCTGGCAGGCCGCGGGGGGTGGGAGGATGGAGAGGGGGGGTGGGGGGGGGAGTTGCGGGCGATGAGGATGGAGGGGCTGGCGTGTGTTTTAGTACAACCTGAGCGGCGTGTGGTGGTGGTGGTGGGGGTGGTTCGCGCCCCTGGCCCTGCTGAGTTTGATCAGAATCAGCTGAGAGGGCCCCTTCGCTGCTCTGAATGCGCGGTGAGTGAGAACAGAAACGAACAGCAAAAAGAAAAAGTCCCAAACACAACACGAAAATTAAAACCAAGTGAGGTGGCTCCCGTTGCCCAACAGGTCACCAGACGCGGAGTGCCGAACCGCCACCCGCTGACATTCTTGGGTTCTAAACCGGGTGTCATGCGCCTCGGATTATACCGGGTTCGAATGCGAAGTAGGCTTAGCGGCTCGAAACGCTGAGCCTTGCACCCGCTGAGATTCTCGAGTTCGAATCCGGGTTCCAAGCCCCTGGGATCAAAGCAGGTTCTCAAACGAGTTGGCCCAGCAGGTGATGACGCCGAGTCGGCACCCGCAGAGATCGAACCCACGACCACCTGCATACCAGGCGAGGGAGATAACATCTCGCCATTGCAAGGCAGGACACGCCGGGAAAAAAAATAACACGAAACCGGCAGCCCTCGGATTTGATGGCCTCGGGTTCCACCCCCTGACGGGAACGACCCCACCCCTCTCTCGCCCCTGCCCCCTGCCCCCCACCATCCGTCCATCGCAGGGAAACTCACCACGAGGCCCGTGTGCCTCCAAGACCGCAAGCTGCCAGTCAACGGCAGCCGATGCAGCCACAAGGTCAAGCCCCCGAGCCGCGTGCTGCCCTGCAATGAGCAGCCCTGCCCGCCGAGGTGAGCAGAGAAGGCGCAAGGGGGGGGAAGGGGTGGGACTGCCTGCCCCCCCCACACCCCCCCACACCCCTCCCCTACAGGCCCTTGCCCCTCCGTGCTCGGTGCTGACGCTGCCCCACAGTAACGCGCGCACTCACACACACGATACCCCAATAGGCTGTGCAGACTGCTGGGGAAAGTTCTGTTTGCGAGAAGCTCCTATAATGGTGAGACAAATATCCCCCGTAAAGCCTTCGTGGAAAGTTGGGGCAAGTGCTGTGAGCGAGCAGTTCATATTAAGGGGGTGGGTGACCAAGACCACGCCCGGCCGCCTTTGCCTCCAGAAATAGCGATTTTTACACACCGCAGCAGGTACTACTTTGAGGCTGAGTCGACCTAGGGGGAGGCCCAGGACCGGTTCATATAATTGTCAGTGCTGTTGGCCGTGAGCGCGAACCGTTCACCACTGCTCCCCACACACACACACCCACACGCACACCCATACACCCACACACACCCACCCACACACACATCCACACACACACACCTACACACCCACACACACACCCACAAACACACATCCACACACACACACCCCACCCACACACACCCACACACACACACACCCACACACCACACCCACACACACACCAACACACACACCCACAACAACACACACACACCCACCCACGCACACCCACACACACCCAAACACACACCCACACACGCGTGCATGAGGCTCAGAGGGAGGATCGTACTTGAGGAGCGGATGCCAAGAGGCCAGGAGAGAGCCTCTCACTGCTCCACTATGAGGGGGGGAGTCGGGGAGAGGGGGGGGGGTAGAGAGTAGGGGGGGGGGCACCAGGGTCACATTTTCTCCGTGCCCAGTCAACGAGGGGGATCCTCGGTATTTAACGTGGGGGGGGGGGGGGGCAAGCGGGAGGTGGGGCCGTGGGGGGGAGTGTGTGTGTGTGTTGGTATGTGTGCGTGCGCGTGTGTATGTCTGTGTTCACGTGTTCTGTGAGGAGCGCTGGCGCGGTGCATAGCGGTAGTGTAGCGGTTAGCACTACGCTGCGCTACGAACCCGGCGGCCCAACCTCGACTCACGGCCAACGCCAGTGACCATTATCTGTACCGGTCGTGGGCCTCCCCTAGGTCGACTCAGCCTCAAATGAGTAACCTGGTGCGGTGTGTAAAATCATCGCCACTGGGGAGATATGTACGGCCGGGCGTGGTGCTGGCCACCCACCCCCTCCCGATCTGTGCCGGCCTTCATAGGTGCTCGCTAACAGCACTTGCCCCAGCAGTCTGTTGAGGCTATGCGGGGGATCTTTGTCTGTGTGTGAGTGAGAGCGCGGGAGACCATCGGGGTGGTTGAGCCCGGGAGGCTGCTGGTGACTTGATTAGATTTCCCCGCTCTTTCTCTCTCTCACTCTCTCCATCCCTTAATATTCGCCTCTTTTAAAAAATATATATATATATTAAAAATAAATAACCGCGGCGGGTTTGGAATGCCACGTTGATTTGTGTTGCCCTGGGAGGGCTTGGGGGGCGAGGGGGGGGGGAGATTGGCATAGCTTGTGGACTGCGTGGATTTCAGAATTACTTGTGGAATCCGATGAGCCATAAAGCTCTGTTTTCACAGATGTCCGGTAGATTTGAGTTGAGAGAGCTATGGAGGAATTAACGTTAGCCACGCGGCAGGGAATCGAACTCATAAGTCGCCGGGTTCCTTGCAAGATTGCGAATATCTGAACCGGTAAGGAGCCTCATCTAGGTCTACTCAGCCTTAAATGAGTACAATATCTGGTGCATTGTGTAAACACCACCACTGGGAAGGCAAAGTCGGCATGCCGAGGTCGGTGTTAGTCAACCACCCCGTCGTGTGCCATGCCGGCCTTAATAGGTGCTCGCAGACATCTCTTGTCCCAACTCTGTAAAGGGTATACGGGGGGTCGTTGCCTTTGACACACGCACAAAATAACAAACACAAAAATAACACACACATTCATTCATATGAGCAAAGACAAAGATCCCCCCCCCCGTATAGCCTTAACAGACTGCTGGGGCAAGTGCTGTTAGCGAGTAGCGCCTATGAAGGCCGCAACGTCACACGAGGGGGGGGGGGGTGGCCAGCACCACGCCCGGCCGACTGGGGTGGGTGGTGGTGGTGTTGGCACGGCAGAGGGCGAGCGTCTCTGTCTAGTGGGGTGTGGTGGGGGGTGAGCCAGTCCAGCTGGCACGGATTAGCCGCCTCGCCTCGGCAACACTGACGGATGGGGGGGGGGTCGTGGGGGTGGTGGGGGGGGGGGGTCATGTCTGGCCTCACTCTCTCCGCCACCGGCTGGGGGTGACCGCAGAATAAAGCCGAGAGGCGTCAATCTGCCGAGACGACGCCGCAGATTGAGAGAGAGGGAGAGGGAAGAGAGCGAGAGATAGCGAGCGACGCTCACGTCGCAGTATTTTGGCTCGGCCATCGGCCAAAGACGTTCATCGGTATCGCACGCGCGCGCTCGGGTAATGCGCTCCTGCGGCCGTCTGGAACGCTCTTCCTTCCGATTATTAGGAAGGCACTGGGAGCTGTGCGCTTTTAAATCATCATCATGTAGATTCTCGATTGACAAATTCAGCAATCGCTCGCTCTCGAAGATCCGCATTGCATTGTGTAGAGTCGCATAGAGATCCGTAGACTCACATGGACACGCAGATAATCATAGAGACCCGTGGATTCACAGGGGCGACCCATAGATTCATATAGAGACTAGGAGACACAGAGACTCGCATATTCAAATAGAGACTCACAGATTCACATATAGACTCACAGATTCACATACAGACTCACATATTCACACGGAGGCTCACAGATTCAAGGAGACTCACAGATTCAAATAGACTCACATATTCAAATAGAGACTCACAGATTCACATACAGACTCACAGATTCACATATAGACTCACATATTCACACGGAGGCTCACAGATTCAAATAGAGACTCACATATTCACACGGAGACTCACAGCTTCACACGGAGACCCATTGACTCTGTTAAAAGTGGTGGCTAAAGACCTTCATCGTCTCCTCCGCATGAGACCACCTCCTGCCCCCCCCCCCCGCTCTGTCTATATATATAGAATATAAACACGGCCAATCTATCAGTACGGGCGTCCCGGGATGCGACTCACATTCAGTGGCGGGGTAAACCCCGCACAGGGCATCGTGGCACGACAGTCGCTGGTCGCCTGGGAAATCCGCGGCGACTTTCCCAGAGCTGCTGGTTCGCAGAGAGGAGACTTCCGAGTTATTTGACCTTGGATATTGACCGTGTATATATATATATTTATTCATTTCATTTTCCCATCGGGTGACTTTGAAGAGGAACATTTGGGAAAAAGTTTCCTTGAGTGCAAGGACACGGGGGGGGGGGGGGGGGGGGGGGGCGGGGGGGTGGGGCGAGAGTCCAAACCGAGGAGTCGTCTTGTCAAGCTGAGACGTGGCGAGTGGAGCTGATGGAGCTTTCGGAATGTAGACATCACGGTGTGCTCGATTTTTGTTTCGATTTAAAGCTTTCGTGACTGCAGGGATTCATCGTCTTGGTTCTTTCGGTAAAGTCACGTGGAAGGGAAATAATAAAATAATAATAAAATATAATAAAATAAAGAAAAAAAAAATAATAAACAATAATCAAAAATAATAAATATTTTTATTATGTTAAATTTTTATTATTTTCCTTCCACGTGACTTTACCGAAAAAACTAGGAAGGTGTGCTCGATGTTAATTACCTCGCCTGGTATGCAGGAGGATCGTAGGTTCGATTCCGACCCCTGCCCGACGCCTGCTGTATACTGTATATTCGGAGTCCGCGTGTCTCTCTCTCTCCCCGTGGTCGCGTGGATTTTTCTCCGGGATCCTCCGGGTTTTCTCTCCACATTTAGCATCGACATCATGCGCTTTGAGTGTTTGGCTGTTTCTATATATTGCCACACGCTAAGCCACTTCGTTGAGCTATCATCTGTGGCAAGGTCGCTTCTGAAAAAGAGGTACATAGCTCAGTGGATCTTTCCTAGTAAAATAAAATAAAAAGTTGAATAGGCTAGTGAATCGGAAGAGCACACTAGGGTTATACATTGTCTTAGATGGGCAGACGGGCATACAGGGCAGTCCAATGCACTTGGTAGATGTTCAGACCAACGCAGACTCATACAGACAGAACGACACACGTGGACAGACCAATACACACGGAGAGACAGACAGACATAGACACACAACACACATACACACAGATACATGTGTTGAATAACACACGTACATACAGATGTATGTTGAACTTCTTTCGCACCGTACGTAGCCAACCGTGATAATCGGAGTTGAACACGTAAACACGCACAGACGGAGAGAGAGAGAGTCAAATAATGTCTCAGCAGCATACAGACAGGCCGAGAGACAGACCGACTCAGAAACAGGCAGGCAGGCCGACTGAGAGACAGAGCGAGGTTTACCAACAGACGTATAAACAGACAGACAGACAGAGAGACATGCCAAGACACAACCGAGCAAACAGAGGCATCGTGTGTTCCACGTGGACTCTGCTCTGTGTCGTGTGTCACTGCGCGACAGAGCCGACGCACAGCGGCGAGCAAACACCGCACAGAGCCAGGAGTCGAACCCAGCCCCCGTTGTCTGGGGCGCTGCGGGCACCACGACTCAGCCTCAAATGAGTACCTGGTGCGGAGTGTAAACATCGCCACTGGGGAGACAAAGGCGGCCGCGCGTGGAACTGACCACCCACCCCCATTCGCGTGCTGTGACGACCTTCGTAGGGTGCTTAGTACTCGCTCGCAGCACTTGCCCCAACAGTCCTCTGAAGGCTATACGGGTGCCCTTTGTCTTTGTGCGCGCGCGTTCGTGCTCGCAGCTGGCAGGCGGGCGATTGGGCGCCGTGCTCGCGCTCGTGTGGGGGGCTCGGCGAGCAGAGCCGCCCCGTGTCGTGCACCCAGCGGGCCGCGGGGGGCCGCCTCGCCGCCCTGCCCCCCTCGGCGTGCCCCGAGGCCCTCGCGCCGGCCCGGAGCCGCCCGTGCAACGCGGCCGACTGCCCCCCAGCCTGGGTCCCGGGCGCCTGGTCGCAGGTGGGGTTCCAAAGTTTCACATTGGCACCCTCCTCCCCCCCCATCGTTACCCCCCCACCACCCACCAACATCCCCCCACCTACCCCTCCCTCCACCTCTCCCTACCCCCACCTCCATCCACCTGCTCCACACATCCCCTCCGTCCACCCCCTCTCAACCCACGAACCTCCTCCGCCACAGCGCGTTATTTCCATTTGTTTGCTGGTGAACTGTAGTATTTCGAATCGAAATCGCCTCCAGTGCTGTTGCCGCTGGCGGCAATAAAAGTTGTTTAAGAGTCAAAAGTCTCCTCCTCTCCCTCCTCCCCCCCAGTGCTCCAAGACGTGCGGGCGAGGCGTGAGGACGCGGGAGCTGTGGTGCCGCGCCGAGGGTGCCGGCGGGGAGTCGCGCTCCGTGCCGAACGCGCGCTGCCGTGGCCTCGCGCGGCCCGCACGCAAGGAGAAGTGCTCCCTGCACAAGCGCTGCAAGAGCCCCCAGCACCTGCAGTGGGTGCTGTCCGCGTGGTCCGAGGTAATGACCATTCGAAGCTGCGACTAAGTGTTTAGTTTCACCAGTTCAGGCCCAACTGAGCTATGGATCGCTACTTTTTTTGTTTGTTTTCAGAAGCGATCTGGGCCATCGCAGATGATAGCTCGAAGTCGCCGTACCCAATACCAATACCCCCGCAATTCGGCCACTAAGTGACGGTGACGTCACCACGGCGCCTGTGCCAGGCCAGGTGCACTTTGAGGCCACGTGACGTGTCGAAGGCTCGCTGATAGGTCTCGGGACAGATCCTGCAGGTGTCGGAGGTCGGCTGACTGAGATAACCGGGAGATGCACCAGCTGTGCCCCTTACTGTGCCAACTTGCTGTATTTTAGCCGCCCGGCATTCCGCTCGTTGTTGTGAGCGTCGCTCCTCTGCCCTCCGTTGTTGCTGGAGGGCGACTAGTTGCTGCATTTTAGCCGCCCGGCGTTCCGCTCGTTGTTGTGAGCGTCGCTCCTCTGCCCTCCGTTTTTGCTGGAGGGCGACTGCCTCCAACTGCCCAGTAGCGTCCTTCACGATCCTCCTCGTGGCCGAATCGTCACCTTGTGGAAATTCATTTATAGCAGCCACCCACCTCGCAGGTAGCCCCGCCCACTACTCTCCTAGTCCCGCCTACTACTCTGGAAGCTCCACCCACTCCAAACTAAAACATATTTTCATTTTACCAGGTAAAGCCCACTTCGCGATGTAGCTTGTTTTTCAACAGCGACTTGGCTATCACAAATTATTGCTCAACGAAGTGTCTTTTCATCGCGTGCGAATTTATATCAGCAGACAAGTACTCTCTAAACACACGACGATTCTAAAATGCGGAGGGAAAAACCGGAGGACCCGGAGAAAAATGTCCACGACCACGGTCAGAGTGAGAGACACGCAAACTGCAAATATACAGCAGGCGTCAGGGCTGGGATCGAATCCAGACCTCCTGAATACCAGGCGAGGAAGTTAACATCTCGCCACCCCACGGTAGTGCCAGGACACCGCTGCTGGGCCCAATGCCACGACCACCGCCACCAATGTTACTCTCAACATGGGACCTCTTTGTGCTGGTTGCCTTTTGGTTGAGACCAGGCCCTAAAGAAGGCTGTCGCTGGTGTAGAGAGCAGTCCGTTTCAAAGACAATGCCAAATATAACCGGAGCATGTGTTTGTTTGCATGTTCAACACAAGAACCGTGCGTGGTTAATGCAGGACATGATTCCTTGCGCAAGGTTTCTGTTCGGTGTTTGAACATCTTAACACCATCATTAGACCTCCTTTGCCAGTACCAAAATATAATAATAGGGGTTTTCCCCTTTTTTTGATAGTGCGTTGTCTTTGAGCTTTACGCCTTTTGGCGTCCTCTGGTCTAGCACCAATTGAGTCGAGGCTCAAAAGAAAGCCGTCTCCGGTGTGAATCAATCAGTTTCAAGGACAATGCATATATTCCATTGGTACCTCATTTGCCAGTAAAAAATATAATAATTGGTTTTTTACCCTTTTATCTGCCAACAAAACTGCATTATGACTGCAGGTATTGTGGTCTATGCTAACATGACTCCTCGTAAAAAAGGTGTCAGTTTTGTTGCCAGATAGAAGCGTAAAAAAACAATAATCAATGCATATATTATCAGTGTGTTTCTGTTTACATTTTCACTACAAGTATTGTGGTTAATGCAGACATGATTCCTTGAAAAAAAAATTCAGTTTTGTTGCCAGAAAAAAAAGGGGAAAAACCATATTATCTTAACACTAGTTTTATTGCCAAAAAGGGTATAACCTCTTCCTGTTACTCTCACCCCTTCCCCCTTCCCCCTTCCCCCTTCCCCCTCCCCCCTCCCCTCACCCCTCCCCCTTCCCCACCTCCCACCTTCCCCCTTCCCCCTTCCCCACCTCCCCCCCTCCCCCTGCCCCTCCCCCTCCCCCTGCCCCCTCCCCTTCCCCCTCCCCCTTCCCCTCCCCCCTCCCCCCTCCCCCTTCCCCCTTCCCCCTTCCCCCTCCCCCCTCCCCTCACCCCTCACCCCTCCCCCTTCCCCATCTCCCACCTTCCCCCTCCCCCTTCCCCCCTCCCCCCTCCCCCTTCCCCCTTCCCCCCTCCCCCTTCCCCCCTCCCCCTCCCCCTTCCCCCTGCCCCCTCCCCCCTCCCCTCACCCCTCCCCCTTCCCCACCTCCCACCTTCCCCCTCCCCCTTCCCCCTTCCCCACCTTCCCCCTTCCCCCCTCCCCCTTCCCCCTTCCCCCTGCCCCCTCCCCCTCCCCCCTCACCCTCCCCCTTCCCCCTCCCCTTCCCCCCTCCCTTTTCCCCCTCCCCCTTCCCCCCTCCCCCTTCCCCCTCCCCCTCCCCCCTTCCCCCTCCCCCCTCCCCCCTTCCTCCTCCCCCCTTCCCCCTCCCCCCTTCCCCCTCCCCCCTCCCCCCTTCCCCCTCCCCCCTTCCCCCTCCCCCCAGTGCTCGGCGTCGTGCGGCGTGGAGGCGGCGCAGTCGCGTGAGCTGCGCTGCGGCAGGAAGAGCTCCTCCTCGGGCCGCATCCGGGAGCTCCCCGAGCGCCGCTGCCACCGTGTGGCCAAGCCGAGCGTGGCGCTCACGCGGCCGTGCGCCACCAACCCCGGCGGGGGCGGTGCCGTGCCGTGCCCCCCCGGGGCCGCGCAGCAGCCGCCGCTGCCGGGGGGCGGAGCGGCTCCGGGTCCCACCCGCCGCTCGCTCATCAGCAACGCGCTGTCGGGGTGGTACGCGGCACCCTGGACGCAGGTGGGTTACTGCGGGACGCTCCGTGAGCCTCGGAGTGGGTGGTGGAGGAGGGGGTGGAGGGGGTGGAGGGGGTGGTGGAGGAGGTGGAGGAGGGGGTGGAGGAGGGGGTGGAGGAGGGGGTGGAGGAGGGGGTGGAGGGGGTGGTGGAGGAGGTGGTGGAGGAGGGGGTGGAGGGGGTGGTGGAGGGGGGGGGTCGGGAGGGGGTGGTGGAGGGGGTGGTGGAGGAGGGGGTGGTGGAGGGGGGGGTGGAGGAGGGGGTGGTGGAGGGGGGGGGTGGAGGAGGGGGTGGAGGAGGGGGTGGAGGGGGTGGTGGAGGAGGAGGGGGTGGAGGGGGTGGTGGAGGAGGGGGTGGAGGGGGTGGAGGGGGTGGTGGAGGGGGTGGGGGAGGAGGGGGTGGAGGAGGGGGTGGAGGGGGGGTGGTGGAGGAGGGGGTGGAGGAGTGGGTGGAGGGGGTGGTGGAGGAGGTGGTGGAGGAGGGGTGGAGGGGGTGGTGGAGGAGGGGGTGGAGGAGGGGGTGGAGGGGGTGGTGGAGGAGGGGGTGGAGGAGGGGGTGGATGGGGTGGTGGAGGAGGGGGTGGAGGGGGTGGTGGAGGAGGGGGTGGAGGAGGGGGTGGATGGGGTGGTGGAGGAGGGGGTGGAGGGGGTGGTGGAGGAGGAGGGGGTGGAGGGGGTGGTGGAGGAGGGGGTGGAGGAGGGGGTGGAGGGGGTGGTGGAGGGGGTGGGGGAGGAGGGGGTGGAGGAGGGGGTGGAGGGGGGTGGTGGAGGAGGGGGTGGAGGAGTGGGTGGAGGGGGTGGTGGAGGAGGGGGTGGAGGAGGTGGAGGGGGTGGAGGCAATGGCGGAGCCAGGATTTTCAGGTAGGGGGGGCAACCCCTCCAGCCATGAAACATGATAGAGGAGTTGTTAGTAAGGACTTGTCCCTTGCTTTTTATTCGACTCGTGTGCGGCGATGGCGCAGCCATCGATCGAGGGTCGAATTCGAACCGCGTTGTGTGATCGGCATCGCGCTCGCTGAAGGTGAATGCCTTCAGGGAAGTCGTGTACTGTATACGCAACTGCGAACAATTTTGTCACTTAAAACTGCTTTATCGTTACTTATTGCCAATTATGGACTCAGACTATTGTCCTATCATCTCATAGAGTCCCTGGCACATAATGATATGCTACACAGTGGCAGTGGGGGTCGCAAATTGCCGATTTATTACTAACAAACCCCAATGATCCGATCGAAATTAGAGATTTCGCCGGTGGGTGGAGGAGGGGGTGGTGGGGGTGGAGGTGGTGGATGGGGTGGAGACGAAGTGGTGGAGATGGTGGAGGTGATTATGGTGTTGGCCTCTCAACTCAAATTCGTCAATAACACTGCGTGGCCTTAAAGTAAAAATATATATAATGAATATATGATGGGTCATTGCCCCGAAACGTCGCCTATTGAATATATTTAACGCCTCATTGGCTCATTCGAGCAGTCAAACTCCCTGACACCTGCGCACCAGCGCGTCGCAGAGCGTCGTGGGGTGTTGGGAGGCATCCCATGCGTGCGCGTGGTTTTTCTTCCCCGTTGTGCTGCGTCCATGTCGACGGGGAGCAGTGCGCGGCCACGTGCGGCGGCGGCGAGCAGACTCGCTCGGTGCGCTGCCTGGCACAGGGCAAGCCCGCCGTGGGGTGCCAGCCTCACCACAAGCCGGCCACCACGCGGGCCTGCAACAGCCAGGCCTGCCCAGGACACGCAGGTGAGTCTGGTTGACCCGCAGCGCCACACCGCACAGCACCGCAGCGCCACGGCTGCTGACGAAGGCGGTCCCGGGCGCGTGTGATGACCACTCCGGCCGTTCGTTTCGCCGTCCCGGCCTTCACGTACGTATGTTCAACTTCTTTCCCACCGTACGTAGCCAACCGCGCTCATCGGAGGATCTATGGGTGCTACTCGCGATCGGCACTTGCCCCAAGTTTTTTAATGATATATGGGGGATCTTTGTAATTGTGTGAAGCGTGCTTTGCTACGAGCCCAGCGGAATCGAGCTCGATCCCCAGCCTCAAAACGAGTACCTGGTGTCGTGTGTAGAAAACATGAGCACCGGGGAGACAAAGGCGTCCGGGCGTGGTGTTGGCCACTCCGCCTGTTCGTTTCGCCGTTGCCGGCCTTCGCGGGTGCTACTCACTGACAGCACTTGCCCCCAAAAGTCTGTCGAGGCTACACGGATCTTTTGTCTTTGTGTGTGCAGGCGAAGTACCGGTGTGCCAAGACCACTACACGTGGTGCTCGCTCGTGCCACGCCACGCCGTGTGCAGCCACCCGTTCTACGGGAAGCAGTGCTGCCAGGCCTGCACGCCGTCCAACCTCATCACCCGATGAGATGCGTCTCACACACGCGCAGTACACTCACCAACCTCATCGTCCGATGAGCCGCGTCTCACACACTCACCGACCTCATCCGATAAGCAGCGTTTTACACACAGTACACACAGACACGTGCACACGTATCGAGCACTGTAGAACCATAACAGCCACGCAAGTGGCGGCAACGTCACCGTAGCAATTGTGCCAGGTTAGGTGCACCCCGAGGCTTATCGCGTGACGTGTCAAAGGCTCACTGCTCGCAGGTGACGGGAGAGCCCCAGGGTGCCATGGGTTCCGACTGAGATGGCTGGCAGATGCTCGCCACCATGCCAACTTGGCACGCACTTGGTACACAAAGATCCCCCGTATAGCCTTAACAGACTTTTGGGTAAGTGCTGTTAGCGAGCATCTTCGAAAGTAGGACGGCACACGAGGGGGTGGGTCGCCAGCACCACGCCAGACCACCTTTGTCTCCCGAGTAGCGATGTTTACACATCGAACCAGGTACTCATTTGAGGCTAAGTCGACCTAGGCGAGGCCCGATACAAATAATCTCCACTGTCATTGAGCGGGAATCGAACTTGGGTCGCCGGGTTCGCAGCATCGCGTGCTGACCACTACACAGCCGCTCTCCACACACTCCGACACACGCAGCGTACACTCGCACGGACGTTTCAACACATTATCATCTTGACACATCACCGGAACACATCCTCACCACCTTGACACAGTTGGTCCCGTGTGGCCTCCCAAACCCCCTCAACACCTTGGGCCTTCAGCTCACAATGGGCCCTCCATGACCTCTCATGAAGGCAGGGGCCCAAATCACCACGTGAGATGTTAACTACCTCTCCTGCTATACAGGAGGCCGTGGGGTCAATCCCGACCTGACCCCTGCTGTATATAGTATTTGGAGTTTGCGCGTGGCTTATCGCAGCCAAACACTTGAAACGCGTGTCGTTGATTCTAAAATTGGGAGGGAAAAACAGGAGGGCCAGGAGAAAAAACCACGTGGCCACGGGGAGACACGGAAACTCCAAATATTAAAGCATCGTCAGGGTCGGCGTCGAACCCACAACTTGCAAACTCCCAATATACGTACAGGCATCGTCAGAGTCGGGATGGAACCCACGACTTTCTGTATAGCAGGCGAGGTGGTTAATAGCGCCCACTGCAGCGACAAGGTATGGCAAAGTCACTGCAGTGGCATGACTGGAGTGTCACTTGAAAGTCATTGGCAACTTTTCAGGGCTACTTGAGGGAGAAGCCGGGGGGGGGGGGGGGGGGCACCACAAACACCGCACAGCCTTGGTCGTTTGAAGCTACAAGAGCAGCTTGCGAGATTTGGATGTCGCATCTTAAGTTTTAAAGACGTCTTTAAAGTCCTACGCAGCTGCTGTGTTGGGGGGTGATGAGGGGGTAACGACGCAGACACCAAGAAAATAAATCAGGATAACATAGCGGAGCATGCGAAGTTTAATAAGCGTGTGCGCGCGCGTGTGTGTATATCTATAAATATGCAGACACGGTACAAATATAAGACAAATAAATCGCTTAAAAGCTCTTGTAACTGCTCTCCTTAAGAGGGCAACAATGAGCCCCCGGTGCTGGACAGGGATGTTGTAGATTCACCAATGTGAAATGTACCATAAGAATGGCTTTTGCACAGTATTTTCCTTTTTTTTAATTGTTATCAATGGTATTATTATTTACTACTACTACTACGTTTTGGTGCTCTCCAGTCAATTGTAATGGACTGATAGACGTTGCAATATTTGTGATGTTAATGCAAACGGAAGGAAACACGGCGCAAGGAAAACCCCATTGCACACACATTGACTCAACTTCCCAAAGGTCTCGCACCCAACGCGTTCGTTATTGCGTCCCGTGTATTTAATTAGCCGGGAAAAACTAGAGGACGATAATTTTAGCGCTGGGATTATTTTTAAAATGTACACAACCCTTCCCATCGATGTGGCCGGCTTTCTCGACATTCGAGTCCCGACTGGCAAGGCGGCTTGCTCGATACTCAAGTTTCGTTGACATTGGATCGTCGTAGAGTTATTGTGGCCCCGAGTTGAATAATCATTGAGGACATCATCGGTGAGCCTCATGCAGAGATCACTTACCCTGGTGCTCCAAAAGGTCGTGCCGTGCCCCATCCAGCTGCTGGGAGTTCACCTGCTGGAAGATTTAATCGTCGCACATCGCATCGTTTGCATTGATTTCACGACGGAACTTTCACGACCCTACGAAATGCGTACGGGATGGTCACGTGCGCGCGAATTGCCACGATTTGGGACGCACCGTCGCAAGCAATGCACTGTAAACTTTCTGATGAATTGTCACCGATTGGACGAAGCGTGCCATGTTCTGTGATGTGTCAAGATCGGATGAATCGTCACGTTGCCGGTGAATTGACGCAATCGTATGAAGTGTCACATTTGGTGAATTATGAAGTTTTCGCATTTCCGTTGAATTGACACAATCGTCTGAAGTATCACCTTCTCCGTGAAGTCACCATTGCGTTGGTTGTTGCGATCGGCTGAAACGTAAAAAAAAACACATTTCCGGACGATCACAATTCAATGAATCATCGTAATTCCAGGAGGGACTTACGGGGCCGCAATACGCCTGGCCGATGTTTTTTCTCATTGTTGTTACTTTTTACGATTTACCCGAAAGGATGACAATCACAGGAAATCAATACTAAAGGGAGGGTTTTTTTCCCTGTGTCGTGAAACCCGCCACCACCCGACACAGCCAATGAGCAAGGTTGAAGCACGTAAACAAAACGACACTTTAATATTTACACCGTCTAACCCAAAATGAAACGCCCCTTGATAATGGACAACATTGGCAAGACATTCACTTCCGGTGAACGACCTGCCAAAAGCGACGTCGCGTTTTGTTGGCCCGGTGACGCGTCCCAATTGTGACGTCCCGTGAGACAAGCCGCTGTATTCTCAGAGATCCCATATTGTCATTTGAAAAAAAAGTAAAAACTGAATATTTCGAAATCCTCATTTGAAAAAAATAGAACTCGTCCCCCCCCCCTCGTGTAAACCTCGAAGGACATCGTCGTACAGAAAATGTTTCCTGTACCAGACCGCCGTTATGCGAATTAACTAGTCTCACACGTGTGTAAAACGAAAAGGAAATATTAAAACATGACGGACAGCGGCTGCACAAACCTCGCAGCGGAACTCAAAATGTATAAAGTAACCAAGTCGCATTAGCAGTTAGTCGACGGATCAGCAGGTCGCGTGCGTTGGGGGGTAAAGTGTGGGCAACTTCCGTCGTCTCCTAAGATTTCTTGCCAGCATACACGAGTCGACGCACGCACCCTCTCCGGAAGGGGTGGCTCTCTAAGTCGCCCACTAGCAGAGGGCCGCTTCCTCCAGGAGGAGCGTGAGCAGGCAATTATAGAGTCGAACCTTTCCTCTGTGTATCAAAACAAAGCATGAAGCCCTCTGCGACCCAAACAGTGCGGTGCATAGAGGCGCTTCTGTGCTAAGAGCCAGCTTGTGTGTCCGGCTCGTTGTTGTGTGGCTCCTACCATCGACGGTATTCTTTTGAAACTCCCGATCTCGGCGGGCGCTTTCGCAGCCCTCTGAAGGGCCACGTGAACGCAAGGTGGTGGTGGTGGTGGTGGTGGGGAGCGGGGCGGTCAACGGCGTACAACGGAGTTTCCCAACTTGCGTGCGGGTGCTCGGGCGTGTTGATCGGTGGCGAGAGATGAAACGGATCGACGGTTTTCACCGGGGGGGTCACACAGGTCATGGCGATTCGATGACCACCTGTCACGGTCGGCTCACGACGACGCCGCGGGTTGTCGTTCGGCGTCACGGTCTCGCATCTCGGAGGGGGAACTGAATCTATTAAAGCATCTTTTTTTTTTTCCAGGTAACGGCCCACTGAGCTATGCAGCTCTTTTACAAAAGCGACCCTGGCTATCGCAAATGAGAGCGCAACGAAGTTGCCTGTCATCACGTGGACATTTACAGCAGACAAATACTCTTAAAACGTGATGATTCTAAATGCGGAGGGGAAAAACCGTAGGGAAATCCACGCGACCACGGGAAAGTGAGAGAACACGCAAACTCCAAATATGCAGCAGGCGTCAGGGTTGGGATCAAACCCACGACTTCCTGTATACCAGGCGAGGAAGTTAACATCTCGCCACCGTTGCCGGGTTGCTCCCGGAGAAGGTGCCAATGCGCGTGGAGCAAAACGTCGGACTTATTCCGATTCCTGTCGCCCTCGTCCGAAATTCCCTTCGCCAACGGCGATCGTTGGCAGAATCCGATCCTCTCCCCAACCCCCTTCTCTTTGCAGGACTTGTCAAAAGTAATCTTCGTTCAATAATTTTATGACAAAATATATTAACGATAACTTTTTTGGCAGGTGGGCAGGGTGGGGCCGGGAGAGTGAGCGGGCAAACGGTCAAAACGCTGCACCTCCAATTAGCCCGGTGGGCTACGTGCAGCGCAAAAAAAGTTTCACGTACGTACAAATCGAGCAAACGAATGTGACGCGGCCGTTTCAATTGATTTCGCAAAATGGATTCCCCGTTCGTACCAATGAGACAGCACCCCCCCTAACCCCCATCGCCCCCCCCCCCCCGCCGCCGCCCCCCACAAAGGGAACATTCTTCGGGAGGTCCTTACGGAGAAAACAAGTGTCGATTTCGTCAAATGATTCTCGTGCGCACACTCACACTCACTCTCCGTCTCTCGCGCGTGTGCGTGCGATCCTCACGCCTTGTACATTGTGTACAGACCGTCGGGCTCACCCTTCGGGTGAATCGTGCAGGCCCTGTCATGTATTTACATTTATCCACTTGTCTCTTCACTCTTTTGTAATAATAAATAAAAACTACACAATTTACGTCACCAACGTGAGCGCCGGAGCCGAGTCCTACTCTGCTCGCGCGCCGATGCGTCTTATGAATTGACGCGTATTTTGTTTCGTTTGTGTATGTGTGCGTTAGCATGCTTTCGCACCGCCGTGCGTAGCACACTGCGCTGATCGGAGGTGCGCACCGGGCAGGGGGGGGAGTGGACACAGCAAACTAAACACACGCGGGAAAAAATCAAACGCACACGTGCGTCGTCGCTACAACGTCAAGCGCCCATGACCAGATCAGCCGCCAACGCGCCCGGCCGTGCCACGCGCACTCAGACGGAGGCTAAGTAGAGGGGGGGGGGAATCCTGCCCGAATGACGACGCTGATGATTGACACTAGGTAGCCGTCTTGCATGGGTGACCGCCTGGGACTAAAAGTCGGCCCAGGCAATCGTAAACATTCCGGCCCAAATTTGGGCTATGGGCAATTATTTATTTTTGAAATGGGTTGTGTGACAAATTGTGGACAACAAAACGCCTCTTAACGAGAACCCTGTTAACGATTAATCGCTTAACGACAGGCCTCCACAGAGCCCAATTTGTAGTGTATAGTAGTGTAGTGTATAGTGTAGTGTATAGTGTAGTTTATAATGTAGTGTATAGTAGTGTAGTGTAGTTTATAGTAGCGGAGTGTATAGTGTAGTGTATAATGTAGTGTATAGTAGTGTAGTGTATAGTGGAGTGTATAGTAGTGTAGTGTGTAGTGTATAGTAGTGTAGTGTATAGTAGTGTAGTGTATAGTAGGGGGGTCTCAGGGCCCAGTGTGTTCGCTTACCGACCATTCCCCTGTCAACGACGGGCTGTTGTAGTGACAGTAAATCTCAAATATTGCACAACTGGTCGTCACAGGCTAATGACAACCGAGACCTCAACATGGATACCTCGTCGCAGACTCAGACCCCCCTGCTGGGATCACGCTGCTGCTGCTGTCATCATCCCAGAGTCTCACCCAGGTCTGGAAGAAGGCTGCCGCTACCGCTGCTGCTGCTGCCATCGGCCAACGGAGTGGAACACTGCGGGCCCCTCCAGATGAACTCCTCGTTCGAGAATAAAACGTCGTTGGCACCTCCTCCTGGCTTCGACATTCCTCGTCCTCGAAGACACTGCTGGTGTGACCATCAACTGCACAATCAGGACATGGTCAGCAGGACGATGCGCGCATCTCCTTTGTAAAAGACAGTTGTGGCCACACAACCCATACTATGGACTGTATAGCAAACCCAGAGACACACAGATACCCAAGGAGGCCCATAGAGATACGCAGAGGTACACAGTAGACAAACCACATGAGAGCAATTGTGTCCATGCAATACAACTCAATGGTTTAGACGGACGCACTGCGATCGATCACATAAGCCGAGCCTCCTGCCTCGCTCTCGCTGTGTAACAAAAAATGTATCTTCCTAATTAATCGTTAAAATGCCACATCAACTGCAAATTAAATGGGAATAATTACATGAACCGCAGCGAAGAGAAACACGAACCCAAAAAAAGAAAAACCTTTAAATCCTATCACAGAAAGTGTTCTCCCTTCTCTCCTTCTCACCTCCCGCTGCTCCCAATGACTCAAACTCTCAGCAGGGATTAAATTCATCGCAAGAGGACGAATTCACTCACGGGTATAGATTGAGATTACCCGTCAAGAAAACATTGCACGGCTTCACAATCTCTCCTCTCTCTTGACTCGCCTCACCCCTCCTCCTATCATCTCACTCTTCATCATCATCCACAGAGCGAGACTATTACTTGCCCCCCATCGTAAAGTATGGTTTGGGGTGCAGTAGTGGCGAGATGTTAACTCCCTCGCCTGGTGTACAGGAGGTCGTGGGTTCGATCCTGATCCCGACGCCTGCCGCTGTATATTTGGAGTTCGCGTGTCTCTCTCTCTGTGATCGCGTGGATTTTTCTCCGGGTCCTCCGGTTTTTCCCTCCACATTTAGAAACAACGTGTGTTTAGAGTATTTGGCTGCAATACATTTCCACGTGATAAGCCAATTCGTTGAGCTATCATTTGTGACCAGGTCGCTTGTGACAAAGAGCAATATAGCTCAGTGGCCCTTAACGTGGTAAAATAAAAATGCACAAGACCCCCCCCCCCCCCCACCACCTTTAGTGCAGATGGAGTGAAGGAGGGCTTAGCCGCAAAGAAGATGACCAAGGCGTTGTTGCTGCCAACGACTTGTTGATGGAATGGGCGCACAAATGGGGCGGAAGCCATCATGTGCTTGGTACGCCGTGGCACAGCTGTCACATCTGGGGTGGAGTGGCCCGTTCCTAGCTCTCTGCTCACCCCCTCATTCATCCAGTCACTCACTCACTCACCAACCCACCACTCACTCACTCACCCACCCAATCACTCACTCACTCACCCACCCACCAACCCACCCACCAGTCACTCACCCACCCAATCACTCACTCACCCACCCACCCACTCATCCACAGCACCCTCTCACTCACCCAGCCACCCATTCACCAATTAAACAGATATAATTCAGAGGGAAGTAGCAATCTGGGTGACTGACGATGTGGCACTCACCAATTCACTCCACTGACTCGCCCACCCACCCACACATTCACTCACCCACCCACGCACTCGCTCACCCACCCACGCACTCGCCCACCCACCCACGCACTCACCCACCCACCCACACATTCACTCACCCACGCACTCGCTCACCCACCCACGCACTCGCTCACCCACCCACGCACTCACTCACTGACCCACACACTCGGCAAGCATGATTCAAAGAAAGAAAAAAAATCGCAAAAGGGATAATTATCTACCCGAAAGATTCTCTCTCCTTGTCTCTGTCTCCTCCCTCCACACACCCCTCTTCTCATCTCTATTTTCATCTCATCTCTCGCTCGCTCTCCCTTTCCTCTCTCACGCTCGTGGGCCCTCTCTCCGACGTGACGGCACGCCACGGCTGCCTGCTCCGCCGCCCGCTCTGCCCGCCACCTGCTGTGGCCTCCCGGTGATTTCAATTTAAAACTGAGATGCCACTTGCAGCCCAGTTGCACTTTCGCAATATGTAACACCACCACCACCACTACTACTACATTCTTTCACTTCTTCAGATGCACACTTTAAATTGGCGCGAGTGCGTGTGTGCGCGCGTGTGTGCGCGTGTGGTGCTTGCAATCAGCACTTGCCCCAACAGTCTGTTCAGGCTATACGGGGGGGGGATGTTTGTAAGTGTGTGTGTATTGTGCATGCAGCGGTAAGCGCATTACGCTACGATCGTGCCTACGAAAACCAGTTCGATTCCCGCTCACGGCCACCGACACCAGTGAAGATTATCTGAACCGATTCTGGGCCTCTCCTAGGTCGAATTAGGCTCCAATGAGTATGTATGTTCAACTTGTATTGCACCACACGCGGCCAGCCGTGCACATCGGAGGTACAAGTACCTGGTGCAATGTGAAAACATTGCTACTGTGGAGACAATAACCCCCCACCAATATAGCCTCAACAGACTGTAGGAGCAAGTGCTGTTGGCGAGTAACACCTACGGAGGCTGGCACGACACATGAGGTGCGTGGGTCGCCGCTACCACGCCCGGCCGTCTGCTCACTACACACCGCACCGGCTACTCATTTGAGGCCGAGTCGACCTAGGCGAAGGCCCATGACCAGTTCAGATAATCGTCACCCGTGTTAGCGGGCCGAGAGCGGCGATCTAACTCGGGTCACCGGGTTCATAGCGCAAGCGAGCCGACCGCTGCACGATCGGCGGTCCCCTCGCGTACACGCAAGACACGGGGACACGCAGACACTCGTATCACCAGTACGCGCAGACACGCACACACACACGCATCACCAGTACGCGCAGACACGCACACACACACGCATCACCAGTACGCGCAGACATGCACACACACACGCATCACCAGTACGCGCAGACACGCACACACTCGCATCACCAGTACGCGCAGACACGCACACACACGCATCACCAGTACGCGCAGACACGCACACACTCGCATCACCAGTACGCGCAGACACGCACACACTCGCATCACCAGTACGCGCAGACACACACACACACTCGCATCAACAGTACGTGCAGACACGCACACACACGCATCACCAGTACGTGCACACACGCACACACACGCACCACCAGTACGTGCACACACGCACACACACGCACCACCAGTACGTGCACACACACACACACACGCTCGCATCACCAGCACGAACATGTGAAGCCTAGCTCCGTGTCCAGGGTGACACTTCGAGAATTAAAGCGATATTGCTCGGCAGAGGAGGGGCCCTGCTTTGTAATTAGCAGCTGTTGGCAGCGCCTCTCAAGACAGAAACGGTCTCGAAGGGTGGGGGGGGCATAGGGAGCGGGGGGAGGGGGTCGCCCCCACAGACCACCGCACCCCCGCACCATGTGCCACTCTTCACGTCGCTCCGGGCAGGACGATAGACTTTCCTAGACCCCCTGCGGCAGACTGCCGCACACTCCCCCCCGTCCCCCACTACGCGAGGTCTGACAAATGAAAGTGAATGGAGATGTTAGCGACTTCGCCTGGTATGCAGGAGGCCGTATATTTGGAGTTTGCATGTCTCTCTATCTCCCCGTGGTCGCGTGGATTTTTCTCCGGGTCCTCCGGGTTTTCCCTCCACATTTAGAATCGATATCACGCGCTTAGAGTGTTTGGCTGTTGCTATAAATTGCCACACGCTAAGCCACTTCGTTGAGCTATCATCTGTGGCAAGGTCGCTTCTGAAAAGAGCTCAGTGGACCTTTCCTTGTAAAATAAAATAAAATGTTGAATAGGCTAGTGAATCGGAAGAGCACACTAGGGTTATACATTGTCTTAGATGGGCAGATGGGCATACAGGGCAGTCCAATGCACTTGGCAGATGTTCAGACCAACGCACAGACACATACAGACAGAACAACACATGCGGACAGACCAATACACATGGAGAGACAGGCAGACACACAACACACACAGATACATGTGTTGAATACCACACGTACATATAGATGTATATCTTCAGAGTATTTGGCTGCTTTACATTTCCACGTGATAAGCCACTTCGCTGAGCTCTCATTTGAGGCCAGCAACAATCAGCACTATCGTCACAGTCGTGACAGATGAAGAGTGTCTTTTTTTATCTCGGGCAACGTTATTGTTATTATTGTTGTTATAATGAGCTTGGGGGAAAGGATAAGCTGATGGGAGGAAGGAATTGCAAAGTGGAGCATTGGTGCGAGAGGAGTAGCGGAGAGAAAAGTGAAGTGAGCTGCATTGTGGTGAGTGGGTGGGTGAGAGGGTGAGTGGGGTGGGGAGTGGAAGTGAAGCGGTTAGCGCGCTGCGCTACAATCCCGCTGATCCGGATTGTTTTCCTGCTCACGGCCAACACCAGTGACTATTATCTGAACGGGTCCTGGGCCTCCCCTAGGTTGACTCAGCCTCAAACGAGTACCTGGTACGGTGTGCAAACATCGGACATGCAGGAGACAAAGACGGCCAGGCGTGGTGTTGGCCATCCACCCCCTATAATAGTGTGCTGTGCCGGCCTTCATAGGTGCTACTCGCTAACAGCACTTGCCTCAACAGTCTGTTAAGGCTACACGGGGGATCATTGTGGGCTGGTGAGTGAGTGGGCTTGTGAGTTGGTGAGTGGGTTGGGCGATTGAATCGCTGATTGAACGGGTGAGTGTGTTGTTTTTGCCCTTGGAACACAGCACAGATGACGAGTCAGTGTCTGGTCGACCCGGGTCCTCGACACACGCATGATGCAGGAGGAGGAACCTGACGAGAATAGATCACGGGACACGGCAACCGTGGCGGGTAGTAGCGATAGCAGAGTGACGAGGAGGTGACTGACCGCCAGCGGGGGGGGCGAGCGAGCGGCTGCCGTGAATCGGCGGGCACCGATTCATTAGCAACAAAAACTATAAATACCAGTTTTCACGTGCACGATTCTGCACGCGAGCATCGAGTGTGAATGGTGAATCATCGGGACCCGGTTGGCTGCCCCCGCTGTGGTTCTAATTAGCTGCAGCGGCGTGCGCATCTCACAAGCATCCTCCTCCTCGCCCGCCAACGACGCTCTCAGCTCCGCTCTGCGAGCACGCCGTGTTCACGCTGCCGGCGCTGTCGGGGTAGAGAGTCGTCTACGGACAAAACAAGAGACACGAGCGACGTGAGGGAGACGAGAAACACGAGAGACAACAGCGAGACGAGGGACACGAGCTACACGACGAGGCGCGACGACTCATGCTGTTCCAACTCCCGATGCACCGCACAATCATTATCATGCTCGTCATCTCCCGTCGTTAAGCGTCGTCGCTGTTGTCATCAGCGGCTTCATCAGTCATCGTCGTCATCAGCAGCACTGTCCCTACGGTCGTCATCGTCATCGCAATCATCGTTGTAATTAACATCGAAGTGAAGTTACTATACTCAAACTAAAGTATTTTTTTTATTTTAACCAGGTAAGGCCCACTAACCGACACATTTTTTTCACAGACACACACATACACATACAGACACAAACATACACACACGTACAGAGAGACACACATACATACGTACACATACACACGCATATGTAGTGTCATGGAATAAGTAATGTAGCAGGATAGCGCTGGCTTCTAGCGGGGAAGGGGATCTGCGGCTTACGGCAGCCGTGACGTCAGCAGGCCACGTGATAGACTAGGGGGGGGGTCTAGGGGAAAGGTCACGGAAGGGGCACACCAAGAACCCGCTGGTAGGTTCTAGAAAGGGGACGTGGCCGGGGGCGGAGCCAGGCCACGCTGATAGTCTATAAGAGGGGCCCCTGTAGGGGACCTCGGGGCTGTCGACGTGGAGTGTCGACACATTGCCTTGCGATACGGTTGTTGGCTGTATCGGTCAGCGCCATCGGTGTTAGACAGCTTGTGTTGTGTGTAGGCTCGGGTGTGTGTAGCCTAGGCGACTGTAGGGTGTGTGAAGAGAGATTGTGTGTATAATAAAAGTGCCTCCAAGAATGACTGCCTCCGAGTTGAACCACTACAGAAATACATACATATAGAGACTCACCGATGAGGAATTGCAATCAGGCTTCGCCAGCGCAAAGTGACCAGGCAACTTCATCTGAGGGCGGCAGTCTCTTCACAGGGTTGAATCAGCCTGTCACAGCTGAAGACGTAAACAGAGAAAGAGCCCCAGGTTAACCGTAAACAGATTATTTGGTGACGCTGCTGCTACTGCTTCGTTGGAGTGGTGCACAAAGACATTCATCAACCACACTGTGGCCTTAAAATAGTACGAAACAAAATATATTCTGGACACTCGGATGAAGAGAGGGGCAGAGCTGTCAACTGATCACCACCTGGTGGTAAGATGGATCCGACACTTGGGGCACCGACCAGATGGACGTGGAAGGCCCAAACGAAGTGCAGGTTTTCGGGAAACGCCTGGTGGAAGACCCAATGCAGACATATTTCAACTTCCACCTCCGGAAAAAACTTCTCCTGCACTCCAGGGGAGGTCGTGGACATTGCGTTTGAGTGGACAATGTTCAGGATCTCGATTGTGGAAACAGCTGTGAAAAGCTGGAGCCTGAAGGCAGTTGGTGCCTGTCATGGAGGCAACCCTAGGACCCGCTGGTGGACATCAGTGGTTAGGGAAGGTGTCAAGTTGAAGGAGGATTTCCGAGCTATGCTAGGAAAAAGGTCTCCCAACTCGATTGAGAGGTACCGGCTTGCCAAGAGGGCGGCAGCTGCAGCTGAAGCGGAAGCCCCGTCGGAGGTGTTTGGAGGCCATGGAGAGGGACTACCGGGCACCCTCAAAGATGTTCTGGCAAATATTCCGACGACTTAGGAGGGGGTCGAGGACATGGCGGAGGCGTAACATTGACCTTAACTAAGGAGATAGTCGAGAGGGGGAAGGGAACACTTTGAGGAGCTCCTCAACCCGGTGGACATGCCCTCCTCTCAGGAGGCAGCCCTGGAAAAATCTGCGGCGATCGAGGGCCTTCATAGTGGCAAAGCTGCCAGAGTAGACGAGATTCGCCAAGTTGTTGCAAGTGCTGGACAGTGTAGGAGTGTCGTGGTGAACACGCCTCTTCAATGTTGCATGGAAGGCCGGTGCAGTACCTCTGGATTGGCAAAATGGGGTCGTGGTTCCCATTAAAAAAAATGGGACCAGGATATCAAGCCACATTGGAGGTTTGGAGAGTCATACAGTACAGGGGCATGGAGGTGGCGTCGCTGCTTTTTGCAGGCAACGTTGTCCTCTTTACCTCGTCAGTCTGTGACCTCCAACGTGCACTTGAACAGTTTAATGCCGAGTATTAAGTGGCTGAGATGAGGATCGACACCTCCAAATATGAGGTCACGGTTCACTCCTGGGAGATGGTGGATTGTTCTCTCCAGTTGAGGGGGCACAGCTGCCCTTAGTGGAAGAGTTTAAGTACGTCGGAGTCTCTTTCGCAAGTGATGGTAAGTGAGATCAGGAGATCGGCCGGTGGATCGGTGCGGTGTCCGCAGTGATGCGGGCGCTGTGCCGTCCCGTGGTAGTGAAGCGGGAGCCGAGTTCTCGACCAAAGCGCGCGGTTTACAGGTCGATCTACGTTCCCACCCTCACCTATGGTCATGATCTTTGGGTAATGACCGAAAGGATGAGATACTGGGTAGAGGGGGCTGAAATGAAGTTTCTACGCAGGGTTGCCGGGCCCTCACTCTCCGTGATCGGGCAAGGAGCTCGGTAATCCGGGAGAGCCTCAGAGTCGAGCCGCTGCTCCTCCGGATCGAGAAGAGCCAGTTGAGGTGGTTCGGTCACCCAGTAAGGATGCCCCCCGGAAGACTCCCCCTGGAACTCTACCGGGCAGCGCGTCCCATTGGGCGAAGATCTCGGGGCAGGTCCAGGACACGCTGGCGGGACGATGTCGCTCGGCTGGCCTGGGAACGCTCGGGATTTCTCCAGGAAGAGCTGGAGTCTGTCGCCAGGGAAAGGGAGGTCTGGACCGCCCTACTCAACATGCTGCCGCCGCGACCCTCACCAGGACAAGCAGACTGAGAAAGGAACAAAACGAAATATTAAGATTCGATAACTATTCATATAACATCGGAAAAAAATGTTCGTGAGAAAAAAAATCTAATGCAATTCTCATCAGGCGCCATGGTGTGTATTATTTGTGCCTTCCCCAACCCTCATTGTCCACTCCATCTCTCCGGCATCTATATATATAGCACTCTGAAAAAGGGACATTGCCCAAAACGTCGCTACTCATCAAATAAGACATTGCCTTAACAGGGGTCCCGATGAGACGTTTCGAATAACATTTTTGTTCATATAACGGCATGCATGCATTGTTTTTTTTATTTTCCCCTACACCGCCAAGGACGAGCGTCGCCCTTGCAGACGAACATTCACGAAGGACGGTCGAATCACACCGCTAATTGCGCTGCGCAGCACGGGGGCGGTGGTGGCCCCAAACGACTCCCCGTCGCTCGTTTGGCTTCGTTTATTCGTTGCAACGTTCCTGTCCCCTGCACACCGAGATGGTCTCCAGGCACCGCGCGTCATGATGAGCCGAGCGCGTGGGAAGCCACCGCACAAAGGCCCCACCACCCCAACACAGTATAGCTTCATCAGGCTGTTGAGGGAAGTGATGTTAGCGAGTAGCGGTAGTCAAACAGCGCCTATAAACTAATGAAACATCTATTTATTTTTTTCTAACCAGGGGTAAGGTCCACTGAGTAGCTCTTTTTCAGATGTGACCTGGCTATCACAAATGATAGCTCAACGAAGTGGCTTATATGTCGTGTGGAAAATTTATAGCAGCCAAATACTTTGAATGCACGTTGCTTCTAAATGTGGATGGAAAACCCGGAGAACCCGGAGAAAAATCCACGTGGTAAACATGCAAACTCCAAATATAAAGGCTTCAGGGTCCTGATAAAACCCTGTATACCAGGGGAGGAAGTTAACATCTCACCAGCGGTGACGCCATACATTGCCCCATCAGCAGGGGCAGCCTTGCATAAGCCATCCGCTCGGTGAACTGCAAGATGTAATGGGCTAGGAGTCCCTGTATCGGAATAGTCTTGGATAGAGATGGAACTTGTAAGCTGAAGAAGACATCCCTCCCGGATTATGGATAGAGAAAAAAAACATTGTGAAGAGCATCAAAAACAATTTCAATTAATCAGCCGCTTAACTCCAGCACTTAAAATATTGTAAATCCCAATCGCGCCCAGGGCACTCAACAGGTTTACGTGTAATTGGGATGATTTATCGCTGGCAAAATGCAACGGACGGCACCCGTCAAACTTCATACTCCTCTGGCATCTCTCAACGACGCTTCTTCCTCCGCCTTGTGCGCGCGCACCGCGCATTTGCGCTAATTGCGAGTCGCTTCCGTACGCGGTGGCCCAACACACCAACGCGTCCCTTGATGGGTCTCGGCAGCGGTTAATCACGCGTGCTAATTCAGTATGCGCGAGGAGCACGTCTTCCATTTAAGCTCCCTTTTGAGGGTCCATTTGCTTCGGAATTGAAGCTCAGAATTGTTTCTTAACGAGTGTTATCGGTGAACAAGAATCGCGCAACACTGATTGTGTTGACATGACGGGGTTCTTCTTCCGTTGTACGGATGACAGGCCACGGCTAACATCAGTGGCTAATACAGGGGTCGGCAACCTGTAGATCGAGTCGCACGCGGCTCTTCATGGACCGATTGGAGACGTAATGCCACTGATATTTTGGTTGCTTGACCCCTGAGTGAGTGGTATCCGAACCGGTCATCCCTTCTCCATCCGTCTAAACCAGACGAGGGTGGCCACCCTGTTTTGATAAGTCTCCACAACGCCGTCAATTATTATTTTGTTAGGAATCGTGTAGGACTCGGTAGGACCCGCATCTAACAGAGAGGGCCCTTGCCTATAAATGCGTGGAGGTTCGCCTGCGTTGGATTAAGGCTGACGGAAAGATGCAGAATGTTGAACCCGGTAGTTTCCTCGCATTAAATCCATTCCTCTGATAAAAAAAAAAACATCTAATCCCGAAGTCGCCGTGTTGCTGATGGGATTTGTAAAAAAACAAAAAATACCATTATGTTTTAGGGACAGCTTTGGCAAGCAGACGTATTGTCTGCTTACTTATTTTCGGCACTTCACATCCTGGTTGTTTTCATTTATTTGTTGTAAACGATAAACACATTTCAACTCATAACAGCGGTGTTGGCTCATTCTCTGAGAGGAAAACTCGAGAGGAGCGAGGAGGAACCACAGGCAAGCGGCAACGCAACAGCAGCCAAGACGGTGAGCCGGCGCGAAATGCCACCCCAAGCTCTGCAACCTTATATATATTAAGGCATTATCAGCTAATTAGCGAGCGTTTATACACGTCGGAGTACATCGGACCAACCGGAGAAATCCCACGTGCGAGGGGACAACGCTCTATCCCATACAGGTGGCGTCGGCATGTCTTCGTATCGGTCGTATCGCTGTATCCTGGTTGAGCCAGGGTACGGCGACCTCCTAAACGCCCACCCACGGAAAGAAGGAAATTTCACAGCATTCGTGCGGCGGTCCAGGAACCTTCACTGCTGCCTCTGCAACAGTACGAGACTAAAACTACGAACTATTTTTAATTTTACCAGGTAAGCCCCAGTGAGCCATCTCGCTCTTTTTCAGAAATGACCTGGCCACAGATGACAGCTCAACAAATGGCTTTTCACGCAGAAATATATAGCAGCCAAATACGCACATTGATTCTAAATGTGGAGGGAAAAAGCGGAGGACCTGTAGAAAAATCCATGAGACCAGAGGGAGAGAGACATGCAAACTCCAAATATACAAGCGTCGTCAGGGTTAAGATTGAACCCACGACCTCCTGCATACCAGACGAGGGGTAGTAGTTAACATCTCGCCACTGTGGCACCCCACCGAGAATTGGACATACACAGTTGAGTAGCCACCGCGACCGCCACCCGCCTAGATGCAAATAGAATTTGAAATCAGAGGAAGTTGTACACGCCAAGGCCGATTCGACAAGCCCCTCGTTTCGGGTGTGGAGGCACGCTCGCCTATTTTTAATATCTCCGGAGTCATCGCGTTCGCGCTTGGTGGGCGTCTGACAGCTGGGCGTGTGGCGCTCGCAGAGCAGGCAACGATGCGCCGATGAGTAAAACAATATAAACATATATATTGTATCGTTAACATTATTATTGAAGTCGCCGGCGAAGTAGTTTCGCGATAGTGGACGGACGTTCCAGACACTTGCGAGATGTGGGCAATCGTGAGGATAATCAAATAAGTGGATTTGGACACAGCAAAGGTAACGGTGCAGCTCTGCAATATCAAACTTGCGTCACTGCTGGTAGAAAGGGGCATTGACCGGAGGGAGCGCCGGAGATCCCCCGTCCGCTCTCACCTCCTCTGCAAGGGGTTTGGCCTACTCTTCCACACTGGCCAGATGTATTTAAGTCAACGGGAGTACCCACACTTTATCCCACCACACGTGGAGGGGGATTATAAAAAGCCTGCCTCATTCAACCCGCTAACCATTCAATCACTGTGAAAGAGCTTTATAGCTCATAGGATTTCTCCAGTATAAATATTCTGGACACAGCACGTCAAGCAATTAGAGGACTGTAATTCAGAATGAAATAATTAGTCTGCGCCTGCCGATTAAACCCTTTGCGATAGCTCGGGGGAGGGCGCTTTCAAAGGGCGTTAAACTGTTCAGTGTCACAAAACAGACGGAAGCTCCCGTCAGTTCGGAATACAAACGCTGCCAGAGAATCGGCAACTGGGCAGCTCTCCCCAGCGCACCCGGAGAGGGGTTTGCGCACCACGTGCCGCTCGTCCCGATGTTGCGCGCCCGCGGTCGCGGGTTTCCGTTGATGAATGCGGCCGCCGACGCTGTGCCGGCAACCTGGAGCCCAAAATGTTCGGCCGTCGTGCCACAACGACCACGCACGCCGGTGGTGCAGGCGGGAGGAGAGAGGGGGGGGGGGGGGGGGATGACCTTAAAAGAACCACACACACACGCCAGAGGAGACGACGGCAGTCGCGGTGGCGAAAGAAACCCGACGCACTTGGGGCGAGCCGCGCGGACAGCCCGGGGGGAGGAGATCCCAGACAAACGGGGGCAGCGAATAATAAAGAGCGACCACCCACACAGATTGGAAAGTTAGATTTTTATTTTTTCTACTGCCAATTCGCTGGGGTCTGTTTGGCCGACGTTGGGTGTGGGGGGGTTTGGCGGTAAGCGCTGCCACGTATTGAAACCAGAGCACCTTTTAAAGATTATACCAAGGTAGACTGACGTTTCTGGGCAGTGGGCCTTGTTCAGAGCAGACAGAGACGGACGGCGTAGAGATCGGCAGACCCGCAGCTGAATGAGGCGTTCATCATCTTCTTCTTCTCAATGCTCTTCTGCTCAATGTCGACTCAGCGTCAGGTGGTTCAGTGGCAGAGCGAGCGAGCGGCATAGGAATCGCAAGGTTGAAGGTTCACATGCTGGTCGGGGGGTTGACTCAAACCATCATATCCCTCGGGGGTCTTTTAAAACGGGCACCACGTTGTGGGGATATTCAACAGCAGTTTCCATTTGGAGAAACTCGCCCCGCCCCCAACGAGGCTATTGCAATGCTTTAGCCAGATGAGCACCGATGCCGCAATGCTCATCTAAGGAAGACTCACGGAGTATCAATGTCTACTATCCACCGGTACTCATTAGAATGAGATTTTTTTTCATCACGACAGCGTCCCTTCAGAAATCTTGCTGGTTCACCTGTAACGCATCGAGTTAATATCGATGATGATTCAGTTTCTTCTGTACCGCGATGGTTTTTGACCTCGTATTCACTTGGGTTGTTTTGGCTCCAACTTCTATTTTCCGCAGCGTTGTTCCGTTTTTTGGACTCTTGCTTCTGTCTTTGTGCGAGCCAGGTCACAGCTAAGAATGAGACTACCCTGGTCCCTCGAGCCCTCAACTTGGCGAAACAAAAAGAAAACTTGAAAACTCAGGGTGTGAAAGGTGTTGTGAAGATATGAACAACACTCACAGCAAGCGCTGTCACATCAGTGGCGATGACTGATAATCAATAAGAATAATTGATAGTCAATAACCGAATTAATCGAGCGACAATCACGATCTGCAAGTGTTTTGTGACTGTAACAACACTTCCTGAAACAAAAATATTTACGGAGACAAGATTAGTCATTCTCAACGAGTTGACGTCAATTAATAAAATCCCAAACTACTTTGAAAGCCGTTCTTAAACGAACACTTGTTGAATCCATCCACCCTTTCGACGGACAGTATAACGCCGCAAAGTTAAATGGGCTTCGTCACGTTTGGCGGACAAATTCGATTCAAGAAGAACACACGATACTCGTCCCAACACTTTGCCGCTTTGAGCGCGATTGCGCATTCCGTAACGAGTTGGTGTCCACCGAAGCCGCACGCGCCACCAACGAAAACGCAAGGAGACTCAGTCGTAGCCCTTACCCGAAGGGGAGCCTGGCTCGTGGCTTGACAAGTTATCGCGAGACGGGGATTCAGGGATTCAACGCCGACTCGGATTAAACGGCAGTCGCGGGCAATGTAATCCGTGGGAAACAAGGCAGCGTCGCCGAGGCTACAGGATGCAAAACATCCACGGCCACGAGCGGAGGCCACGTCAGCGAGGCGTTACACCCTGGCTCTCTTGAAGCGGGAGTTTGGGGTGAACCCACGTGACAAAACACATGCCGGGGGGAACTTCTTCTGCAAGTCACGTGGGGTGAAACGCCGGACATCATTAACGTACTTCATTTCAAGCTCCCAAAACGTGGTGGTGGGGGGGGGGAACCGACGAGCGACGTTTCGTTCCACGTGCTGGGCGCTTCTTCAGCAGGTGAATTATTCCCGAAGAAGCTTATCAGCGACATGCATTTTTTTTATGAGACATTGAATATCGGCGCAGAGGTTGAGACCTGAGATTAGCAGCTACGCGTTGAGTTTGTTTGACCATGCTTCACCACGCTGGTCAACGGGGGATTGGTGGAGAGGATGATGGTACAGGAATGGTTCTGAGTTCACTCGAAAGACGTGGGAAAGGAGTCGAACTCGAGTGGTCGGGTTTATAGTGCAGTGCGCGATCCATTGAGTCACCCCCCCCCTCCCAAAAATGTCCATGCGAGTGTGGCAGAATGCTTGTGACGTGAACTATGCAGGAAATGTTGAGGTTGTGTGCATACATGTTGATGTATGTTTCCGTGTGCTCATTTATGTAGTATGCGCATGTGCATGCTTACATATAGTTTGTTGTCCTCTCGCACCTCCGCTGTACACGCTTGGCTACATATGGTGTGAAAAGTCAACATACATACATTCATGTAGACACCCCGAAGTAGCCTTTTAACAGACTGTTGGGGGGGAAATTGCTGTTAGCGAGCAGCTATTGAGGCAAGCACGGCAGGGCGAGCGGGTGGGTGGCCAGTAACATGCTCAGCCACCTGTCTCCCTAGTGCTGTTTACAAGCATGGCACCGGGTAACGCATTTTAAACTGAGTCAACGTAGGGAAGAACCCACGACTGGTTCAGATATTAACCACTGTTATCAAGCGTGAGCGAAAATCTAACGTGGGCCGCGGGTTCGTAGCGGAGTGCGCTTACCACTGCAACACCTGTCCCCATACGCATGCACATATACACACGGAGCACGAACAATTTAGCACCTCAAACACCATTGGCGATAAAATGAAACACAGAAAACAACAACACGGCACATAATACACAAGATTTTTATTTCGAAAGATTCGCGACAATTTTTTTCATAATTATAAATTCTTCCGAAGTTGTTTCATAACCCAACGGCAATGACAATCTACATCCTTCGCTGGTTTTCAGTAAATCGACTCCACTAAGCTACCTCAAGGCTGCGGATGCCCAGAGGTCCATGTGTGAGAGATTCGCCACTCTCACCGCTCACCAAAACCATCACAACCCAGCATAAAGAATTTGTTGACAAACCAATTTTGTTTTGCCAACGCGAAGGATTTAGAATCTATGTAGTCGTAATAATCTGTAAAACATAAAAAATAACTGATAAGCGTGTAACTGAATGCAGATGCCTCTTTTGGCAATCCACAACCTACACGGACGGGCCTTCCGGATTGACCAATGTCAAGTTTGTGTTTATGCAAGCGAATCAGGAATCGGTTTTGACTTTTCCGGTCTCATCAGCAGGTCAGGCCCTGCTTGACGACCTACTGCTGGGGGTGCCAGACTTTACGGGGGAGAAGGGTCACGACGGAGGAGCATGAAAACACAAAACCGCCATTTCACACGAACTTCAGCAAGAGCTACAGCAAAGCGGCGTGGGACGCGTAAAAAATGGAAAATGATCGATTCCTCCCACACGTACGGTTCGATGCATGCACCGTGGCGATTCACAAGAATTAATATTAACAAACAATTCGATGAAACGATCACAAACATCGCAAGCGCACACCCATGTGGTGGAAGGGGGGGAGAAGGGATGGGTCTCTTTCGCCGCGACGTGACAAGGTGCCAAAATCACCAGTCTCAGAAATAACTTTGCCTATTTCCTGTGGTAATAAAACACTACAATCTGGTGTGGGCCGCCGACAGCTGCGTCTCTTCGCCAAACTGCAACACGAAGCGTCAATATCCCGATAGCAAAAAACGTTAATCATTTATGACTGCGAAGGTTTTTTCACCGCGTGTACCTCGGCAGGATGTCTAATGTTTCGCCGCACGTGCAGCATTTTAAACATAGCCTAACCCCCCCCACCGTCTCAAACTCGTGAAAGCCACCAAGCTCAAAACGTGACAGCGGACAGCCAGATACGCAGCTCATGGTCGTTTAAATGATCATCAGCCACGATCTGTTCACTGCTCGATGACTCCCTCCAAAACAGTCACCGTGTCCTATTATATCAAAATGCATCGATGCATCTGGCTCCGTCACGAGAGCAGATTTCATCACTCCATCTTCTCGGCTCAGTCGGGCATTCCTCCTTCCTCCGCCTGCCAAACCATCCTACGTCTCGACTATTGGCCGCCACCACTGTCAGCATCATCACCATCCCCCCTTCGAGCTATGTATCCCACCCACGCTCACTTTAACTCATCTTGACAGTCAATGGTTGTCTCTCTAACTTGCGTGTATTCTCAAATCCCACAAGTTTTACTCTTCCTGCCATCTCGGCATATATCCTGGCGTTGCGCCTGATCATATTTATATCAGTGGCTCTTTTCAGCTTGGGTATATACAATATTTACAAAAACGTTTTCCGAGCCCCTCAAACGAATAAATGTCAACCAGTGGACGGAAGGCCTGACAGTTCAAAACCAGAGCAGGTTCATTCTCGCTCTACTTCCGTGATGGTGCAGCATGCTCCGCTGCTGCACTCAGAACAAGGACTTGGAACAATTTCTCGTCACTCAATCATCGAGGCGTAACCATGCCTCGCAATGAGCCACACGAATAAGAGCCGAATGGTTCTCACCGCTTTACAACTTAGGTTGAGTGCGTGAAAGTGTCAGCTCTGTTTGTCCGTAACTCGAGTGGGTGGGTGGGAGGGTATGATAAAACTTGCACAGATGATCAACTATTCATTATTTTTTATATCATGTTGTGTTCCTATTGGGAAAATTGGCCAAATTAATAATCAGAACCTTTAATTTAGGCTCTTTTTCATAGATGTCCAGCAGATTGATCGGAGGATTACCCAAAATTTGGCGATACAACACAGAACCGTTTCAAGGATTCACACCGTGCAGATGTCGCCGTCTCGTTTCATCACAGTCATTCTGGCCTCCTGGAATTAATCCTGGTTTCCTAGATTTTTTCCCCAAAGTTGCTTGATGTAGTTTCAAGCCGAAACTTTCATGGAGACATATTTGCTTGTGAGAATGGTAGGCTCAAATAAATCTAATTCAGTGTCGGTTAGGTGGAGGAGGGTATTAATGACACAAATTTGGGCAGATCATTACGTGGGCCTAACCAATTAATTCCATTAAAAATCGTATTTTCTGTGAAAACCTGCGAGTTAAGTTAGACGCTACGTGGCGTTTTGCTTCGCGGCTCAGAGGGTGACTTCAATTTTCACCAATCAAAAACTTCCCCCGACAAACGTTCATTGAGGAGCATCACAGAATCCCACGGCTACTCGTCAAAGTGTCTTCCTCGTTTGGGTTTCCTCTTTCGTGAAGGATGTTTACTTTACACCGGGGCCTGTGCAGGGGGTGAAAACAAAAATCCAGAGCAACAAGATTGTGTCGATGTGTCCTTCTCCCTGCCCGACGCCAGCACCTAGACGTCCAAAGCATCTTTCTTCTCACGACACCAACGGCCAAACCACGGGTCAGCATCGCTGGTAACCGCGCACGCACTGCCACTCCAGGGCGATGTCCCGGTAAAATGCAGTGGCCCAGGAAGTCTCCTCCCTCCTCTCAGCGCCCACCGTTTCCCGCAAACGACGACTTGGCTTCTCCCTTCCACGGCACCTCTGGCCCACGCCAATTGCCGTCGGCGACGCTCTGGTTGTCCCCAGAACCGCCTGGAGGGTTCTGTATTCGCGAGTATGGTCCCAGGGACGGCCTCATCACCGGCTGCCCAACCGGCATCAGTGGTATGATCCTCACGGGCGGTTTGGCTGGAACTTCGGGTTTGCCCTGCTGCTTCAGGGACATTACTGAAACTCGGTTGTAAGGTTGGGTCGTTGCAGAGGTCGTTGCTGGGGTCGTTGCCGGAGTCGGGGTCGGAGCCGGAGTCACCGTTTGTTTTGGAGCCGAGGTCAACGGGACTTGAGTCAAATTCATTGGAGAAACTGCTGGGGTCACTTGCCATTCTAAAGTAGAAGGGACGACCACCTTGGCACCTCCGATGTTAAAGAGCTTATGGATTTTAGCCTGCAGCTCCTGCTGCTGCTGTTGTTGAGCTAGAAGCTTTTTATCTCGTTCCTCTTGCTGTTGCTGCTGACATTGCTTCAGAAGCCGTATCAATGAAATGTTCTGCTGCTTTTGCTGCTGCTCTTGTTGCTGCTCTTGTTGCTGCTGCTGTTGCTGCTGCTGTTGCTGCTGTAGCTGCTGCTGTAGCTTCTGTTGCTGCTGCTGCTGTTGCTCTTGTTGCTGCTGCTGCTGTAGTTGTTGCTCTTGTTGCTGCTGTTGTTGCAGGGACGGCTGGCTCGGCTGCATCGGTTGCTCCTGTTGCTGCTTCACGAGTAACAGCTGTTGAGACAGCAGTTGCAGCTTCTGAAGCTCCGACAGGTCCGACTGCTGCTGCTGTTGCTGCTGTTGCTGCTGTTGCTGCTGCTGTTGCTGCTGTTGCTGCTGCTGTTGCTGCTGTTGCTGCTGTTGCTGCTGTTGCTGCTGGTGGTCTATGCGCTGTTGAAATTCAGGCTGGCTCGTCGCTGAAGGCAAAGAGGAGGGGCTAGCCGTGGCTACCGCCGCCACTGACGTGGGTCGAAGAGCCACAGGAATTTGGGGAGACAGCACAACGCCTGGTTTGGAGAAAACAAAACAGTCAATAACAATTACGGGCATTCCAGAGCTTTAATATCGACAATGGTGATAATTGTACGTGTCGTTGTATCGATTTTCTTTAGAGCGGAGTAGGCTAGAAACCCTCTTAAGGAGGGGGGGGGGGGTTCTCTCTAAAGCTTGCCACTCGAGGCGAACACTGTGACCGACTCGCAGACGGATGGTATAAATGAAACGTTTAATATAATGCAGATTGCCGAGGGAGACCGGCAGTCATAAGGGAATGATTTAGATATTAGGTACAGGGTTACCCCTCGATTTACGTACGTTCGGTTGACGTAATTTTGCGTTGACGCAAATTTACAAATTATGCACACTTTTCAATGAACGAAATCGAATTTCGGCGTGAACGATATTTCACACGGCACGCACCACGAGATCATTAAACAAGAGCCACACGTGTGTGTCATGGTAGCCCTACAGTGCAACAGTAACGGCCTCAACTTCACCTTTCCAATAATATCCAACGTACAGCAGATATATTGGCAGAGTTCCCTAACAAGGTCAACTATTTTTGTTTTAAATATATTTTTTTACGAATGTGTTCTTTCTTTTTATATTGTACGCTGCGCGTAAGTTACCAATCTTGCAAATTTAATCAGGCATTATAAAGTTACACAATGGTGATTTCGGAAGCCTGTTTTTAAATATATTAATCAAGTGTCTGCGATTCGGATCCGCACGTCACAGCACCTAATGTGCACAGATTGAAAACTTCCCCTCGATGGGCACGTGGCACCGGTACGTGACGATTTTCATTTTGATTTGATAACAGACAACGAGAAGCAAAAGCTGAAAAGTCCACAGAGAAGCATGATGAGACGCATACCACTTGGAATCCCACTGAGACACAGGAGGAGAGAACGCGTGGATCAGGTAACGAGTGCAAATCGCAGACATCGTATTCAACGTTAGGGAATACCGAGTGAGTTTGAGCAAGGACACATCGTGCCGGGCGAGGATAAAAGGCTGATGGATGAGACTGGTGACAGAAGGGCAGTCAAATGAGCGATCGTGCCCAAGAGGAAGGGATGGAGAGATGAGGCCAGCTCAGGTGCAGGAGTGAGATGGATTATGGCAGCGCTAGAATTCACCCAGTTATGACAAACAGCAACATTTTACATCGAGGGATTTTTTTTTAGTGCAGTCAGCAGTGGCTGGCCTGAGACCTTTTAACTCGCTGAAATTTGAGAACCCGCCTTAATCTGTGCGAGTCTGTGGGTCTCTAAACAAGTCTGTGGGTCTGGGAGTTGATTGGGTGCCTATGCGGGTCTATGGATCTGCTATTAAAGTCGATGGGGCTCTTTTTGAGTCTTTGCTGAGCAGGGCCGAAACCATGAACACTCACTTGAGAATCCAGTTTAACCCTGGGCAGCCGATACCTGGATTTAAACCCAGTGCCTGCGCGCTACTGGTTCAGCATCTCCGACATTTCAACCAACCAGCCACATTTTCTTTTAGTTTATTCGATAGCCGATAGGCTAATTATTGTTATGTTTGGAAAGTATATTTTTTATATCCATCTAAAGATATCACCTTACGTAAACTACAAGACCCCTTCAACCGATATCTTGGAATGGACCACAGTTTAGTCATGTTGGGCAAAATGTCATGAACTTTCTTTATTTAAGAAAAAAATTATTTTATACATTAAGCTACATACCAGGTGATGTTAGCATGTGTGAGTTAATATGCATGTGTGGGTGTAAGCATGTGAGTGCAAAAACAGACAAAGGTGAAATCTTGCCTATGTACAAATGCTCAATTCAATGTACATGGCATACACTGTGTACAATCAGAACAGTTGTAGCATGCATCAATATGGCAGAACACACGCGAACAACAATTGTCCCATCAGCATGTTAATGTTATGTGGGGGATCTTTGTCTTTCTTACATATCAGTATACATTCATTGATGTGTGTATACGTGTGTGTGTGCACACATTTCTTCGTAAGGATATTCTTGGGCATATCTCACATTGTCATTATATACAAAGGATACTTACATCCAAAGGTTGTCAGATCTACGAACATCACAATCTGTTTTGTATAACACCTGCACCGTTGCAGGACACCCATGAAATAGCATCTCTTTGGGCCATTTACACAAAAACAAATAAAATACCTATCTATACGTGTTTGAACTCAACTTCTCCTTAAACAGACGGGTTTCCCAGCGTGTTCATTTGCTTCAACAGCATAACGCAATGTGGATTTATACAGACGTTGTAGATATATTTAGATGAGAGAGGAAGATGGTCATAGGCGGAGGGAACGAATTAAGCTCTCGAGCCTGGACTTGTAAAAAGGAGTCGACAACATGGACGGCTGTGGGAAGAAAGTTTCGGATTGTGGGGGAAGTTAAAGAAAATGAGTGACGAATCATAGAGCAAAAGCTGACCGGGGGCCTGGACAGAAAGTCTTGGTTACTGGAGCAGATAGCATATGAAACAGAGCAGAGTGAGATGAGAGGGAGAAATATAATAGTGCACGGAGAGTAGTAGAGTGAGATGAGAGGGGAAAGGTAGGAGAGTGCATCTGGGGAGTAGAGTGAGATGAGAGGGTGAAGTAAGAGAGGGCATGGTGGAGAGGGGAGTGAAATGAGAGGGGAGAGGCAGGAGAGTGTGTGTAGGGGGAGTAGAGTGAGATGAGAGGGAGAAGTATGAGAGGGAGTGGAGTAGGCTGATTTGAGAGGGGAAGGGTTGGCAGTGTGGGTCTATGGAGCATCTCGAAGACAGTGAATGTGATCTTGAAATTGATTTAGGATTGGACTGTGAGCAAGTGGGGTGTTGTGGTCTGAGTGGCAGCCGAAGGATGGCACACACCAGAGGGAACATCCACTGCGAGAATTGGAAAAATAATGCAATCAGCTCGTGTGCAGGACCGTACATGCTGGCATGTCACGGGTAGGCTTTTATTCATCCAGCAGTGGATATACCACAGCGGGTGATCATGATGATGATGTGGTTGGGTTTGTCAAAATGAACGGTTGAGCGAGTGGACAAAGGAACGGACAACCGCAAATGAAGGCAGTCTCTGATCACATGACCTCATCTCATCCATGCAGAGATCCCCATATAGCCTTCACAGACTATTGGGGCAAGTGCTGTTAGCGAGTACCTATGAAGGCCGGCATTGCACACGAGGTGGTGGGTGGCCAGCATCACGCCTGACCACCTTTGTCACACTGCACCACGTATTAATTTGAGGCCGAGTCGACCTAGGGAAGGCCGAAGGCCAGTTCAGATAATCGTCACTAGTGTTGGCCGTGGATGGGAATCGAACTCGGGTCGCCTGGATCGTAGCACAAGGCGCTTATCGTTACACTACCACTCCCCTCATACGACACACACAGACACATAAAGCACATATGACAGCACGAGTTACCAAACAGCGATAAGCCTCCAGAAACATTTTTAGACTTATAGTTGTAGAAACGACAATGAGTTTTGACCTCTTCATCCTTTAAGCCACCCCGCGACAATATATCAGAGTGGCAGACAATCCTTCAAGATGCCGCACGGATCGCTTAAGCGCTTTAAGTGTTGCGGGGCGGGGAAACTCGGGTTCTGCGAACATTTGGCCAATGACCTTCTGAGACCCGAATATCAATCATAGAAGCGGCGCTCGCCGCAGTCCACAGAGGGTTCCCGCAGGCACCCTTTAAATACGTTGGGACCGGCGAAGTGTTTGACAGCGATTTGTGCGAATTGACGGGGCGGATGGATCGCTGGGGGGTTTGCCTTCGCAAATTCGCCCACGGGAAGGAATCCGCCGGGCGGGCTTTAAATGCCACCGGATACGCGGCATAGGAACACGTCCTAAAACAAGCGCGGTGCTGAGGAATCCATCAATCTTACTTTGAAGGGACGGAGGGAGGGAAAGCGAACAGGGAGAGAGAATGAGTAGGGTTTGGAAGCTGAATTCCAACAACAAAAAGGCACTGCGCTTAGGAAAACAAATGGCCAGATGGCCACTTGACACCCGGCTCCCCGCTTTTCTCAACGTCACGTCTGGGATGAGAACTTGGCACCGAGTCAAACGGACAGTGGGGCAGGATTTATTTTGGTCGTATTTTAATATATATATTTTTTTATAATAATAAAAATCCCCCCAATTTTATTCCAATGCGCACGACAAACGAGACGAAGGAGAGCTTTCACCTGGCTATCAGTGCACCACCTTGTGTTGGAGACGCAGCATGGGATAGATCACTTTGTCAGGCCGTATTTAACACGATGGGTTTTCACAACAGCCATTATCAGCAAGCGACACGGCCGAGACCTTCAACTGAGGCCCAAGTCCTGAGAAACTGGTTTTAAATGCGGGCGGTTGGTTGAATCCTGGATTCGAAAACCCAGGATTTCAGCGGTGCCGACTTAAAAACACTCCAACTTCTCGAGCCATCAAGGCCTCTTGGCATGTGGTTTTAATGATCGAAGGTATGCAAAGGGCATAGGCGAAAATGAGAAACTCGCCCACGAAGCAAGCAGCAGTCATGTTCACGCGACCGAACGTGAAACGGCTGTTGTTTTTTATCTCTTGAAAACTTTATTCAAATATGGAACGATTTCAAAGTGAGCGCGCACGTTCAATTTGAAATAAAACCGAGACGCTTTGTCCGTTGTTAAAAGCTAAAAGAAAAATCAAACTAAAAAGTTGCACATTATTTTCTTGAAAGGGTTTTAAATTGAACGAAGAATGTGACATCGGTTATGGTGACATATGCACCCATTCCAACGTCTCACGTCCACTGACAATGAGCGAACGTGGGCCCAAGATTATTTATATAGCGCACTTGAAAAATAATTACACTTGACATGATTTTATACGCAGTTATTTTTTGGCACAAATGTTAAATTATTTAAAAGCCTTTTTTTACATAGTGTAAACAGACCGTTATCCTGAAAATTATCATCATCTACATCTGTTACATTTCATCACAATGAGCATCATCATAGTATACAGTGCCAAACTAGCACAATAAAACTAAAAATATTTAACACCAAACATTGCATTGTTTGAGAGAAATTGAGAGGTTACATTTTAGATACATTTTAACGCATTGAACCAAACCCATATGGTTTTCCTTTATAGACAAATGTGTAACTATTATATTTAGCCTTGTAACGAGGGCGGACAGCACAGACGTTGAAGCATATCAGTGGATGCACTACCCTTCCCTGACAAGGTCACCCTGTGTGGCTATCAAACTGGACAATGAGAAGTCACGCTTGGATTCAAGTAGGAATCTCAATGTATGTCAGGATTCTGTGCATCGTCTTAAGTGCCACGCCGGGAGATTGAAAGGCCGCCACCTCTGCAATGCAAGCGCAGTGGTGCTAACCGTTACACCGCGGCAGTTTCAAAGACAAGACGTGCATTATTATCGAGGAACATTTGTTTGCATGTTTTACAACAAGCATGTGGTTAAATGCAGACCTGATGCATTGAAATAGGTGTCTATTTGGTGTTTGAACATCTTAACACCTCCTGTATTACTGGCAGAAAGGGTAAAATCTTTTCTCTCTTCGTCATCTTGACACCAGGCAAAAAAGGTTCCATAGATAGCGTCCCCTTTTAATGGTAGGCACGATCCGTTTAATATAAATATCACTCACCCCATTCATCGTTAACAGTGCCTTGCAACGGAAAAAGTGAAGGAGAGAGGCAAGGTTGCTGTGGGGGGCGACTTCAATTCACACAGAAACCACCCCCACGAGCGTAAGGAGGTGGCTGCACGACGTCTCAACTACCGCGCGCCGCCCAGCGCAAACGAGCGGGCAGGATGGGAGACCTAAGAACCCTGCAGTGTGCTAACCATCGCGATCGCGGCCGAGCCCTGCGACCAGATTTTCGTTCAGTGGCTACAATCGCGACCCATGCCTCGCCAACCGTCGTCACTGGCACGCCGGTTCCGGCTGCCGTCCTGCCCGACTGTGGTTTACCGCGCCTCTGAATCATTCTCCCTCTCTCTCGAGATCAAGCGAAGACTGCTACGCATTACAAATTCTAATTTCTTTGTTTTGTCGTTCAAGAACCCAGATTCCGAAGTGAGGGAGGGAGGGAACAGCAAATAGTGTGGAACCAAACTTGGAGCGATTCACCCTCAAAATGAGGGAGCGGACCAGTGCGGTCTGAGCTCACTGCCCGACCGCGGTAGGGGTAACAATCAAAAGCAGTAAATTTATGAGGGAGGGGGGTGGGAGAGGGGGGGAACAAATCCAAAATTCTCATTGTTGTTATTATCATTGTCGTGCACACAATCCCCATCACATCCACCCACCCCACCCACCTCGACAAGAAGCCAATGTCCACCTTACCTTCTGCAGGAAGAATGGCGCCAGCAGCGCTACCACCAGCAAGCTCGCCATTACCAATGCCGCCACCTCCATCGAGGTTCATCAGGGCCTCCTTGCGCCGTTGCAGATAGCGGACCACTTGGTCGATCTCCTCGGCCGCCAAGTGGCGGCTGTCCACCAGCAGGTAGAGCAAGGCCGCGATGGAGGCCGGCGGGATCAGGCTGTCCTCGTAGGCGCGACGGAGGGCCATCTCGCGCGCCAGAGACTTCTCCGCCGCTTCAGTCGCCCCCCTCGAGGCCTCCGCGTGCTCCGACTCGCGCCGGGCCAACACGTACTGCTCGTACCGCTCACCGATGAGTTCGATGGCAGCGTACTCCTTCATGTTGCGGTGCTCTGTGGGTTTTGCGACGTTGGGGATTTCAAAACAAACAAATAGTGCGGAAAAACTAAACCTATTATTTATTTTATCAGGTAAGGCCCACTGAGATATGTAGCTCAGTAATAGCTCAATTAGGTGGCTTATCATATGGACATTTATAGCCGCCAAATACTCTAAACGCATGATGTTCATTCTAAATGGAGGGAAAAACCAGAGGACTGGGAGAAAAATTAACGCGACCACAGGGAGAGACATGCAAACTCCAAACATACAACAGGCGTCAGGGTCAGGATCGAACCCACATGACCTACTGTATACCAGGCGAGGGAGTTAACACCTCTCCACCGTGGTGCCCTACATTTCCCCTCTTCCACTGAAACTTCTCCTCCTCCCCACAGCTTCCCTTTTCTCTCAACAACCGAGCGAGCAAAGGGTGACACTAACACGCCCGCACCTTGCTTGCGGCCGTGCAGGATGATGACGGTGCATGACTTGTAGAGCTCGTGCTGCTGGGAGACGGTGATGATGAACGGCGTGCCGCTCTTGCGAACGTCCTCCATGGCCTCCACGAGTGACTTTTCCGTCTTCAGGAAGATGAGGTCAACAGAGAGGCCCAGCCCCTGGACTTGGCAGCCAAGACTCTCTGCATACGCCCTGTGAGAGCGTGTGCGTGCGTGTGTATCATTATCAGACACATGGGTGTGACAAACGCACCACCCTGCCGCCTTGCGTAATCAGCTCATTCCCCAAGTGGTTCGACTCCCGAGGCGTCTCCTCTTGAGCTTCCACATGACAGGGCCCACAATCTAGGCAAACGCTAATGGGCCCCCCCTGCCAACACCCCCTGCAGTATAAAAGAGGCTCCTCTCCATAACCAAAGCTCCCAGAGGCATGATGTGGCAGCAAGCGATCATTGACGACTGCACTGCACTGATGAGTCCTCGTGAGGATGACAGCGTTATGCAGGTTTGTATTCACACCTCCGATCCGCACCTCCAATTAGCACAGTTGACTAGGTAGAGTGCGAATAAAGTTCAACATACATACAGGACATCTAATGAAACCGAACTCGAACCGACCCCTGACCCCCCAGCCCCTCGAGTCAGGAGGCAAGACACCGGCGGCGTACTTGAGCATCTTGTTGGTGACGACGACCACGCAATCGACGGGACGCTCGCGCTCCAGCTTGAACTGCAGCTCGTCGTAGAAGCACGAGAAGAGCTCCTGCCTCCTCCGCTTCTCCTTCGTCAGAGCGTCCTCTGCACGGCGCAGGCAAAAACAAAAGGCGCAGCGGGTCCCCCTTTTCAACGCGGTCAAAATAGTAGGAGACTATTACGTTCCTGAACAGGTTTCTGCGTCAAGGAAGTGAAAAACGCATCGAGCGGAAAAATAATTCCCCGTTTGTAATGCGGCGGTAAAGCTTGGCGAGATACGGTTTACGCACACACAGCGCAGTAAGATGGCGGGACGAATAATCGAGAGTACGCCACACTCCGCGTTAGCGCATTATTCCGCATACCGTGTCATCATACCACTCAGCCGGAGAGCTCGAGAAAGTAGTTCTTCGTCGACCGCTCAGGTAACTGCATTACTGCAAAAACCCGCCGTGTGAACACCGCGCGTTAAGCGAGGACTTACCATACAGATTGCACAGAGCAACATTTCAAATATGTTATAGTTTTTATATTTAAATCTGTTCATTTCGTAGGAATACTCTCTTGGTTCTTTTTGGGGCTTTGCCTCTTACTCAAAAGCTACTATCGAGTAACTGTTCATATGCCGATTTAAAAACTGATAATCAAAACACGTTATGTAAGTATGAATTCTTGTCAGGCCCCATGGTGTTGAGGGCAATCTCCAACCATTATTAACTCTCACCTCTTTGGCCTCTCTATTTGAGTATAATGAAAAAGGGCCAATGCCCCTAACATCTATTACATTTTTATTTTAAGGTTATGGTGTTATTGACTAATGTGTTGAGTTTTTCGTTGTTAATTTTGCTCATGCACCGCTGCCTAAGCATCAGCACACTGGACTTGAGTTATATAGCTCTTTTTCAGAAGCAACCTGGCCACAAATGATATTTCAAAGAAGTGGCTTACCATGTGGAAATTTATAGCGGCCAAATACTCGAAGTGCACGGGGAAAACACGCCTTTGTCAATCCACTGCTGGATGATGGTCTTCCAACGCATTGACGGTTGTTTGACCAGACTTCAGCACGCTGGTCAGTGCGGGTTCGTTACGATGTTGGGCACGGTGTTGATGATACTCACGATACGATTAACGTATTGATAATGGCAATGATGGTGCTGGTGATGATGATGAGTGTTGATTTCAGTAAAAAGTACGTGAATGAATAGACGATAACGATGATGAAGACAACATGATGATAACTATAATTGTTATATTTTAAACTAAACTATTTTATTTAATTTTACCTGTTAAGGCCACCTACATTATAGCTCGTTTTTTCAGAAGCGACCTGGCCTCAAATGATAGCTCAATAAAGTGGCTCGTTACGTGGAAATGTACAGCAGACAAATACTTTAAACGCATGTTGATTCTAAATGTGGAGGGAAAACCCGGAGGACGCGGAGAAAAATCAACGCGACCGCGGGGAAAACGTGCAGACTCCAAATATACAGGCGTCAGGGTCAGGATCGAATCCACGAAATCCTTGCATACCAGGCGAGGGAGTAATCATCTCACCACATATACATATAGTACCCATTACATCTGGTCGCTAATGGGTGCTATATGTATATGTTTACATATATCCAGATGGTATTACGTAGATTGTCAGCAACAGAATTATCTATGGAAGCACACATTCCGCCTTCCATAAGTGGAATTTAAAGTCCAGGCTCAAGATCTTCCTCCTCTCATCTACCTATGACCCGATTGCCTCTTTATAAAACCAAGATGCCCACGGTTTCTGCAAGGCGTCTTGACATGCAGTCACATTTAATTGCTATGTAAATCCACGTTCCACTACATAACCATCTCTCTCTCTCTGCGACACGTCTTCATTCGCACATCTCTCACATTCTACCTCATTCTCTGCTCTAAAAAAAACACGAACACACCCAAAGAATATGAATTCCTGCAGTCACGAAAGCTTTAAGCCAAGATTTACACTTCTTCAAATTATCTAGATACACGTTCCCCATATTTGTACAACGCACTGAGATGCGGTCACAATAAGTGGCATTACAAAATCCAAATCTCGTATCGCACTGTACATTTCAATTTATATCGCTCTCTCGAAAAAAGAGTTGAAAGTGTTTGTGTATGAGCTCCTCTGTATGCCCATAGCGGTGCAGGCACTGATGATCCAGCATGATCCAATATCAATCAAACGGCAATATAAAGGTCAGCACATTCAGAATCCAAATATGTATTTATTCTGGAGGAATCTGATGTCCAGTAGAGGCCTTCATTATAGCACATAAATGTACAAGTACATAAACGTGCTATGATGGGTCCTTTCCTGAAACGTTCCCTGTGATATTTTTGCTCCTTTTAAACACCACAGTTTAATCAACGAAACGAGTTGAGTTTTTGTTGTTATTGCCGTGTGATTGTGCAACAGTGCCAACGTAGCATCACCAAACAATCTGCAGTATAAAGGTGGGTATGTTATAACTATTAACCTACTGTATTGGGAAACTGGCAACATTTCTAATAATACAATTAGTTACCCCAAAACGCAAGAGATACAAACCAAAGCACACAGAAATGTTTGCATATACACAAACACATTCTGCCGAGACAGCTACCACCAGTCTGTTTCCGTACTGATAAGTAAACATTGCACAATCCGTGCATATTTATTAACGTTTTTTTATAAGATGCAGCAGGCCTAACAAAGTACTTCAGAGCACCATACGCAGAAAATCTGTAAGGTTTTGGTTTATATCTAAATGGGAGAATCTCGGCGGTCAGGCCGCAGTTCTTCAGGAAAAGCGTTCCAGATCTGAGGGCCGAGGACCAAAAAATGTAGACGCGTGATTTTTCCTAACTTTTTTTTCGTTAACTGATTTTTGGATTAGGCCACGTCACGACTTGGCCGAAATGTTGTGTTGTTAAAACCCTCGACCAACCGACGCGGCCAAGCAAAATTAAATCGCCACGTGTACAAAGCCTTGAAAACGTGCCAAACAATTACATTGACATCGATTGCTAATCGGACCAAGTGCTTTGAAATGGAAAATTGATCCCAAGAAGTATTCCAACATTGTCCTCAACATCCCTCGTATTTATAGTCAGGGCTATGCATCAGCCTGGCTTTTGTCTGGTTTGGCACACCACACCCAGTGTACCTCCCACTGTGGCTGCGTGGCTACGAATCACGTGCTACCGGAAAATACCGAGCGAGAAATCAAGCCCCGTGCGTGGTCATCGTTGGACGCCAGATTTCAGACACAGAAGGGTCACTTACTCAGCTCTCGGGAGTCTTCGTATCGCTCGAACAGAGGGTCGCCACGGCTCTTAAAGTAGCCATCGTAAGAAGGGAGTTCGCTCCTCTCAGCTCTCCTGCAATCGCAAAACAAAATTAAGAGCCAAACACTCACGATGGCGAGAAGGCCTTGGTGAAAAATCTGCAGGATTGTAGGCACTTGTGCAATGTGTACTTATATATTTTACTTATTTTTATTCATTCTCAGTGACTTGCTTACCTTCTCTCTCATTTCACTATCGTTGATTGTATTAATTCTAGATTTGAAGCTTTCGTGACTGCAAGGATTCATATTCTTAGGTTTTTTCGATAAAGTCACGTAGGTATAAAATTAAAATTAATAAAAGTAAAATAAAATAAAAATTACGACGTTTCGGAAGGAACACAAGCTTCCGTCTTCAGGTGGAACAGTCACAGCACGATAGCTTTTTTTTTTACTTTAATTAATTTTAATTTTTTACCTACGTGACTTTACCGAAAAAAACCTAAGAATATGTTGATTGTATTGTTTGCTGTTGTAACTCGCTGACCATGTGCCCCTACTAGACATCGGATTCCTCCTTCCAGTCTAAATAAAGATTCTGAATTACCGCCACCACACACGACCTGCCGGCGATTTGGTTAAAAACAAGAGGTTCATCCGCGTAACTGAATTCTTCCTAACTCGGCAGAATTCCACAGTAACAGGATAAAATGCAAAACGATCGTGTTGTTCTGCAACTTAAGCAAAGGGCCACACTTTCGATTGCTCGTAAAGTTAACGAAAATATATTTTTAATACCTTTGAACATGACACACGCACAAACCTACGAAAACCAGCATGAGCCAAGAGTAAAGTGCAAGCGAGCAATTATTTCTACTGCTCCCAAGGGGTCCCTTCGTGGAGTAATGGCTGTTAATAAACGGAAATCGCAAGTCAACAGAATGCATGTTAATAACCTGCGCTTCACGCAAAAATTTTCCGAGCGCAGTGTGCGACGTGTTTAACAACTTAATAAAGGCTTCGCATACGACACCCATCCTTTACGCTCACCGCACCGTGCGCCAAACTGTGTGCAAACACTGGAGACGTTGCCGCAGTCTGGCGATTCGAAGATATATCGGACAAAAGTAAACTTCCAGAGTCAATATCGTCCGTTTCTTTTGTAAATATCGTCAGATTGTACTTGTTATTATTCTCGCTTGCTCATCCATAAAAGAGCCTCGTTGAGTCTCAAAATTATTTCCCAGGACGGTCCCTTGGCAAGGTGTTGCGGTACTGGAGCATGTATTGCTCGGTGTCATCTCAAGAGAGGAATGTGCAGAAAAGAATGTTCAGCGTTTGGATAATTCGTCAATACCGGTTATATCATATGGTTTGCGCTTTCGCCGATGAGAGAAAATGTGAGAACCCAGAGGAAACCCGTGCACAACAGGGGAGAGAATGTGCAAACTCCAGCCCCGAGTCTGGATTCAAACCTAGGCTTTTTTTGCTACAAAGCATGAGTGTTACCAATATGCCCACATTACCAACCATTAGTATCACCCATTTTGCTAAACAGTCAGTCATGATTAGAATAATTAATTGTAGATTTATGAAAATTACTTCTCGAGATAAGAATAATTATAACATAAGCACAATGATGAAAATTGTCCAAACAAAACTGGTAAAACGTTATGTTAATCAACAAGTAATGACTTTACATTCCAAATAAACATCGCTTCTTCGCCAAATAACATGCATTGTTATAAGACCGGCGAGTCATTACACACCTATATTCAGAATTGATTGATATTTTAAATGCAAAGCAGGTTTCCCGCAGCCAACATTACAATTAACAATTGACATTTGGGTTATACCTGTGTTGTAAGACCCTCCACCGCCCTCGAAAGCCAAACATAATTCAATTTATCAATAGAATTGTTTCGCCAGAAAATCACATGGCTTGCATCCCAAAACAATTGTGGATCACAATACTGCCTACAAAAAAAAATATCTATTCTATTTGGAATTGATATAGTGCTATGTGCTTATCGTGCCGTTTGTTGCCGACCGCTTTACATGTGCTTAGCAACTATGATAAACAATATACCTGACATCTATGTGCCGATCATCCCCTCCTCCTCCTCCGCTTCCTCGGCTGATGGAGCGCTGTGCGTCTGGTTGTCTGAGTTCCAAAGTTTCTGGGATTTTGACACCAGCGGAGGGGCCAGGCTCTCTCCCTTCCCATCGTGAGCCTTGACTCCTGAGCAGAGATCACAATCGAAGGGGGGGGGGGGGTATGGAGGGGGTTCCATTATTGTACACATGTTTGTATCGAGCAGACTGAAACCCATGCTGGAATGTGCAGAAAGAAGATACAGTAAAACCTTGGATTGCGAGTAACTTGGTCTGTGAGTGTTTTGCAAGACGAGCAAATTTTTTTAATAAATATTAATTTGATAAACGAGCGAGGTCTTGCAATACGAGTAGTACGTGCATACGCTTTGTCTGCCGAGCGTCAAGTGATCACAACTGATATGAGTGTTTTGGATTACAAACAAGTTTCTGGAACGAATTATGCTCGCAATCCAAGGTTTTACTGTATTGTGTTGCCTTCCTCTATTAGAACTATTTTTACTATACACTAGATATTGCACAGCGTATACCATTGCCTTTATATACACTATATGCTATACGCACAATTTTTTTATTGCATTAAATATACATTATGTACACATGCTTAGGAACGATGAAAAACAAAGTACCTGACATCTATGCGCCGATCATCCCCTCCTCCTCCTCCTCCGCTTCCTCGGTTGATGGAGCGCTGTGCGTCTGGTTGTCTGAGTTCCAAAGTTTCTGGGATTTTTACACCAGCAGAGGGGCCAGGCTCTCTCTCTTCCCATCGTGAGCCTTGACTCCTGAGCAGAGATCACAATCGAAGGGGGGGGGGGATATGGAGGGGGTTCCATTGTACACGTTTGTATCGAGCAGACTGAAACCCATGCGGGAATTTGCAGAAAGATACTGCGTTGCCTTCCTCTATTAGAATTATTTTTACTACACATTAGATATTGCAGTGTATTCCATTGCATTTAATATACACTATATACTACACACACAATGTATTTGATTGCATTTAATAAACATTATATACTACACAATGTATTATATTCCATTTAATATACATTATATATTTCACAATGAATTATCTTGCATTTTACATTACATACTTTTCCATCAAAGCAACATATGACATCCTTCCAACACCAGTTAATCTTCACCAATGGTATGGTGAAGATCCGGACTGTGCCCTCTGTTCCATGCCAGCCAACCTCAGGCACATTCTCACAGGGTGTAAAACAAGCCTCACCCAAGGACGCTACACTTGGCGTCACAACCAAGTCCTTAAAAACCTTGCGTCCGCCCTGGAGGACAAGCGAGCTGCCACCAACTCCCTACCACCCCCAGCAGCATCACACCCCTTACGGACGACCTTTGTCCGCGAAGGGGCTAAACCACCGAAGAGCGGCTCTACACCAATAGAGCGAGACCAGCTGCGCTTGGCCCGCGACTGGAAAATGCTAGCTGACATTGGCCAGCAACTTGTGTTTCCTCCGGAGATCGCAACCACCACCCTAAGACCTGACATGGTGCTCTGGTCCCGTTCGCTCAAGAAGGTCTTCATCATTGAGCTCACAGTACCCTGGGAGGACTCAGTAGATGAGGCTTATGAGCGAAAACATCTGCGCTATGCCGATCTAGCTGCCGAAGCACGGCATCATGGCTGGAACACAGAAGTCCGACCAGTGGAGGTGGGCTGCAGAGGTTTTGTGGCAACATCTACAACCAGACTGCTTAGAGACCTGGGAATTAAGGGCCAGAGCCAGCGTTCGGCAATCAGAGCTGTATCGGAGGCGGCAGAAGGCAGCAGTCAGTGGCTCTGGATGAAGAGGAAAGACCCCAGCTGGGCCCCAAAGTGAGAGGGCCAGGAGGTATGCAGTCAACAATGCTTGACTCAGGGAGGAGGACGCCCCTGCCATGCATAGTCCCATGGGATGTTGGCTATCAACAACAAGGCAACTCCTATGACTAATTGGGAATGGGATGCAAGCGTAGGATTGATCACCCTGTCGCTGGCCGCCTTTGGGGAGGGTGTATAGTATGAAAGGCCGAAACACCCTAGGAACCAAAGGGTCACTACTGACGATGCGCTCCCCAAATTTCACCAGGCTCACTGTTCATGAACTCTTGGAAGTGCTTGCACAAAGGATAGTAACATCTCATCCTGTGTTCTTTGGAATCATAACATTCCAGTGCATTTAAAGTATAAACCACATCGGGGTATTGCAGTGCACTTAATACACAAGGTCTATTACACAGCTCACCTCACCCATACCCCAAGATCCCAGAATTATGTGTTAATTGTGTTGTGCACCATGTGATATTTTTCTTTCATCTTTGGCTAGTATTTTAAACCTTCCCGCTTGAATTCATGGTCCCTGTTAGTGGTTCAGGAGGGGCGGCATGTGACTGATAGGATGTGTAACAAATACTTTTATTTTAACGTGAACAGATATGTGAATGGGCCATATTGTCACCTTATCTATTTGACTACTTATGGTCTCCACAAAAAAACCATGAACGATTATTCTGTATAGTTTCATGTCGAACTAGGGATCTATTTTCTAACATGAAGGGTCTTTTCCCACAAACATCTTGCAGTTCACCAGCATCGGTTCAAGCAAGCCTGACTGTTGATGACACTGAATATAGAGGTTAGTCCTGAGTTTGCTTGTGTTGTACCAATGCTGCTATGATTAAACACTCCCAGAGGGCTGGGTGGTTGATGTGATGTGAAAAGACACCGTTTAATTTCTCATGCCGAGGGCTAGATATGCGAAAGGAGGTGTACCGCCTTGCTTATTTATGTTGCCACTACAGAAAACGAATCAGTCTTCAACAGTCAGACTGACGAACGCTACGATCCCATTCACGGTCTGAGAAATACATCATTTATTGAAAATATACACTGCCCAAAGACATCGTCATTCAGTAACCCTTTATTTAACCCACGTGATAAAATAAACCCAATGAGACGCGTGGAACCACATTGCCTATTTTTCAAGGGCGACTTGGGTTACATCAACTCGTTTCAAATGCACAAAATATTTTGAATGTAACAAATCTAGCCTAAATTTATGAAAAAAAACCCATGTTTAAATTAGGTCAGACGCCTGTCAGAAGTCTGCTCACCGAATAAAGCCCATTGAGCTATGCAGCGCCCTTTTCATCGGCCAGTGGTAACAAAACTGTACGAAAATTACCAATCAAACGTGCCATTAAACCCAAAAAGTTAATCGTAACAATAACCTTGATTTGAAGCTTTCGTGACTGCAGGAATCCATTCTCTTTTTTTTTATTTATGTTTAATTTTGTTTTATTTTATTTCTCACTACGTGACTTTACCGAAAGAACCAAAGAGTATACCTAACAATAATCCTAATAAAAGGTGAACCGCACTTTGTAACTTGAAATATACAAAGAATACAATTTTTGGAAAACAAGTGACTGGATTAGGCAAAGGAGAAAATTGTAGATGTAATAAAATATAAACTGGCTGAAGGCAGACAAACATCATGAAACAGTCTAATCAAAGCATTTACGAAGATATCATCGTGAGTGTTCATATCCTAGGCCCCATCGCTTGTGTTTGCAAACTCTTACTTTGTTTGGTACTCAACAGCATTCCTTGATGTAAAAATAACATCTGCAAAACACAAGATAAAAATACGAATCATAAACACAGTTCCACATGCTGGCAAATTACATTTGTGTTTCTGAATTGTATTGGGAGTGGTAAGGGAGCAATTGAGTGGTTCCTCCGCTTCATTTATCCAAATTTCAGCGCTTAAAATTAAAACATCGCTTGGACTATCATGCAACGAACATTGCTCTCATGCGGAATGTGGCAATGTGCTGTTCTCTACGGTTTAAACCGGAGGTCACTTAAAGGGGATATTAGGGCTAACTCTGATATCTGCTTCCATGAACTGCTTTGCAAGAGACCCGAAGACAGTTTATCCCATGATGAGATGTCAAAAGCACCATCGGGATAAAATTGCGGTGGGGGGGGGGGAAGGTGAAAATGTTTTAAAATGAGGGCGTCCACGTACCGAGATGTCTCCCACAAATTGTTTGCTTGTTTGCAGCCTTGACAGCGGCGTCCGCATCCCGTGTACGTTTGAACTGAATTAATAAACGATCCTTGAAGACCTCCAGCCCTGTCAACAACAACGACCACCACTGTCAGATATAGGGTGCCATGGTGGTGAGACGTTAACTAACTCACCTGGTATGCAGGAGGTCGTGGGTTTGATCACGACCCTGATGTCTGCTGTATATTTGGAGTCTGCACATCCTCTGGTTTTTCCCTCCACATTTATAAACATGCATTTAGAGTATTTGGCTGCTATAACTTTCCGCACGATAAGCCACTCTGTTGAGCTATCCATTTGTGGCCAGAGCACTTCTGAAAGAAGTAATATTTAAAAAACTTTTTAAAAACACGCTTTTATGAAATGCACTAGTAATAGAAGAACTCCACGACTCCAGGAAGTAGCCCTGAAGCTTGCTATAACATAAGGGACCGTGGCCAATTACAGCCAATGTCAGTTGACCGTGGACAATTAGACCCAAGCCGAAACATAACATATCAAAAAGAATGTTTAAAAATATCTATTATTTTCTTTTTTTATGATAGAATATAGTAGTGTCATCAGTATGACATAAGTATACCAAGTTTGCAGTCGACACATTGGGAAGTGGGTTAAAATTGAGTTACAAGATTTGGGGATACAATGACAACGACAACAACAGACAGTGAGTTCAATGAAAGCGTGTAAAAAGAGCTAACACAGCTCAGTGGACCTTTACCTGCTAAAATTCAAAGTCGTTGTAGTTAGTTTACGCTACTCACACTCAATCTTGCCGAAGCGGTCGAACGCCTTGCGCAAGCTCGTGGGAGAAACGTCCCTGGTGTTCCGCACCCAGACGCTTCTCTTCGCCACGTCGACAGCAACGGCGCCGTTGATGCCACGTGCACCGCTGTCCTTTGAGCGTTCGCGACGCCGACGGCCGCCGCGGCTGCGCGAGCCGCTACGGCTGCGGCTGCGGCTTGCCCGCAGGTCATCCTCGTCGAAGGGGGAGTACAACCGCTGCATGGTGGTGGACGCTAGCCGGGCCACGTCCTTCCCCGGGTTCACCTCCTCGCCCGACTGGCAAGCGTAAACATCATTGCACGCAGACACAGGGTGCGCGTGTGAACTTTTTTTCCGCACCGTACGTAGGCTAGCCGTACTAATCGAAGGTGCGGGGGAAGGAACTAACAATATTATATGTAAAAAACTGGTTAAAAGAAATGGGTTTTCAACCTACATTTACAAGGGGCAATGCTCCAGTGGCTTTCTGAGCCGTGCAACTCAAAACGCTCGACGTGCACCGGGATTACGATCGCAATTCGTTTGCTCGATTAACCCCTCCGGAGCGAAGTGACAGATATGTCGCCATGATGAAGAGGGGAGCAAATAAACTCAATCATCGGCTATCACCTGGTTACATGCAGGACAGCGATTGTCAATGGCCGGTGATGCATATGTGTTACAGAACATGATACCGCATTATATAAATTATATAACGTCACATGGTCAAATAAAGGGTGGGTCGTAAAATGCATTACACCTCAACAGTTGTCACTTGGGTCACAGTGAAATGCATCGCAATTGGCGGTGATGGATAGAGCACGTCAAACATTTAGTCGACATATTCATATTCTTTGGGTCTTTCGGTAAAGCCACGTAGATAGAAAAAATAATTTTAAAATATCACGTTTCGATCATGATGACGATTGCTTGCGTTGCGATCGAAACGTGATATTTTTTTTCTATCTACGTGGCTTTACCGAAAGACCCACAGAATATGAATTCCTGCAGTTACGAAGGATTTTAAGTCAAGATTTAGTCTACCTCTTAAATGAGCCGCGATAATGCTAAACAGTTAATACTGGTAGGAACGAAGTGGACCAGACCACCAATAGATTAATGTGTCCGTCCGTCCGTCCGTGTATCAACATCGCCCCCTACTGCAAACACTTGGCATGACCCTACAAAAACCTTTAGACTCAGTGACGCTATCCTGGTAGCAACATCGCCCCCTACTGCAAACACTTGGCATGACACGTGTAACATTCCCTTATAATTCCCTGAGAAAGCTTTTAATTAAAACTTTGAAATTAAATAAAAAAACTCACAGCGCCCTAAAGCCTACAGCTAGGCCTAAAGCCTAGAACTAGGCCTCAATCTCTCCCTTCGTATCGTCCGATTTGGTGTAGCAACATCGCCCCCTACTGCAAACACTTGGCAGGACCCTACAAAAACCTTTTGACTCAGAGGGGCTTTCCTGGCTTAACAAGTGTAATAATAAACTTCGCTTCAAATTTACATTACTGCAGAAGGTGGTGGTGGGTGGTGGGGGGGTGGTGGTGGTGGGGGGTGGTGGTGAGGGGTGGTGGGAGGGGTGGTGTTGAGGGTGGTGTTGGAAATGAAAGACGAGTCTTTAAATCTCACAGCGTTTCTTGTCAAAACAAACACTTTTAATTAACGTTACACTAGAATACAGTAATTTTTTCTTTAACTCCTCTATACCCGGTCGATATCCCTGTACCGGTACTAAGTATTATTCCTACCAGCCCACCCCGCAGGGTCCTGTTTTGACTTCGTTTAACCTGGCGAGAACTCATGAAAGTGGCAAGGGACAGCAACGTTTTGGGTGTTGTATTTGGGGGGGGGGGGGGTGGAGGAGGAAGTGGGGGGTGGTTTGAACAGATGTTGACCTTACGCAGGCAGTGGGCCCACACTCTTGCTAAAGACGTCGCGGAAGCTTTAACGTCCACCGTGCAGCGGACGCTTTCAGAGCATTCCGCTTCAAACGCCCGCAGCGATAGTCAGGGGCGGCCGTCCGATTCGAACCGCGAAAGTCTGCAACAACATGGGACGAAACGTGAGGGGAGGGGGGGGCGGATTAACTCACGACCTCATTCAGTTTGGGCCTGTGCCGTTGTCACAAAGTCAGAGTAATCTCAACGGTGTCGTGGTTAAATGCAAGTGCACGATACAGTACCCCGGTGCTGTTACGCTGGTTAAGTAAAGGTAACGAAACGCAATGGGCGTCCCGAATCAGCGGCTCGGTTAAATAAAGTGCAATGCATCTCCGTGAACAGGAACGCGATACAAAAATTCGACGTATTCATGATGAACAATATAGCCGCGTAGATAGAAAACAAATAATAAGAAGATATCACGTTGTAAAAGGGCATGACGCATTAATTATAGTAATAATAATAAGCTTAATAACGATGCTAAATGGCATCGTAAGTTGTCGCGAAGTGGTGGTGTACGGAAACAGGGCTCAGCCGTACCCGGCACAAGCCGCTCCGGGGCAAGAAAATAAACCTTCTTTTGATCCTCTTTCGTCGGCGAAACGATACAGAAAACACAACTTATTAGACGATACTACATACGTGTATGTATATAAAATAAAGGACATCTAAAAGCGAAAACTGAAAGGGCATTAAAGGCCTCACGACTGTAGGCCTCAAACGAGCCTGTGAGATGGCGGCCGGCAACGCGCGTCACGTGACGAAGACGCGAGAAAAGGGGCGGGGCTCCGGGTGAGGGGGGCGGGGCTCCGGGTGAGGGGGGCGGGGCTCGGACAGGGGGCGGGGCGACGGAGGGAGGAGGCGGGGGTCTTGTGTGAGGGGCGGGGCTGTGTGTCAGATTCGGAATCAGTATCGAAACTGCAGGTGGAATTCGAAGAGCTATAAAGCTCACTCAGGTTAAGAACCAGGCTACAGCCTAGATTATAGACTGCCAGTACGTTCACTCAGTTTAGTAGCCATTGCTACAGTCTACACTATAGACTGCCAATACGCTCATCAAGGTTAAAAACCAGGCTACAGTCTACATTATATACTGCCAGTAGGCTCATCGAGGTTTAAAACCAGGCTACAATCTAAATTATAGACTACCAGTACACTCACCCAGCTTGATAATGTAGTCTGTAATGTAGACTGTAGCCTGGTTTTTAAGCTTGATGAGCGTATTGGCAGTCTATAATGTAGACCAAGGCCGTAGCTATGGAGTCAACATTGGGGGGGACCAAATCTTCCAGGGTGTCTTGGGGGTCCCAACCCAGAAAAATATCTAATTTTGAAAAATTATTTCCTGCCTAAAATATAAAAAAACTCACTAACACATGGGATAGAATTTTCATTTATTTTTTACAATAATGTCTAATAGTAGTGTATTGTATTGCATTGCTCTGTCTTCACTTTTTTACCATTTCTTGTTTCATTGTATATAATGGCATGGATTAGGGATTTATAAAGTACAACCATAACCACAATCATATAAACAGAAATCTATGCGTTGATTTATACGAAGACAAGTCCAGATAGTGTGGCCAAGGTTTAGCAAATTGTTGTTTTTATTTATATAGCATAGCAAATATATTTTTTATAGCAATATATGGGGGGGGGGGGCATTTTGAGCATATTTGAATATTGTGTGTCCCTCCCAATATATATTATATTATAAATATAATAATTATTATAATTACTGCCTTGATGTAGACTGTAGGAATGGTTCTTAACCTGAGTGAGCGTACTGGCAGTCTATAATGGGTGTTTATGTTTAGCGATTTGTCGTATTATCTGGCTGTATAGAAAATGAAAAAAATACAATTACTTTACTATGCAAGTTACAAATTAGTTTTTTATTTATATTTACGTGTTTTTTTATATATAGGACCCCTTTATAACATCATGCTACAGGTCTCGCACTAGCTTCATCCGGCACTGACGTACGGCACTCTCCATTCCGCGTGTTTGCCCAGGAAATCCTCGCAGTCTCGACTTCATCTTCGTCTCGACTTCTTCTTCCCAAGAGGGTGCTGCCGATGTTTGGCGCTACGGGGCGATGATCGCTGTGCATGGTAGTGTAATACCAACTGAGCAAATCGGCGATGTCATTTTTCAATGGTGGTAAACAAAAAAAATGGAACATGACGCGGGCAACGATGCCACCGTCACTGCTGCATCACAAATCGGCATTGGGTCTCGGTGGAGAGCGCACGATAGGGGGCGGCAAACGCCTGCAGAGACACCGATCACCTGTCAACAGGTGTGAACGTCGCAGGAGTTTAGCAGAGTGGCAGAGAGAGAGGCTGTGGAGCGTGCGTGCTCCTGGCCACACGAGCCGTGTCGTGATATTATAATAATAACACGAATGTACACCCCTTTGTCAATCCACTGCTGGTTGATGGTATTCCAACGCATTGACGGTTGTTTGACCAGACTTCAGCACGCTGGTCTGCGGGTTGGTTACGATGTTGGGCACGGTGTTGATGATGCTCACGATACGATGAAAGTATTGATAATGGCAATGATGGTCCTGGTGATGATGATGATGAGTGTTGATTTCAGTACGTGAATGAATGGACGATAATGATGATGAAGACAACATGATGATAACAATAATTGTTATATTTTAAACTAAACTATTTTATTTTATTTTACCTGTTAAGGCCACCTACTTTATAGCTCGTTTTTTTCAGAAGCGACCTGGCCACAAATGATAGCTCAACGAAGTGGCTCGTTACGTGGAAATGAACAGCAGACAAATACTTTAAACGCATGTTGATTCTAAATGTGGAGGGAAACCCCGGAGGACGCGGAGAAAAATCAACGCGACCACGGGGAGAACGTGCAGACTCCAAGTATACAGGTGTCAAGATCGGTATCGAATCCACGACCTCCTGCATACCAGGCGAGGGAGATAACATCTCGCCACCGCGGCGACCCACAATAATGACGACAGATACAATGAGGATATGGCAATGATGATCACGAGTCTGATAATAAGGATGCTGACTGCTATTAATGGATGTGAACGTGATGATGATTACTATACTTAAATAATAATCATAATGATGATCACAACGACTATTACAGCTCACGTAAGAACTAACACGTTCAATGATGATCACGATGATGGCGATTGCCACTCCACATTCGCAGTCTGCGCACTACCGCACAGGGCCGAAGACGACGATGACGGTTCTGGAAAACAGGGTCGTCCTAATCAGCTGTCTGGTATTTAAATTAGATTAATAAGCAAGCGAGCTGTGAATCCGGACTTGTCACTGGGCTAATGAAGCTAACGAGAATCCCGGCCAGCCGGCGTGACAGTTGGGGACCCCAGGGGGCACACGGAGGCGTGCTGTGGAGGTCCGGGGGATGAACGCGTGGGGTCTCCACGCAGGTGAAACTGATTGTCCCCCTGGAATCACACCTACACCCCCCCACCCACCACCTCCCACACCCTCTTAAGGATGAGTTTCGGTGCGTTTTCGGGTGGTGCCGTGCGTTGTTCGGCACGAATGTTCGCACCCAAGTAGTGGGAGATTGCTCAGGAACTGGATTCGGCACATATGCAGCGAAACGTCGGACATCGTGCAGAAGGACAGACGGTAGAACTCGGAGCCCATCCCTTACACAATCACCCCCACCCCCAACATCATCTCTCTACTCCCATGTTCTCCCTCCCGCCTCCCCGCATCACGTCCTCCACCCTCCGCCTCTCCTACCTCTCTAACATTACCCACACCCCACCAAACCCTCCCGCTAAATACAATAAATACAGTCTGTTGATGGCTTTGTTTTTTTGAGGTCATTAGGTCGTTGGGTAACCGGGTTAAGACCATCACCTCGCTGCCCTTGGGGCGTGTGACCCGCGAATTCGCACCCAGGATATCAGCTGTACCGGCTCCATGTCTCGGCCTCAGTTATTATAATCATTATAATGATTATAATTATGTACCCTCGGAGCGATCCCCTTCCACATCCTCATCCCTCGTAAAAAAAAATCCTTATTAATAACTTATTCTTTTAATTGATTTTACCAGGTAAGGACCACTGAGCTATAAAAAAAAATCAGAAGCCACCTGGCCACAAATTATAGCTCAACGAAGTGGCTTGCCATGTGGAAATGCATAGCAGGCAAACATTATAATTTGTAGAGTCTAAACGCGTGTTTCTAAATGTGGAGGGAAAAACCCGAGGACTCGGAGAAAAAAAAATACACGCGACCACGGGGAGAGAGACATGCAAACTCAAAATATACAGGCGCCATGGTCAACATCGAACCTACGATCTCCTGTACACCAGGCGATGGAGTTAACATCTCGCCATCACGACACCCCATGATCGCTTCCCCAATTAGTATAAATGCAGTATACACATTAATAAATGAACGTTAAGAATTTAACAACATTCAACGTTGTGACAATGACGAGGCCCTATTAGTAAGCCACTGGAGCTATACGCACTTTTAAATCATCTAGATTGAAAACTAATTTCGTTAGAACTGCTTTTTGTGTTGAGTTTGTTGTCCTTCCCAAGCACATCCAATTTGCACGGTTGGCTACGTACGGTGCTAAAAAAGTCAACATACATTCGTAAATTGTAAGTTCCACTGCATATATTTAGCATAATTATTATAAAATAATCATTATAATCATTCAATTGGATCGGCGCTCCATTGTAGCACGCATGGATTTTCTCCCGGTGTTTAGGTTCTTATGTAGTGTATGTTGAACGTCTTTCGCACCGTACGTAGCCCACCGTGCAAATCGGAGGTGTGGAATAAATATGATTTCCTGCTACCCAAATGAGCATTGAGGCGTTGGTGCTCATCTTCCGTTTATTTACAGCCCTACAGAGGCAGCGGTGGAAATTCCACGTTTCTATGACGGGGCGAGTCTATACGTAAGACAACTACCGTGCGGAATAGAGGTCACTTAAGCAAATGCATTGAAGAGGTAGTTATGTGATATCCACATCCGCGGGCCGTTCTCGGACATACGCTTTGTCGCGTGACGACACTTTTCACCAATGGCACGAGCGGGGTTAGCACTGGGGGGTGGGGGGGGGTAAAAAGACCAAAAATAGTTTAAAGCCAAACGCATAGCGATGTCGCGTTCTACCTGTGACACTTTCACCCGCTCACCTGTGTGTCCATTAACACCTGCGCAGAGCGCTCTGTGGCATATACGTGCATGTACCTGCAAATTCACACCTGTGCTGTAGGGCACAATATCACGGGCAGTGGTCACACCTCTACACAAGAGATGTAATAATACTTTCAAACACGTCCCCCCCAATCCCCCTCTCTCATCCCTCATCTCCTCTTAAGCTTCACGCATCCACCTCATCACCTCCTCCCCCCTCACCCTTTACCCCCCCCCCCGCACGTCCCTCTCTTCCCCCCCCCCGACCCCCCCCGACCCCCTCCGGGGAACCAACGCCGAGGCTCCGCGTGTGTGTGGAGGTCCCTCCGGGGGAGGGGGGGGGGTCACCAATCAGCGCGGCCCGACCCTTAATTGGCAAGGACATCGTCGTGAGAGCAATTATCCCGGTCAGAAGAAATGCACTGTAATGAGTCCAGTAACACCTTAATGAAGCCGTGGCCCGGCCGGCCGGTTAAATAGGTAACAAGGCAACACGGGGGGTGTGCGTGGGGGAGGGTAAGAAGCAGGGGGGACAGGGAGTGGGGTGTGAAGGGCGTAGAGAG